GTATTCTCCACCAAGAAACGGAGGCGGGCATGTCATCATCAAACGGAAAAGCAGAGCGTTTTCACCGGACTGTCATGGATTCCGCCCGAGCGATGCTCTGAGCCTCGGCATTGCCACAGCACTTTTGGGGCGATGCTGTTCTGTATGCGAGCTACATTCGCAACTATCTGCCGACTCGAGCGAACACCGACCATGCGTCTCCCATTGGGGCCCTCTCTGGAAAACGACCATTGTGTCTCGCATATCCTCAAATTCGGCTCGAAGTGTACGAGCCACATCGCACATGCAACGAAGCGATCAGCGAAAAAGCGCGCTGAAAGAGGAGTTGTTATTGGCATCGACTTCAAGAAGAAAGCGTACCGTGTTCTCATCCCGCGAACCAAACGTGTTACTTCTACAACACACATCCGAAACATTGACCGTCTGGACTCGCGAGCTGTGGGGCGATACATGGACGCTGTCGACGCAGACAATAGCGTCGAGGAGGAGGAAGCTGGCGATCAACAGCACGAAACCAACACCCCACGTGACGCTGATGGTGAGGAAGCACGGGCTGGTAGCCCTGCAGAGCAGCATCAACTTACGTCGCGTGCCATCCAGCGCATCTTTGGCCTGAATCGAGGTACACGAGCACTACCACGCGATGACTTTCGGCTGCCCCAATCTTTTCTCGAAGAGTTCGCCACTCCGGCATCTGTCCTGCTCACTATCGTACTCAAGGAGGGTACTGCCTTTGCGGTACTACTAGAGCGTGACGGGATCAAGGAGCCAGTAACTGTGGAGGAGGCAATGAACAGCCCGTATTGGCAGGAGTGGTGGCAGGCAATCGAAGAAGAGCTTCGAGCAATATCGAAGAACGCTACCTGGGAAATTGTGGACATTCCTACTGATGGAACTCTGATAAGTGCAAAATGGGTTTTCAAGCTCAAGTTTGACAACAAAGGCGGATTGGAACGGTTCAAAGCGCGGCTGGTAGCGCGCGGCTTCACTCAAAAGTTTGGCATTGACTTCGCAGAGACCTTTGCGCCCGTGCTTAAGATCGCGAGCCTGCGGTTCATTGTCGCCCTCGCATCTCAGTGGCATGCCGTCATTAGACGAGGAGATGTTCTTAACGCATACCTGCGAGCAGACCTCGATCGACCCATCTACATGCGCGCCCCTGTCGGACTCCAATTACCCAAGGGCAAATGCCTACTGCTGCGAAAGAGTCTCTACGGCCTTAAACAGAGCGGCAAGTTGTGGAACGACACTATACACCGCTACTTACTGGAACTTGGCTTCAGGAGGAGCCAGCTTGACCCGTGCTTGTATTTTCGTTGGCATGAAGGCAAGCTAACTGTACTGGGCCTCTACGTCGATGATGTGGTGGTCGTCAGCCAGCGTGAGGGCGATTCCGACTGGACGATGCAGAAGCTCGCCGACCAATTTCAGATCAAGGACATGGGTCCAGCCAAGAAGTGCTTGGGAATTAACATTGAGCAGAGCGACTGCGGCATCTACCTCCACCAGACAGCCAATATTGACGGTTTGCTGGCGAAGTGCGGCATGGAGAATAGCCGCCCCGTGACTACGCCGATAGAGTCAACTCGGGACCTGAACGGAGAGGACAGCGAGCCCTTCTACGACACTAGCATCATGCGGGAGACCATTGGGTCACTACTATGGATTAGCAACTGCACTCGACCAGACATCACGATGCCTGTGAACTTCCTGGCGCGTTTCGTCTCAACGCCTACGTCGACTCATTGGACTGCAGTCAAACGTATCCTGCGCTACTTGCGCGGCTCGCGCGAGTTGAGGTTGCACTTTCCCCGGCCGCAGGCACCCCGACACACTATTGAGGCAGCCATCTTCAGCGATGCAGATTGGGCCGGGGCCAAGGACGCAAGGTCGACTTCAGGAGGACTGCTCACCATCAACGCCATGCCCATTTCGTGGTACAGCAAGAAACAATCTACGGCCGCCCTCTCTACAGCCGAGGCTGAGTACATCGCTGGGGCGACGGCAGTGCAGGACTGCTTGTGGGTGAAGCAGCTCCTGAATGAACTTGAGCTGCACGGCAAAGATGATAATATCGACTTGTACATCGACAACCAGAGCGCGATCAAGAACATGGAGAACGACGTGACGACTGCACGCATGAAGCACATCAACATAAAATTTCACTTCATACGCGACGCCATTCGCAAGAAGGAGGTCAGCGTGACCTATTGCCCCACGACTGAGATGAAGGCCGACATTTTCACGAAGCCCCTCGGCGCAACCGTACACAGGCGCAACCTGGCCATGATCAAGCTTATCAACCCGCACAACGAGAAGCTGTAGACTCGGATCATCTTGGTCGAGGAGGACTGTTGGAGATCGCAAGAGCTGGCGCCACCTGCGATGAGTGCAGTGGCGACGATAACGATCTGCGACGACCACAACGACCCCTCCAGCTACACAACACGAAACTACCGATGCATATTAGCCTAGCACAGACATCCTAGCATCATCCAACCTAACTCATTCTGCAATACACCAGGTGCGAGGCACCACTACAAGGAGCAACCCGTGCAGGATCAACTAGTGCTCCCTTCAGTTTAGGCACAAGGTAAGGTTCCACTGCTTGCAAACAAATGATAAAAGTAATGCTGAAACTAGTTACAGCATTACTGTTTTGCGCTATACTACAAGTAAATTACTTTAAATGCGTTGAATTACGTATAATCATGCCATAAAACTGCATTTGACATTCATACATGAATATGTAGACTGATAAAAATAGTGTACAATAATATTTTTATTGAAGAAACTATTATAGTAGTAGTCCTACGCTTTGACGTACCGAATTTGTTTTGTAGAGGGATACACCCTACCGGAGCTGAAATGCAGGGCGCCCAATTTTGCACGGGTAATGAATCGGCACATGACGCCCAGATGTATTTACTAAAATTACTAAACTGAGCACTCTAGCAATTCCTCATCTGAGTCACCTTCCTCAATCTCAGCTACATCAAAATCCCTATCAGGGCGAATCTCACCAACACGACTGTCGATACACCCTAGACTAATGAGCTCGCTCACTACCTCCGCCGCTTCTTCAGGGGGCTCCACTTCCAGATGGCACTTACGATATCCCCCGGAAATGATGGAAGCAGGCATGCCCTTCCAGGCCGAGCTCACCCAGTTGCATATTTCGGCTCTGGTGGGGGGCTTCAGCTTGAACGCAATGGCCGGGTCTCGTTCGAGAAGCTGGGCCTTCAAATCCTCGATCCAGAGCAGTCGTAGACGGGCTTTGAGAGGCCCGTTCCACGTAGCATACGCGGGCTGGCAGACAGACGTCGCCCCCGGTGAAACCTTGAGCAACTCCCACTGGATGACTTCCTTGGACCAGTGTCCAGAGAAGTCATCCCAGAGGAGGAGTACGGGCTTCTCGGGTTGGGGTCTCGCACCGAAGTGATAGCGGAGAAACTCTACAGACAAAGAAGTATTCCACCAACCTTGAAAAAAAAACGTTAGTATTATCATAAAATACAACATGTATGCGTTATTTACCTTTGGCGTTGCCATGAACTTGGACTCCTTCTTTTGTCCGACTTCTTTCCACACGGTTACGCCAAATCCATGGCGAAGGCGTGTGTTGGCTTCACGTCGTTGTAATACCGTCGATGGCTTTGACTTGAAAACAAGAAACGGCGGGTATTTATTACCGTTCTAGTCTCTTAGCAGCATGGCGGTAGCTCTTTCCTTGCTCTTGCCACCGCAGCACACCCACACCGTCTTCTCACCGGTGCCATGCAGTGTTTTAGCGGGTAAGTACTCGAAAAACGCAGCTAAAAGGTAGCACAAGAGCAAAAACATATCCTGTTAGTACGGTCCGTTAAAACATAGCATAAATACAGTGAAACGCACCTGTTTGATCTGCATTGTATATAACAGACACACCCAGTTCCGCCGCTTTAGCCTTCACAGTTTGAGAGAATTCTGCGGCGATCTTGTCCAGCTCTGCTGGGCTGACTTGGCCTTGGCGTGTGCGCGATCGCATTGACAGGCGGTGACGCCTCTTGAACAGACGCTGCCATCCAGAGGACGCCCGGAATCGTTGCACTCCCGCCGCCTTAGCTGCGCTTTACGCCTTCAGGCGTAGCATTAGAGACGTGACTGGAACGCCCTCGGCGCGCAAGTCGTTAATCCAGCTCACGATCTCTAGCTCAACATCTAGAGGTAAGATCGTAGATGATCCGGTAGAGCGAGCTTTTCGCTTGTCCCCACCGCTGACAGAAGCACACGTAGCGGCGATAGAGTCATGCTGGCGAGCCCATTTTAGCACCAATACTCGTCTTCCTTGATACTTCTCTGTTGGTAGATCAGGAAAGAACGTGTCTATAGTGAAAAGAACATTGCAGTGTAGTCTCAGATGCTCAACAACAGCTTTCTTCGTCGCAGCTGTATACGAAGTTAGGACCCGCTTCGTCTTCCACCTTCCTTGGCCGCCAGGCAGGCGTGGACGCCCTGGCGGTGGCGCCCGCGCCATTGCAGAAATGAACGGGCGATGGGCGGCCGAGATTGCAAAAATTACTGGCTTGAAACTGTATCCCTCAGCAATGTAAATCCTAAATTCACAATTGTGATTGGCTAATAATATCCTGTATCCCATACGTGAGTGTATCCCTCTACAAAACAAATTCGGTATTCATTTTCCTAAACGAGCGTGAAGCATCGTACCGAGATATTACCGATATAAATAAATATATCAAATTGGTTTGTCTGGAGCTTATAAGCGAGGGCCCTGTGATATGATTGGTCGCTCTTATATGAGGTTGTCCACTAAAATGAACCCACAAAACATACAATGTAGAAGTGTTTGACACGTCCGTGAAGTGCCCCTGGACAGGCTTCCCTGAGCCAACCATTTGTGGACAGACAAGCTTCGCTGGACCATTCATTTTTGGGCTGGCGGCACCGTCACTCTTTATTTTCTCGCTTCTTCGAGAAGTAGCAGCTTCCACGGCAGACAGATGTACAACAGTGCTTCGCCACGACAGACGCCACCGCACGAGGTTGGCGATTTGGGTAAGATATATGCTATCCCCTGCTTCTTTCTCCCGCGTCTTCTACAGGTCTCCTGTCCCCGTGGGACTTGAAGTCTCCCGACAAACAGGAAGTGCTTTTGAGTGACGTCCTGCGACACAATGGGGAAGAGCAGTTCTACGACCAAATCATGGAGCTGGCCATGCATGCCGAGGATGAACCCCCCGTGATCTTTGACTGAAAGCACGTGGACGAGTTCGTTCAAGCAATCGTTGCAGCCAACAGCCGAGCTGCTAAAGGAGGCGCCGCTATCCCCTCGCCTCCATTCCCGATCCCCGACCTGCTTACGACACACTCGTTTAAGCTGGCGCTGCTCGCCTACGATTACGACGGGAAGGCTGATCCGTTAGGAACCACATGCCGGCCCTGCGATTGTGGTGAGGCAACCCGCGCGGTCGAATGCCTTGGTCGTTTGAACGAGCATCCGTGGACGCAGCATATCATCGCTGTTGGAGGGGCTGGCAATGTCCTGCCCGTTGCCGATCTGTACGCGCCCAAGCCTCGCACGAACAAGCTGGAGCACGCGATTCGCCCACGCCCCAACGGACTGTGGAACATGAAGTGATGAAGACTCGAAGCCCAACCAAACCAACGTATCGACTATCAACTCGTCATTTAGTGTCCACGAGCAATTCGCCGTCATGCGTAGCCAGCCCCAAGTTGCTCGTCATGCGTAGCGCGCCTTAAGTTAAGTTAAACGTGATTTTTTGCTTAATGCAAGTCTTTGCTGTTGCCACCTGTATTTTTGTCGACGTACGCGAAATTATGTGGCGAAGCAACCATGCTATACTTTACTGCTGTAGGTCACTAATCCGGCGAGTCGCAGTGCAGGGCCAACATCTGATCGATTCGGTGGTTTGGTTGGGCTTCGAGTCTTCATCACTTCATGTTCCACAGTCCGTTGGGGCGTGGGCGAATCGCGTGCTCCAGCTTGTTCGTGCGAGGCTTGGGCGCGTACAGATCGGCAACGGGCAGGACATTGCCAGCCCCTCCAACAGCGATGATATGCTGCGTCCACGGATGCTCGTTCAAACGACCAAGGCATTCGACCGCGCGGGTTGCCTCACCACAATCGCAGGGCCGGCATGTGGTTCCTAACGGATCAGCCTTCCCGTCGTAATCGTAGGCGAGCAGCGCCAGCTTAAATGAGTGTGTCGTCAGCGGATCGGGTATGTGGAACGGAGGCTAGGGGACAGGGGCATCTCCTTCAGCAGCTTGGGTGTTGGCTGCAACAATTCCTTGAACGAACTTGTCCACGTGTTTCCAGTCGAAGATAACAGGGGGGTCTGTGGCGGCATGCTTCGTCAGCCTTAGGGCTTCGTCGTACAAGTGTTCTTCCCCGTTGCGTCGGAGGACGTCTTTCAATAGCACTGCGCCATCGTTGTTCGTCTTAGCGCGAGGCATTAGGGTGCTGGTAGGAGATGTAGCCCTTAGCTGGCGTGTTCTTCTTCGAACGAAAAGCAAGTCTGAGGCTATGGGAGGGGGCAAAACAGGATGGTCCTACCCTGTCCAAGTGACGGATTCAGCTTTCGTGGTTGAGTTTCATCTATCTTTCAAGTGCTTTGGCGTGAGCTTGACTCTCCCTTGGAATGAAGTTTAGAAAAAGGAACTTGATAAACCGGTTTATCAACTTCGTCGGCGCGGGGTTTCACAGTTTGAAGGCGGTATATCGGTATTTGCTGTTCAAACCAATACTCTTGCAAAAACAGGAAGTGTAACGGCTTCGCTTCCTGGAGCTCCTATTGGCTCCTCGCGCAGATACCATTGGCTTCGGATAAAGCCGCACCCTTTCAGTAGGGTCGTGGAGGAAACGTACATGCAGCTTCCTCACTCTTGGCACCTTTTCCCGGCAGCGTATCCAAGCCGCACTATCGTTCCAACGCAAGAAAGGCAAATGGCGACAGCTGCATACGCCACCTGCAACTTCTAGGACGCCGTGGCGCGTAGCAACCTCACCATCTTTGCTGGAGACGTCACATTTCAATTTTCCCTGTTTCGAGCACCCCTATCGTCTACCACTTCTCGTCTTCAACACTTCTCCCGGCCCCCAAGCTCCACAACTTCGTTGTCCCTGAATCACATCACCTCTTTGAGAGTTCGCCTTCGCTCCTCGCGCTTTTATCGGTAAGTGCTAAATGAATGCCCGAATCAGCTTTGCGCTATCTAACATTGCTCTCTCTCTCTCTGCTAATATATGTAGTGGGCCGCGCCACAACGCGTGACTACGGCAAACGGGCGGTCAAATAACCCACTTCACTGTCGTCGCCAGAAGCGGTCGGGTTGCAAGTGACGATGGACCAACTCTCTTCCAGTCGTGATTTCAATGCTGAAGGACCAGCCTCCACTCGAGGTGCTCGAGGTGTTGATACAGCACCATCGTCTCCTGTCGAGTATGATTCTGAAGATTACTGTTATGACACTACTGAAGTGACGGCTACACGAGGCTACGCAAATGGCCAGCAGTCCCAAGTGGAATCTGCTGTTGCTGGAGCAAGAGGAGGGCCTGCCCAAAACGTCACTCACGGCTCAGCATTTGCGCGACTTCCGTTATCAGAACAAGCAAGGACGTCAGCATCCCAACAGATACCCTTCACGCAATCAGCACCCCCAATAACTTCGAGTCTACCCTGCGGTGATTTCCGTCGGACGACTTCGAACTCCGTAGGACCCGGTGCTGGAGCTACGACACCAACGCCACACCAGCCACCCGACGTTACTGGCCGTGACTCCTGTGAGTGGCCTCCCGAGCCGACGGCGCTGTATGATGCAGACGATATTGCTCGGATCCCAGCATGTATCCGTGAGGCGGTACTCCAGTTTAGGCCAAACCAAACGTGTACGCCGATGCCTCTGCCCCGAAGCCATCGGTCTATTACGTTCAAATATGGAGTCCGCGTGAAGTGCTGGTTCCGCGAATCCCTTGTTGTCGGGTGGTTGTGCATGGCAAGCGATGCGTGCCGTCGGGATATCACGTTCCTGCCCTTCTATGGAGGAAAACCCACTAATGCTACGAAGCACTTGTGGGAGACGCACCAAATCCAGTCTGAAAAGACGACCCTATAGAATACGCGCAAGCGGGACCGCGCTGAAGAGGTCAACCGCATTCTAGCGTCCGCGTTATGCCGTGACGATGCCAAGCGTTTGTGTTTGTTGCTGGAGACGATTCGAATTGTCTACAACAACTTGCCATTCCGGTTTGGTGAGTACGAAGAGTCAGTCATTCTGAAGGAAGTCGTCACAAAAGGTGAGTTCAAGACAATAGTGAACTCAAGAACGGTGACACATTCACTTGTCGAGTTGTACGCATCCGGTCGCCAAGAGCTGATAGGGTTCATCAGAGACAATCGCTTGGGACATATCAAGTGTTTGACGATGGTTGTTGACTTCTGGACCCCAAAGCATGGTGGCGAAAAGTATCTCGGTTTGCGCATCTACTTCGTCGACTCCCACTTCCGACTGCGTACTGTGCTTCTCGGTACTCGTCATTTCTTGCCCATGTATGGAGAACGCGACCAAGGGATTCGCGGCCCTTTTGAGCGGTGGATTTGTGGTATTCTGTTTGACTTTGGCCTGTCCCCAAGCGACTTCTTCGGCTCCACCACTGACAGCAGCCCCGACGTTAAATGGATGATGAACGAAGGGCTTGGATTAAAGTGGGAATGGTGCATCCCTCACATGGTGAACGCTGCCACCAAGATGGGCTGCGGCTTGACGCGAAAATCGCACAATCCCGAGATGTCTGAGTTGCTAAGCAAGCTATCTCAAACGATGTACGACACCTCCACCAACTCTCCACCAACTCGACACTTGGCGACCTGCTTCCCATGCTGATGATAATGTTGGGGGAAGGCAATGGTACCCAACTAGTAGGCTACAAGCCGCATCGCTTCATGGGGATGGCAGCCACGATGGAGCGGGTACTGGAGAAGTGGCCAGCTCTGGAGGCATGGTACGAGGCGCGTTCAGCTCAGCATGCACGGAAAAAGAAGCGAGCGCCACCAGGGTTTCACCTTGCCGGTTGTCAACAGCATTTGGTGCAGCTATTATCAATCCTTACACCGATTCTTCTCGTGACGAAGCGATCACAGGCGCAGGATACGAATCAAGTGCAAGTCCTGCTGTCCTTGTATACGATGCGCATGACTTCTCTCGCACTTGACAGCCCCATCAGGCGCTACGACACGGCTCCGACGAACGCCGTCAATATTCACCCCTTTCAACTAACATCGCTGGTGGCGAGGACAAGGATGCTGCTACAGAAGGCGTTTTACCACAACTTCTTCCGCCGATATGTAGATGCAGACTACATTGCATCCGGTTCCTACATTTTTGAGATACAACTGTTGATGCATCCTTCGGTTAAGCACGTGGGGAGTCCGATGGACGAAGTGATTGCCGTCGTTGCACGTACTGAAGGGAGAATGCGGGATGATCTTGTCGCTGGTCATGTTGTCGCCGTTCGAGCTGCAATTATGAAGCGCTTGAAGTCGCTAATGCGCTTAGTAGCCAACAGTCAAGACCCAGCACCCGTTGATCCGATTGCTGCTCCAGCTGTGTAGGCCAATGTTTTCGATGACGACATTTTGGCAACCTTTGCAGTTCAACCCATCCGAAGCACCGAACGACCTGCACAACAACGTAACAAGCACGATACTCTCATCGCCGGTGAGCTGAAAAGGTGGCTAGAAGATTCGGATGGGCTGCAGATGATAACAGTTCCTGATCCAGCCAAGACGAGCGTCCGCAGACCGGAGAGTATCCTGGAATTTTGGCATCGGCAGCAGCAGTCCAAGCGCTATGTCTTGCTACCCATGGTTGCTCGCATCCTGTTTGCAGTCCCATCTTCGTCTGCTCAGATTGAAAGGGACTTCGGCAACAGTGGGCAAATGGTGACTGCCCTGCACAAGCACGGCTAATATCGACATGGCTTGCTTCCTTCATCAAAACCGGTCATTTGTCGATGTGTGCCAGTGCCCAAAGCTGAAAGCATCCGAAGTCGACGAACACATTCCAAGCAATGTCAAGATTAACGTGGAACCCGAGGTAGTGGAGCGAATGGAATGGAATCAGCTGGCACAAGCGTGCTTTTCGACATCAAGCGCAAGCGCATTTGCTTCTGACAACGAGGAGGAGACGAAAGACTCAAGCTGGTAGTTTTAACGAGTAGGAGGCGAAAGAATATCAATTTAATAAAATAATGTTTCAAACTAATAAACATTACGAATACTGCAGCGCTTTTACCTTGGCTTGGTGTGATTTCTCCAGCGCATTGCACGGTCAGCGCATTGCACGTGCGGCAGCGCGTAATGCTGTTTCGAGTGTCAGTTCGGCGCGGATTTGGCCCAGTCTCGATAGATTGGCCACGGCTTGCGGCTTCGAGGTTTGAGCTGCGGTTGGTTTACGCCTCACTTTACCTGCTCCAGCTCTAAGAACGCCTTTGGGGTGTAATGCTGGGTGATCGTTGCTGTAGGAAGTCTTGCGACCTTGTCGACCTGGGGAACTAGCTGTTTCATGATCCAATTTTGCCTCGTGCAGCGATTTCATTGTTGCTTCGATCGAGTTCCTGAATGAAGTCATCGCTTGATTCACCTCTGCCTTTATTCGGGAATCCATAATATTCTCCATGTCTTGAAGAATACTCTGGTTCGAGACAACATCTTGCTGATTGTGGCCCTGTGTAGCCATCTCCGCACGAAGATTCACAAATTTACGCTCCTGCTTGTGCTGCAGCTTGTTCAGTTTTGCGTCAAAACACAGCTCCAACTCGCGAGCGCTATCAGCAACAAGTTTTTGAGCTCCACTGTCTAGCTTCTGTCTTTCAGCGCGCAACTGAGCAGAAATCAAATCAGCCACGCTGGAGTCACGCTGTTGAAGACGGTCATCGACATAGGCTTTCATTACCGCTGTCGCTTTATTATTCACCGCTGAACTGCACGACTCCATCGCTGTCTGAAAGAAGTGCTGCGTCCACGACTTCGTGCCCTCCACTTTGCACTCCAGGTCACTCATATGCGCCCGCATCTCGGTTCGTATCCTCTCTTCTGAAGCCTCGACAGACTTACTACACTGTCTCGCCTGCACAGCTAATTGGCGCTCGACTTCTGCAACGTGATGTTCTCTCTCTGCACGAAGGTGAGCTTGAATATCGTTCTGCAGGCTGCGTGTCTGAACTTGAAGCTCTTCATTAAGTCGGCTGTGTGATGCTTGAATACCTTCTACCATCTGCTCGTTCATTCGGCGCTCGCTTTCATGGCGGGTCTGGCTGACGTGCTCGTGTGTGTAGTTCAGTAGTTGCTGCGTCCGCATATCGAGCACCAGAGTTTGTTCTTCCGTCCTGCGTCTGGCCTCCTGCAGCTGAAGCTCCATGGCTTGACGCTCGATGCTTCCGTCCACCAGCACCAGCTCTTCTTGTACGGGTAGGTGTTTCTGCTGATCCTTGATGGAAATGCTTCGGTTGCGCCTCACCACAGCACCATTTAAGCCAGCAGCGTGTGGCGGGTTTCCGCTTTGCAGAGCTTGATCATCGTCGTGGAGCTCACTTGTGTACGATACAAGAGGCGCGTATGAGTGCTGCATACTGCCTCGACTGGTGAGCAAGATGCAATGGCGTTCACGGTGCAGGGAAAGATATGTGCTCTGGTAAGGCCGGGTTAACCGAGAAGTGCCCGACGTCTCATATCAAGGCTATCCAACCAATGGGAGAAGCCAGGCCTGAACTCGTCGTTTCGTTCTCTCGAATAAGTTAAACCTTCGTTCGCTTCCTCCCGCTTAAGTTTTCATGCGTTTGAACCTTAAAACCTCACGAACTGCGGTTCCTGAGGTTAATGGATTCGTCAGTTTCGTGGGGAACAAGTCTTCATACCAGCCATGGCCTGGGATCTCTGAACACGCGGCAGCCTTACCAGCGACGTGGCGTCGAGCTATTTGGAGTCGCTCTGAGACTATGTCATGCCTATCAATGCGCTAGTCCAGATAGGTATTTCTGCTTAGGTCTGACCCAAGAAACGGACACCAACTCCATCGCGTTTTCACCTGAATATTCACGCTTGGGCATGTGAGTCGTACTACGAAGCTGAACTTGCGAATCAAGGTCACCGCCTGCGATGAAGCGCTCGGATGAAGCACCACCACACAGCTTGAGGTGGAGGCCTTGAGCCTCTGACCGACAGTCACCTCCAGGCATTATCACATTTGCTCTCGAACCAGCAAGCCCTCTACCCCACCACCTTCCAACCCCGTCAACCATGACCAAGGTGAACCTTATCCTCAGCTTCGCCGCCGCGGTCGCCGTGGCTCTCACCACCTTCGACGGTGCCAACGCTGCCAGTCTCCGCGCCGTGGACGATGACAGTTTCCTAGGCAGCTTCGACGCCAGCACCGACGCTAGCGACAGTGGCGCGGGCGAGCGCTTCTTGTTCGAGGTCGAAGGAAGTGAAAGCGCTGACGCCGACGTCGAAGGTAGCGACAGCCTCGATGGCGAGCGGTTCCTCTTGGAAGTTGAAGGAAGCGACAGCGCCGAGACCGGCGAGAGCAGTAACAGTCTCGCAGGTGAGCGGTTCCTGCAGGAGGTGGAGGGCAGTGAGAGTACCGGCGACGATGAGGGCAGCGACAGTCTCGCGGGTCAGCGGTTCCTGGTCGAAGTGGACAGCAGCGACGATAGTACCGCCGACGAGGGCAGTGACAGTGCCGAAGGCGAGCGGTTCCTGCTGGAAGTCGAAGGCAGCGAAAGTGCTGAGACCGACGAGGGCAGTGAAAGTACCGACGGTGAACGATTCCTCGAGGAGGTGACCGGGAGTGAGAGTGCTGAAGACGGCACCAGTAGCGAGAGCACCGACGGCGTCCGGTTCCTCCAAGAAGTGGAGGGAAGCGAGAGTGCCGAGGCTGACGACAGCAGTACTAGCGTCGACGGTGAGCGATTCCTCACTGAGATTGATGTCGAAGGAAGCGAGAGTGTCGAGGGAAGTGAGAGCATGGACGGCGAGCGCTTCCTCGAGGAAGTTGAAGGCAGCGAGAGTGCTGAGGACGAGGGCAGCGACAGCCTGAGCGGCGAGCGTTTCCTCGAGGAGGTGGAGGGCAGCGAGAGCGCCGAGGCTGATGGAAGTGAGAGCGCAGCAGATGAACGTTTTTTGGAGGAGGTCGAGGGCAGTGAGAGCGCTGAAGGCAGCGAGAGCGGCAGTGCGTAGGTGGCCGTGCGCCCATGGATCTCGAAGTAGGCTTGATCATTTATAAGTTGATAGTAATATCAAACGCCAGTTGCAATGCATCACTCTCGTTTTCCTACATGCGATCTCCACTTCAACCACTTCAGCCAGCACCACCCAGAGCCCATTCACCACCGTCTGCAGCCTGTAAACTAAAATCGAGGCTTGTTCAAGGACTGCTGCTGAATTCCGTACAACGGGCCAGACGGAAGTCGATAGGGTCGTTCCAGAGTAGCCTCGATTCAAAACTGCGCACCCCTGCTATTTAAATGCATACACTGGAAACGAGAGTGCTGCTTTGACGGCGCACATCATTCCTCGACGACGCCTGTTGTCGTTGACACATGGCTACATGATTCATTTTGGCAGCTGTCGGCAAAGTGGTCCATGCGCGTCTTACGTAACGCCACCGCGCAAACACCGCGCAATTTGCGGGAGCCCCGCACGCGGGCGTGTCAGCGCAGCAACTTGATCCAGCCTCGCAGCACCGGCATCCGCGAAGGTCGCAAAGACAGGAGAGAGCCGCAGCAGCAGCTCGCGCGACCGCCGAAAGGTCCGTCGTCGCCGAGCTGAGCCGAGCCAGTGTCCAGCGCTGGGGCGCACGCGCGTGCATGTACACTCCACGACAAAAAGATATGGACACCACCAAAACTTCGTCAATTTTTATCGTTTTAAGGTGCGGTTTGGACTAGAGTTGCAGAACACGCTGATAAAGATCTGCACGTTGCTAACACGCGCGCTTTTGCTTCTTCAGGTAGCTCACATACAAATCACTGGTTCTGCCCAGGTATGAACAGCTAATCCCCATACAAAATCCTATATTAACCAAAACCCCTTACAAATGATACGACTTGGACTTTGTATGGGGCGACAAAGGAACCAGCCTCACGGCGATACTCGCGACGTTAGACAAAGATCTAATGGCATTATCGTGTACTAGAAGGTGTGTTTAGTAACCTGTAATAAATACATCGACCATCGCACAAAACTGAGCAAGTAGTAAGCGACTGAAATTTCGAGTGGTGGCTACCATGTATTATCTGATGATTTGCGAGGCACGTTCAGTTGCATCCTAGTTAGTGCCAATTTGTAGCTCTGTATGCTGCTATCTCTTGGATATACGATTGTCTTCTCCATTTTAAACTGTTGGTCGATGATATATGGCTCAGTACTAAGGTAGAGTGGAGAAATCATGGGTTCCTTTGTCGCCCCATACAAAGTCCAAGTCGTATCATTTGTAAGGGGTTTTGGTTAATATAGGATTTTGTATGGGGATTAGCTGTTCATACCTGGGCAGAACCAGTGATTTGTATGTGAGCTACCTGAAGAAGCGCAAAAGCGCGCGTGTTAGCAACGTGCAGATCTTTATCAGCGTGTTCTGCATCTCTAGTCCAAACCGCACCTTAAAACGATAAAAATTGACGAAGTTACAGCCACTTTTGGTGGTGTCCATATCTTTTTGTCGTGGAGTGTATGGCGCAGCCAGCCTTCCTGCCGTTGCCGAGCCGAGCTCGAGACCGCGGCGTGTCGACGAAACTGTGTCAACGCGGGCGAGATCGCCAGCCGATTTGCGGCGGCGGCGCTTATCTTCCGCCTGGGCTTCAACCACACGCGCTTCCACTTGGTGTGCGCCACACCGCCTCATTTTTGGACCAATCGCTGCGCGCGTGCGAACCTGTTCAAGCATGTCGTGATGCGTCACACCTCTTTCCTCTTATCGTTCGTATAACATGAAACATCCTATATAACAGGTAACAACAAGTTGCAGACATTTTTGTGCCTAAGCATATCTGCGAATTTCACTACCACCATCAGTTTTCATCCACAGAACCATCGCCTTCCACAGAGTATCCGCTCGGCCTGGAGCGACTGAGCCATCAACTCGGAAACGCAGAAGAGTCTCCATTCGCCAACACTTCACCCGAGCCGCACGCGCTCTTCCTCGCCCGCACTCCACCACTACCTACCCTCCTGCCTGCCCGCCCGCCCGCCGCATGCACTCGTCCCTGAACTTCGAGGCCCTGTGGCCCTCGCCGCCCAAGCGCGCGCTGCCTCGGCGCCGTAGCCGCAGCGTGCGCTCGGCGCTGGCGCGCGCCGTGTTTCCGCGCGTGATGGAGTTCAAGGTCATCAGCCGCGAGAGCGAGAAGCACGAGTTCATGCCCGTCGTGTACCTCATGGAGCGCTCGCCCGCCTGGCGCCGCCGCGTGCCCTCGCTGGTCGAGCGCGCGCTCGTGGAGGACTACATCACGCCGCTGGTGGCCGAGATCCCGGACGACGCCGGCGCGGATCTGACGAGCCAGCTGGCCACCGTGCGCCGTGAGATGGAGCTGCGCGCAAACCTCATCGACCCGTCGCGGCCGTCGCTGGACGGTGTCAGCACCGACGAGACGGACTACAAGATGGGCGTGCTTGTGGACTTCAAGCCCACGCCCGGCAACCCGGGCAAGGCCGCGCTCAACAAGGTCGTGTTCCAGATCGCGACGGCGCTACGCGCCGCGTCCTACAGCCGCGCGCTCGTAGTGCCCGTGGCCATGCACTACTGCTCGGCCGCCAGCTTCCTGGACGTGCGACGCTACGCCGGACTGCGCTACGGCGCGCCCGTGCTGCTGGAGGAGCGCGAAGTCGCCATCTTCGGAGAAGACCCCACCGAGTTCACGCAGCACTTTAGCGCGCGTCTGCGCGCGGCGCTCACGATGCCCCCGCCGCCGTCTGTGGCGCAGATCGAGATGCTGCGGCTCACGCGCACGCTGCACGTGTACTGCGCCAAGGTGGTGCGCGACGACTGCTTCTCTAGAAGACAGCGGGCCTCCATGAACGAGGAGATCATGCAGATCCACTTCCGCACGTCGAACCATCCCGCCATGCACGAGCTGAAACGCAATATGGCGGCTTATTGCGCAACTCTCAAGCACTGGAAGCTGCGAGACGAGGATATCAACTCAGCTAGCGTGCTGCTGGCCGTCGAGGATGTGCCAAAGCACCCACTGCACTTTGTGTGGCTGTTAGCCGCAGCGCTGCGCTTCACCTTCAAGCTGCCTGGACGGTTGTTCCTTGCCAGCGCGTGCGACCTCATCTACCGCTTCCCGCCCCGTAAATCGCACAACAGGTCGCTTCCATTGGGCGCCGCTGCGGTCAAGGCTTCTCTGGGCTGCCTCGCGCTTGGCGTGCTCGTACGTGCCGTTCCATCGAGCATTCTGGGATGGTTTTTCGCTGTGCTTGTGGCGATTGTGATGATTGTGGACGCGGCGACTGCGCACACTGCGGCGGCCGATGTGCAGCACCTCACCCAGCACTGGAAGAAGCTCCAGTTCTACGTAATGGACGCGGACGAATTGACGCGTCTGAAGGAGACTCGTGCTGTGCTGGCTCGCAGCATCCATGACATCGTGGCGCGCTACATGTGCACCGATCTGCCCCCTCCGGTTCTACAGGATGCGTCCAAGTCTGCGGCTTCACCGACCTCTGCGCTGCTGGACAACGACGAGTACACGCTCAACGCGCACCACAAGATATTTATTAACGCGCCGCGCTCGTTCCCGCTGTCTTTCGCTGCCAAGATGAAGAACCCGGAGACTGCTCGACGCGTAGTATACGCACCGAAGATGCTGCGCGATGAGACGTGGCGTAACATCTACGAGACTTTGGCTCCTGGACACCTGCGCTTCCGCGTACTGCTGACTGACAACAAGAGCGACAACCTGCCCATGGACGAGCTAATTGCTACTCCATTCTTCGGAGCCGTGCTGTCCGCTTACATCTTGTACCAGACGCGCTATGGTGATGAAGAGAGCAGCACGTCCAGCTCAAGTGGCGACGACGCTCACTTAACCAACGATGGGGTTCAGCAGGAGCAGGCTCGCGTGTACAGCCAGACCGAGCAGGACGTAGACGAGCAAGCGCTTGGAGGTTATGGCTCCATCCAGGAGATTGTTGACGCAGCAATCCAAATGGCCCAGGATGAAGAGGAATTGACTGAGTAAGATGAATCAATGTATGTACGGTAATACAAACTCGACTGTTGAAAGGATCATGTTGAAGTTGGCCTTAGCTGTATCCTGTGAGTTGACGTTAGCGAAGAAGTACTTCAAGATAAGGATCGTACAAAAGGACCAACCTACCTTGTGCCCTGGTCGACGCAGCAAGTCCTCCTTCAGATGGCGTGTAGCCGACAGGCGCAGATCCATACAAGCGTTGGGTATCTTGCCGGCTGCTTTTCATGGGCGCATCCGCTGACATCAGCAGCTTGTCAATGGTATCCCCGCTCCTGCGGTTGCTGTTGAGTCAGTCAGACGACAAAGTATCATCGAAATATTTGATATCGCTCACCTCGCAGTCGGCGAGTAGCTTCCTGCCTTCTGCAGTGGCAGCTTGGGAACGCCAAAGATGTCGAGTTGGTCTCTCAGTTTGGCTTCCTCTGCTTCAAACATTCGCACGCGGTGGAAGTTCCCGCGAGAAACCTAGAAGACAAGCAACACACCTGAGTAAGTGTCAATTGTAGCGACCCATAACAGAGTAGAATGGCCTACCTGTCCTTTGTAGCTGCTGGAGTAGGCAGCAACGTCTTGAAAAGTACTTGAACCGCAGATGAATCCCTCATCACTCGTGCCCAGATCGGATTTCCTTGCAGCCCGAGGAGGACTGCCCATTGGATGAACGGGTGCAGCGGATGTGGTAGTAGGCATTGGTGCGTTCCGTGCCACTTGTGCTGCCTGGAACTCGCGCAACTTGCGCTGCATCAAGTCGCCTAGGCGGTCCACAACACCGAGTTCGGCGCAGCATTCGTACATCAAGTTCATTTTCGAGTTCTACAACGAGGATTGTGAGTTAGTGTGACGCAGCTGAAGCCAACAGGTTCTCAGAGTACAACGTACAAGTCCGTAGACCTCGCGCTGGAGCTTGTCATTTTGAGCTTTCAACTCTTCGATGGCAACTCGGCTCTCCATGGCCTGTCGACAGATATCCACATCAGAAACACCGCATTATCCCCTACAATGTAACGCAGCTTACCTCGCGCATCCACTGCCCCGTCATCGGATCAAACTTCTTTCCATCGGCGCCACATTCGCCTGCTTGACTTCGAGGAGAGAACATCTTCCGCAGCGACCAGAATTTCAAAACAACTCATCAACAGCAATTGCCGCCATTGCCCAACTCGTCCTCTACTCATATATCTCCGCACTCAAAATAGGTAAAGCCTCATACCACATGGTTGTCAAACGTCATGCCATGTTAGCTCACTGTAGCTAATTGGAACTTGCTCTAGGGGATCTTGTAAGGACCTCTACGGTGTCGGCAGTGCATCGTTCAAAGCGAACGCACATTTCAGATCTGCTCGCGCTGAACCGCACGGTCAATCGTCACGGACTGGGAGTACGGGTTGTAGCGGGCCTGGAAAGGCTTCTTCAAGTCCTCGCAGAAGGCGCGCATCTTCTCCTTGGCGTCAAACTGTGAGCGCATGATAAACATATACATCAACAACATATCCTTCTGAAATACTCTCATAGCAGTATGTCCTCACCAAGCTGTCGGCCACGTAGTAAACGGGCTGGTAGGTCGTGATGGGGTATTTCTGCTTGCAAGCCGAAAATGGGTCCCACGGACGGTACTCCGGCACATCAGCACCCGCAGGGCGGTTGGTAGCACAGGCGTACTCCATCTCGCCGAAGCTCGAAAGCAATCCAGCACCGTAAGCCTATACGATCGCATTTACCACGTTTAGTGATTCAGTACTGTCATCGACATTAGTACACGCAAAAGGGTTACAAACCTTGTATTCACCACGCTGCTTCGTGAGACCAAACTCAACAGAAAACCAGTAGCACTGCTCACACAGACGCAATAATATGGTTAGATGATTGCAACGTGGGCTGAGCATCAATAAGCAAGAATTACCGTGGCTAGTCGCTCGATCTCTTCATCCGACGCACCGAGCGAGGCCAGACCAACTTCGTGCGAAAAGTCAGCGAAATCGGGGTCCTGTTGCCAAATTATGCCGGTTTAAACGCCTTTCATCAACATTTATACATACTGGATAAAGTACGCACCGCGAACATCGGCGCGTGGCCCATGAGCTCGTGGCAAATGTCAGGCTCCGGGGTGTACAGAGGCATCGAGTGGTGGCGAATGTACTGCATCAACAAAGATCAACACAGTCAGCTATCTTCGACATCAAAGCACTCATATCTGTGCGTATGCTTACCTGCGTCGAGAAGAACACACGGAATGCCAGGCCGTTCAGGAAATCGCGCGACGACAGCAGACCACCCACCGGGCGCAGAGTGAAGCCCGTGCACTCCTTGAGGAAGTTCGAGATATCCTGCTGCTGCGGGATGTTGTCCTCGGCGTAGCCGCAGTTGCTCTCCAGCAGCGGGATGATGTAGTTGAACTCGTCGCACGCGTGCTGCTTCCACATCTCCTTCATGCGCTTGTAGATGACTCCCCAAGTCTTGATCTGGCGCATTTCCACATGACAAAACGCATCACATCAGCATACGGATCAAACTAACACCACCCTGGCTCATAACTGCAAACGCACCTCATCCTGCGTGTAGTCAAGCCGAGGAATCGGGTCTCCCTGGCGGTACTTCTGGGAGATCTCAGCGAACATGTTGCGGCGTTTGCGGTACACTTGGTCCTTAAAGCACACAAAACCAGCGTCAGCCCAATGCGATCCTGTAAGCCACACAGCAGGCAATCCAAACGTCCACGTACGTTGAAGCCCGGGTGGTCCGACTCCAGGTCCGTTCCGGCGTCCAGGATGTTGGCCACGGAGCGGTCGAGCTCCTTGATCTTGCGGGGGAACCACGGCACTGCCCACATCCAACGTCAATAACGTCAGTCCACCTAAACCAATCACTCTTTTGGGCCTCTCAGCTGCTCCCACCCTTCTTGTCGTGCAGCACCACGACGTCCAGGCAGTTCCGCTCGAGGTCGGCCATGAGCTCGTCCACCGCCGCGTCGCCGCGCTTGCCCTCGAAGTCGATGAAGAAGCCGTAGTTCATGTTGTGGCCCTTGGCGGGGCGCGACTCGATGCGCGTCATGTTGACGTCGTGCTTCCAGAAGAACTTGAGCGTCTCCTGCAGCGCGCCGGGGCCGTCCTCCACCTGCAGCATGATGGACGTCTTGTTGTCCTCGCGCAGCGAGCCGTAGAGCCGCGCGCTCTGCAGCCACGAGGCCGCGAGTGGCGCGGGACGCACACCCTGCGCGAGGAAGGAGGTGCGGGGGAGGCGGGCGAGCGAGCGCAGCATCACGACGACAGGTGTGCGGTGTGGCGCGGGTTGTTCAAAGTGACTGATTTCCCGCCGGTCTGTTGGGCCTTGAAGTTCACTTTGATTGGACGCGAAAAACCGCGTCACACCATTGTAGGTTGCGACCTAGATTTCAAGCTGTTTACACGTTTCCATACTGAGTCGACCTAGATTTCAAGCTGTATACGTTTCCATACTGAGTCGAAGTCTAAAATGAGAAGAGATGCGTGTTGTAGGTTGCACTATCCACGCGTGTCGAACCCATTCCTCCCACCGATGGGACGAGAATCTCTATGAGACGCAGATTATCATTGCCAAGCTTCAGCGTGTTCGTGCTTGCTGGAATGCACGTGCTGCTACATATTGTACATGTACTGAGCCATACTTTAAATACGTTGACCGGAGGTTGAAGCTACAGTGTGAGAAGCAATCGATCTTGAGTACAGATACCACCCAGAAACTGCAAACCGTATAAATTGATACCCTTGTGGAATCATGATATCAAGGGACATCATCTCAGGAGGGAGCGAGACCATGGCAAGATCAACTTCTGTCCGAAAGCTTGTCATGTAAAATAGTGTGTCCCACATCATTTACATCACGGTACGTACCTAAATAACGGTACACCACGTTTAATCGTAATCGTATGGTTTTATACTAAAACCCTACCATTAGAGGGAAATCTTTCTCCCCGCATTTCACTTCGGTGTTTCGAGAAAGAAACAAGCAGCCAAGCAACGGAAGGACGACGATGAAGCTCACGGTCAAGACTCTGCAGGGCGTCGCCTTCCCCCTGGACGCGGAGCTCACGGACGCGGTAAGCAGCCACACCACCAGAATCTCCGCTTAACGGCGCGTCCACGCGTGCCTCTCTCGCCCCGCGGCGCGCTCTGCAGCCGTGGCAAAAGATCGGGGCAAGACGAGAGACTATCGACTTTGGCCACTGACCATCACTCTTGCGCTTTTTGTCTCCAGGTGTCGGCCGTGAAGCAGAAGATCGAGGGGCTGCAGAACTTCCCCGTAGCCCAGCAGAAGCTCATCCACGCGGGCAAAGTGCTCAAGGACGACAGCACGCTAGCCGAGTACAATGTCAAGGAGAACGACTTCCTCGTCGTGATGGTCACCAAGCCCAAGGCGCCCAAGCCGTCAGCTGCTGCTGCCCCCGCTGCTGCTGCTGCTGCTCTGGCATCTACGCCCGCTGCTGCTGCGGCGGCCCCCACGCCTGCCGCTGCTCCGGCTTCGGCCGCGCCTAGCACGTCGTCGGCCTCCAGCAGCTCTTCAGCCACCGCCGCGGCCGTGTCGACCCCGTCCGCTGCCCCGGCGACGACTGCTGCCAGCTCCTCGTCGGGAGACGGCAGCGGCCTCGTGGCCGGCGAGCAGATGAGCGCTGCGGTGCAGCAGCTCGTGGACATGGGCTTCCCCGAGGACCAGGTGCGCAGTGCCCTGCGTGCCGCCTTCAACAACCCGGAGCGCGCCGTGGAGTACTTGATGAACGGCATCCCCGAGCAGGCTGCGGCACCCGCGCAGACGGCTGCCCCGTCGGCGGGAGGAGCAGGTGCTGGCGCTGGTGGCGACGAGGCGGCCAACTCGCTCGAGGCGCTCCGCAACCACCCGCAGTTCGATGCGCTGCGTCAGCTCGTGCAGTCCAACCCGGCGGCCTTGCCTGCAGTGCTTCAGCAAATCGGCGCCCAGAGCCCAGAGCTGCTGCGCTTGATCCACCAGAACCAGGACCGCTTCGTGCAGATGCTGAACGAGCCGATTGGTACTCGCGACGCTGGAGCAGCCCCGAGTGGAGCTGGCGGCGCGCCCTTTGACCTGGGCATGGGCGGCGGCGGCGCCATGCCGACCCCGCAGCAGATCCAGCAGTTGGTGGACTCGCTCACACCGGAGCAGCAGGCTCAGATGGCGGCACAAATGGGAATGACCCCCGAGCAGCTCCGTGGGCTCTCTCAGATGCTCAGCAACCTGCCTCCCGGAGCTATGGAGCAGATGATGGCATCTATGGGAGGACAGGGCGGCCTTGATGGACTTGGCGGAGGAGCAGGCGCCGGTGCTGGCGGCCACCGGATCATGCTGACTGAGGAAGAGGCGGCGGCGGTTGACAGACTCTGCGAGATGGGCTTCGAACGCACCGATGTGATTCAGGCATACTTGGCATGCGACAAGAACGAGGCGTTGGCGGCTAACTTCCTTATGGATAGCGGAGACTTTGGCGGCGCTGGTGGCGCAGGAGGCGACGACAACGATGACATTTACGGCTAAATATCATACACTTGAGCGAGCGAGCGCCCCCAGGCCTGGTCGGCAAGACGCGCGACACTCCTCTTGCTTTGTAGTTCGTACGTCGAGCGTCTTGCGGGTGATCAGACCGCCGCCTTGTTCTCTCTCGCTGACAGAAATACCGATGCGGTTTTGACTGATGACGTGTTGTATAGTGCGGTTCTCTATTGAAACTTGCCGTAGGAACATCCCATGCGACCTGATCCAGCGGAATGTGAAAGCTGTCCTTGAACTTCGCAGTTCGCAACAGGCTGGCTCGGGCCAGAACAGACGACGTACGTCGGGAAAGTATAAAAATACTCCGCTTCGTTCGGCGATAGCTGCCTTCAGACGACGGGCAGCGCCAAATTTGGTTTCGGTTTGGCCTGCCTCCACTTCCGACGCGTGGGGATTGCAAGGCGCCGATCATCTTCCGACTTCCGGTGGTTTTTGTACGCGGCTGTAGGTCAGCAACACAGCACCAGCCATGGGTGAAGAGGTCGAGAAGCACGTGCTGCGCAAGTACGAGCTGCTGCAGAAGCTGGGCAAGGGAGTACGTGCTAGTTTGATAACCTTGTTGTCAGGAATAAGTGTCTTGCTAACGCTCGAGGGTTATGGGGCTTGTCTTGTGTGAGCAGGCGTACGGCATCGTGTGGAAGGCCATCGACAAGAACAACCGGCAGGTGGTGGCGCTCAAAAAGTGCTTTGATGCCTTTCGGAACGCTACGGACGCGCAGCGCACTTTTCGCGAGGTCATGTACCTGCAGGAGTTAAACGGCCACAGCAACATCATTCGGCTACTAAACGTGGTGAAGGCCGACAACGACCGTGACATTTATCTCGTGTTCGACTTTATGGGTATGTGCCGCAAAGGTTCGTTGTGATCGTTGAAACTAGGTCCTAACTCCGTGCTTTCTCGGCAGAAACGGACCTGCACGCTGTCATACGAGCCAACATTTTGGAAGAGATCCACAAGAAGTATATCATCTACCAGTTGTTGAAGTCCCTCAAGTACATGCACACGGCGGAGCTGTTGCATCGTGACATCAAGCCCAGCAATCTTCTCCTGAACTCGGACTGCCACACCAAGCTCTGCGACTTTGGACTGTGTCGTTCCGTGGCCGAAATCAGCGGACCCAACCCTGTTCTCACGGACTACGTCGCCACGCGATGGTACCGTGCACCGGAGATTCTGCTGGGCTCAACACGGTACGCCAAGTCGGTGGATATGTGGGCCGTCGGCTGCATCGTGGCCGAAATGGCTACCGGTCGACCTGCCTTCCCCGGCACGTCGACGATGAACCAACTCGAGCGTATCCTGGACGTCACCGGGCCGCCGTCACAAGACGACATCGAGAGCATCAAGTCGCCGTTCGCCAACACAATGCTCGAGAGCTTGCCGACACCCAAACAGAAGCCGCTGGAGGAGCTGTTCCCGAAGGCGTCACCTGAAGCGCTCGACCTCATCAAGCAATGCTTCTGGGTACGTTAACTATGGCCACTGATACTGTACGGTTACTATCCTAACACTACTTGTTATTTGCGGCTTGTGCTACTAGTTTGACCCGTCCAAGCGGATCTCGGTCATCGACGCGTTGAAGCATCCGTACGTGGCCCAGTTCCACAACGAAAAGGACGAGCCCAGTGCTCCGGCACCTCTGCAGATTGTGGTGGACGACAACACCAAGTATTCCGCCGCCGACTACCGCGACCGCCTCTACCGAGAGATCATCAAGAAGAAGAAGGAGGTTCGGCGGAAAGCCGGAGAGCAAGAAGCCGCAGGAGCAGCGGCGGCCACTACCGCGCAGTAGGCAAGACAGCGAGGCTATCGCCATTATAACAACACTAACAGCACTTATCAAGTCATTTATACACCCCAAAAAAACGTAAGAACACATCGCCTTCCCATTCTTTGTCCAAGTATGGTATTTACGGGACTCAGTTTAAACAGTTATAACGCCGATCGGTTCGGATAAGACGTCACTTCACTGTCTGTCCACGTAGGCATCACCGAAATGCTGCCGTCCGGCATCGCGCTCGCGTCCGCCGTGGCAAGCGGCCTGGCGTCTGCGCAACGGCTGCATCCAACCAGCCAGCACCTGCAGGACCTGCAGACCCAGTTGCAGCCTGAGTTGGCGACAGAGCGCGTCCTGACGCAGTCCAGCGAGCACGCCGAGGAGGCAGAGGACGAGTCAGACCTGGTACACAACCTGCCAGGTCTGGACCCAGCGGCCGACGTGACGCAGCACGCAGGAAGAATCGCTCTAGACGGCAACGACAAGAGCAAAATCTTCTATTGGCACATCCAAGCCGCCAAAGACGCCGACAAAGTGCCTCTCGTCATCTGGTACAGTGCGCTCCAATGAACAATGTCAATGAATACCATCAGTTCGTAGTTGTTTCCCAATTGCTAACCTATATATGTTATATTATTTAGGTTGAATGGGGGTCCTGGGTGTTCCAGTATGCAGGGGCTGTTCCTGGGCAATTCGCCGTTCAAGTTGGTGGACGACTCGACGATCGGCAGGAACGAGCACAGTTGGCACCAGTTCGCGAACCTTTTGTTCGTCGACCAGCCTGTGGGCACGGGCATGTCGTACACTCGGGGCAACGACTACCGCGATGATGAGAGTGCCGTAGCTGATGATTTCCACGAGTTCCTGACCAAGTTCTTGCAGCGACACTCCGAGTATCTGTCGGATGGGGAGGACGGATTGAAACACTCTAGGGCTGTGTACTTGTTGGGGGAATCGCATGCGGGACGGTGGATCCCGGAGTTCTCGGAGCGGATTTTGCAGAAGAATAGCAACCCGAACTACCAGATTAAGATCGACTTGGGGGGCGTGGGCATTGGCAACGGATGGGTGCATCCACGGATTCAGTACGAGTACAGTGACTACGCCCACGGCCTTGGACTGTTGACGTTCGGCCAGGTGAGATCGCTCAAGGCTGACTATTCTAAATGCCTGGCACATCTGGATTCTGGGACCTACTATTCGAAAGACTGTTTGGGGAATATGGATGCCATCACGGACAGTGTCAAGGCTGGAAATGGAGGAAACAGCCTCAACTTTTACGACGTGCGGCAATATGTACACAGCGTTGGCGCGTACCCGTCGGGTAAAAACAACATTGTCAAGTACATGAACAAGATGGAAGTACGCAAGGCTGTGCATGGAAACGAGGACAAGAACTTCCGCTTTGATCTTTGCAGCAACGGAGTGTGGCGGGCGCTGTCCAAGTTTGATGGCGTGAGCACACTGGACAAAGTGGAGTCGCTGCTTCAAGGCGGGCTTCGGATGCTCTTTTACAATGGGCAATGGGATATGATGTGCAATCACTACGGGACTGAGAAGCTGCTGCTGAATTTGAACTGGAACGGATCGGATGAGTATCAGCGTGCCAACAAGTTCACGTGGCGAGTGTCAGGTCGCAATGAACCCGCAGGGTTTGCACAACAGGGTGGCAATTTGACTTACGTGGTGGTTACCGGTGCGGGACACATGGTGCCTATGGATGTGCCTGATGTGGCTGCAGACATGTTGCACCGCTTCGTGAACAACCTCGAGTTCAACGATAAACAGCAAAGCGTCCTTAACACGCGCTTGAACGCGACCGACCTCGAGGTTTCGTTGTGTTATCCGCCATCGGATGCGGCCGCTACAGACGTTGCCTACTCCACCCAAGATCAGGCAGGCGGAAGCAGCACTCACGTACACATCGGAATCACGTGGCTGTGGGTGGCGCTGGTCATCGCTGCAGTAAGCAGCATTCTGGCCGTGTGCGTCACGCTTGCTTGCCTGCGCAATAGAAGGCACGGGCAGTCGAACCATGAAATGATCACCCAAGTGAGCGACGATGAAGACGAGGGCCAACTGGACGATGAGGACGAGGAACAGTATTCTGACGAGGAAGACGTCGGGGAACGTGTACCCGTCAATAGTGTGAGCCAGCGAGCCCCAAGTCCTCGCTCTCGTGTGACCGAGGTATAAATTGTCGGTGTTTGTCTTTCAGACCAAGCTGCGTAGTTTGATGTGCATCGCCCCACAGCGTGAAACTCTACGGCGTCTGTGGATCTCGTCGAGCAACCAGTACCAATGATGATCGCCATTCAGCCCAGGAAGCCGTCATGCGTGGTCTATTTAGGACGCTCATCCAGACAGAAGTAGTTTTCTAAATCGAATTCCGTTGTCGTTCACTCACAAATATGACGCTCGTGCCAGTCATGCCTCAGCAAGTTTCTCCCGCTACCACGAACAAGCACACACTTCGTGTGTGGGGATCGCAAGTGTTAAAACGAGTCTTGCTCACCTGGAATCGGGTCAAGATCGCTAAACTTTCTAAGTACTCTACCGAGCGCGCAGAAGCTCTGGACAAATATTGCCAACACACATCTCTACTGAGAGTAGTGTTACTCTGCGCATTGATCCCATGACCGTCGCTGCTGCTGGAGCTCGTGATTGAATGCATTCCAGTTGACGAGCCTTAACGCGGGCTGGAAGTAAATATCGGAGCTTGCTTCCGAGTCACCATCATCGTCTTCTCCGTCGCCGCCGGAACTTTATTCCAGGTTCGAGCAATGACACCAGGGTTAACCGGCCGGAAAATACTCATTATCGTGCTGATCACCGGGTGTGGCGCAACGTTGATAATGTTTGGAATCTGCAGTTGGATGTTCCCGTTTCCGTTTTCTGTGGTGTTTGTTGGGCTTACGGCTGGCGCATTGTTCGTCCTGAGCTTTCTACTCGCCACTAAGAGGGAGAGCGGCCGTATTAGTATCACACCTGCACAAGAGGTCGTTCCAGCACCGAAAACTTCACTCCGGCAAAGTGTGTACTTGTTCATTGCTCAAGGGGTGCTAGTTGCAGTCTACTTGACCTTCAGCTCGGTTTTCACGGCATGTTCATTCAAAGAGCAAGTCGCGCTTCTTCTCTTTCTTCCTATCATGAAACTCGGTTTGAAGCACATGGTGGCGCGACTCGCGTTCGGTAATCCAGAATCGATCCCGGCCGTCGTAGTGTTTACCGTGGACGTCTTCAACGGGTTGTACAGCTCAATTTGCATCCAGGCCGCCAAGTCCTGGAGGACGTCGTTGCTAATGATATCGTTGAACTTCTCCAATACGATGATATCGATTTTTGACATCGATCAAGCAGCGCAATTATTCCGTGAGCTCGACAGAAAAAGTAATGACTCCGCACAAGTACAGGTACTTTGGGATACAAACTCTGACTCCCGATACCGCTCGTCTAGCCTGGTGCAGAGCGCGAAATGGCACACCCAGACGAAGTTAAACGCGAAAGGCACTACTAATACTGCCGGTGTAATGCTGTTACCTTCGCGTACGCCAGCGTCCGTCACTACGAGGAAATCAGACATTTCGACTGCCCTGCTATTCCACCTGGAGTACCGAGCGCTTGTTGGCTATATCGAAGCTGCGATCCCGATGCTGTACGCCATGCACTTGTCGATCCTGGTGCACATGTCAAGCGTCAAATACTACCCAACACTCGAAACCTTACGTCGGACCAGCTACAAACCAATGTGCTGAGCATTTGACATACGCGGTAACGGAGATCTTGTCTCTAGTATTGCTTCACGTTGTGGTCAAACGCAAGCTCGGCTTCTCGTTACTCTATCAGCTCGCGTATGTGTTGGAAACTGAGACGGAAGCGCTGCAAGGGCAGTTGTTTGTGTGGATCGTTCTGTTGCTGCAGCTCCCGTTGGTTCACTTCGGTACGCAGTTGTGCTGAACTACGTGTAGAGGCATTATCATGGTATTGCATCCTATTTTTCTTCTCATCATCTTACGGATATGTGCTGCTTGTGTTGTGTTTGAGTTGTGTTTGAAGGTGTGGACTTCAGTTTTCGGTTCGAGTGGTTAGTCTGAGGACACAGTACGCGTTAAAAAATCTGAAAACTGTAGCGGCTTGGTCCTCATACGCAGCTAGAATATACATCTAGCGATAGCTCTTTGCCGTATATTGCGAGCTTTGGGATATTCGCTTCGAACACCATCAAGCGATATCCGATCTTGGCTAGAATTCCTACGGTCAGCCGATTCCTTTGCCCAGCAATCGGTCGGCCATGATATCTATTTGGGACGCTTATAGCCAATTTCTAAATCGAATATCGTTGTCGAGCACTCACAGGATGACCCTCGGTCCTGTTGTGCCTCAGCGAGTCTCTCCTGCTACCCCAAACCAGCCCCAATTTGGTACCTGGACATCTCGCGTGTTGAAGCTAGTGGTCATTCTCTGGAATCGGGCCAGCATTTCTAACCTTTTACAAGTACTCTTTCGAGCGCACAGAAGCTCTGGATAAATATTACCAGCAAACGTCTCTATTAAGAGTGTAGCTGGTTTGCGTGCTGATTCCGTGGCCGTCGCTGTTGCTGGAGCTTCTGATTGAATGCGTTCCCGTAAACGACCCTCAACGCGGGCTAAAAGACAATCTGGGAGTTTGTTTTCGGGGTACTATCTCGTCTTTTCCGCCGCGACTGCAACTTTATTCCAGGTTCGAGCATCAACACCAGGTCTAACACCCATGAAAATACTCCTTATCGTGCTTATCACCGGATGCGGCGCAACCTTGATGATGTTCGGATTAAGCTGCTGGATGTTTCCATTTCCGTTTGGCGTTGTCTTCGTTGGGATTGCGGCTGGGCCATTATTCGGTGCAACCTTTATAGGAAAAGAGAAGCCGCGTCGGACTAACCGAAGATGACATTTCAGCACCAAAGCCTTCACTCCGACAATGTGTTTACTTATTTGCCGCCCAGGAAGTGCTAGTAGTGGTCTACTTGGCATTCAGCTCGGTTTTCACGGCATGCACGTTCAAACAACGGATTGTACTTCTTTCTCTTTCTTCCTATCATGAAACTCGGTTTGAAGAACATGGTGGTGCGACCCGCGTCCGATGACCCAGAATCCATTCCGGCCATCGTAGTACTCACCGTTGATCTTTTCAACGGGTTGTACAGCTCAATTTGCATCCAGGCCGCCAAGTCTTGGCGGACGTCGTTCTTAATGATCGCGTTGAACATCCCCAGTACAATTGCATCCGTTTTCGAAATCAATCAAGCAGCGCGTGCATTTCGTAAGCATGACAGCACCACTCAGCCTCAACAATACAGTGAGCGGCGGCTGAAATCTCCGACTGCCGGTACCGCACGTCTAGCCTGATGCAAAGTGCAAAATGGTAGACACCCAGTCATCGCCAACCGAAAATCACTTTTCAAGGCCATGCCAGAAAATCCGAGATTTCCTCTGATCTCCTGTTCCGCCTGGAGTACCGAGCGCTTGTCGGCTACATTGAAGCTGCAATTTCCATTCTGTATGCCACCCACTTATCGATTCTAGTCCACATGCCAAGCGTCAAATACTATCCCAACACTCGAAACCTTACGTCGGACCAGCTACAAACCAATGTGCTGAGCATTTTGACATACGCGGTAACGAAGATCTTGTCTCTAGTATTGCTTCACGTTGTGGTCAAATGCAAGCTCGGCTTCTCGTTACTCTATCAGCTCGCGTATGTGTTGGAAACTGAGACGGAAGCGCTGCAAGGGCGGTTGTTTGTGTGGATCATTCTGTTGCTGCAGCTCCCGTTGGTTCACTTCGGTACGGGACTCAATGTAGTTAAATCATGCGGGATTTTTTGCATCATCTGATAAGATTTGTTTGCTATGTGAAGGTGTCGACTTCAGTTTCCAATTCGAGTGGTTGCGCTGACCGGGAATAAATCTGCGGAGCTATCTAATCTGGAGAGCTATAGTGCTCGTCATCCCTGGCTTCGACAGCAAGGGTCTGCGCTTGATCATAGGATACGTTCAGTTCGAGATGAAATTATAGTATACGATCTAAGCCTCCTCAGCAATTTTCCCTCGTGTTGGTCATGCTTCATGATGTTCCGCGTCTCTACCGTAGCTAAAAACAGTTTAGACTTTTTCATGGCGCTCACTTCTGCACGATGATCATTAGCTGCCGCATCATTCTATTGTTGACTGGGTATTGTTAGAATTTGTTGCCTTTGTGACGGTCATTCGAAAACGGGCAGCGACAAACAACACATTTGCTTGAGGACGTCAGGGTACGGCAAGAGCATGCCTCTGAATTCTGTGGTGCCCAGTAATGGGAACCCTCTGAGTGCTACTCCGGTCCAGCCTTTCTCGTCATGGCTCTTGAATCAGCTCATGGCGTTGCGAACACGGGCAAAAATCTCCAAGCTTGGAAAATATTCGGCAAAACGCGTGGAGTCGCTTGAAAAATACTGCCAGCAGACTTCCCCCTTACGAGTGATACTGGTTTGTACTCTGATGCCGTGGCCTGCATTGATACTTGAGCTCATTGCCGAGTGGATTCCTCTTCAAGACCCGTCAAGCGGCTGGAAGGCAAATATTGGGGCATACATCCGGCTTTTTATTGCTATTTCAGCAGCGGCAGGGGCAGCGCTCTTCCAGATTCGCTCCACAATACCGAGGCTCTCTCCGTTAAAAATGGCAATAATTTCAGGCGGAGGTGGATGCTGCGCGGTCGTAGTGACGGTGGTAGTCGCAAGATTTTGGGTTTTTCCCGTTCCGTTCAGCTTCTTCATCTTTGGACCATGCGTCACTGTTACCTTTGTGATATTATTACTCTTCTTATTGAGGAACACAAGTGGCAGAGCTTCAAGAGAAGAGTTCCAAGGCTCTCTTCGGCAAAAGCTATCTCTCATCATTGCTCAAGTTCTTCTGGCAACCGTCTACATTACATTCAATGTTGGCTTTGCCAGGAGTTCATCCCTGGGGCGAGTAGCTCTTGTCCTATTCCTACCCGTGATGAAGATCTCATTGAAACACTTGCTAGCGCGGCTGGTCTTGGACATCCCAGAATCCATCCCGACAGTCGTCGTCTTCACGGTCGACGTCTTCAACGGATTGTACACTTCGATATGCATGCAATCTTCAGGATCCTGGTACACATCCCTTTTGATGATTTTCATCAACATTGTCTATACGGTTCTTTCCGCGCTGGACATCAATCGCACTGCCAAGAAGTTCCAAGAGTTAGATCGAAGAAGCAGCTCACTCGCACGGAAGCAACAGGCGTGGAATACGACCGGACCAGAATCTAGCTCCAGAACACGTTCATCGAGTATAATGCTGAGCGCAAAGTCGCAAAACAGGACTCCGACTGTTCGTGATGTCACCGTTTTTACGAGTGCTCGAAGCTTGGAATCTGCAAGACTGTCGATCACGGCAATGAAAGCCAAACTGTCGGCCTGCCTGCTTTTTCAAATGGAATACCGAACGCTGGTTGGCTACATTGAGACTGTTATTCCTCTGCTTTACGCGGTGTACATCTCGATTCTAGTGCGTTTACCAAGTGCCCAGTACTACCCTCATGCGCGTTCTCTGACTTCAGAACAACTGAAAACGAGTATCGCACTGTACTCGGCAAGTGAGATTATTTCTCTGACTTGGCTACACATGATGGTGAAACGCAAGCTCGGTTTTTCATTGTTCTATCAGTTGGCATTTGTGCTGGAAACCGAGATGGAGCAGCTTCAAGGCCGATTATTCGTGTGGATTATTATTTTATTGCAAATCACGTTGACCCATTTCGGTACGTTTTTCAGTAAGTAGTAACCTGCGGTGGTGTGAAACCTTGACGTTCCACGCATTAAATTTCTGTGTAGGTATGGATTTTACATTCCGCTTTGCGTGGCTGGATCATTAATCCACATATCGGATGTACAAGCGTTTAGCGCTCGAATTGAAGAAAAAACAGATTATTTACCGCCTATACAACATATTTTTATTTAACAACAGGATGACCCATTCTACTGTCAAATATTTTCTATTTAGCTCATAAAAAAACAATCGCAATGAAATGAAATGTATAGATAAATGGAATTCGTCGTGCAAAGTGAACGAAACAAAAACTAGAAATATTTCTATGCTATTTCGATACTGTTTCTATCGGCAAGAGTCGCAGACTCTTGCACTCTTGCGCGCTTACTTGTACTCGGCAAGTAACGATGGAATCTCTCGATGCTCGCGTTGAGCAAGTGCTGGGAAGTATCACCTCTGACAACACCAAGTACGTCTATCTACGAGCTTTATCTCGCTTCATAGAGTGGCTCTACGAGAATACGGAGGCGGATCGACGGCAAGTCCTGTTTACTAGTACGTTTCGTGAGCTGGGTGCAATTAATGAGGAGAGTATCGCGCAGTGGTTCTCTATTGTCCCTTTACGAAGCCCTGTCAATCTAAGTATATTAAGTACTATGGAGTGTATGCGCTACTTGACCTCGATGGAGCAGCGTGGTGTCACCGGAAAGTCGACTTTTGGAAATGTTCGCTCAGCGATTGTGTACCTTTACACTCAGACAGAAAGTCCTCGACCGCATGACTTCGATCCTCAAATGAGGCGCTTTTTCAAGGTGCTGCACCACACTGTGACAAGAGTTGCTCAGAGCAGTAACGAGCGCATCTCGGAAGGAAAGGAGCCGTTCAGTTTTTCGATGTATCGATCGGTGGCTAAAGCAATGCTTCAATCTACCAGAAAACAGGATGCGTTCGGCCACACTTTCTTGCTCGTTTGTTGGAATCTCATGTGCCGCGCCAAAAGTACTGAATCGATACGGCACGCTCACCTTTCTTGGCACGAGGACTCCATCACGATTACTTTCGCTCATATGAAAAACGATCAAGACGGAAGTCGGCCTCGCGATCCCAGGCATGGGTACGCAAATCCAACCATGCCCGAAATCTGCCCGGTATTAGGACGTGGAGTGTATTTCGCTGTTTTTGGTTTCGCTCGCGATGGAAAACGTTTCCCTGGTGGTAATCAGTACAGTCGATTTCTCAAAGTATTGAAGTCTGTGCTTAGTGGAGAACTGATGCAGCGAACGTTAGTGGTCGGTCGGTATGTTGCGGGCCTTCCATTTGATTCTCCAAAATTTGCAGCGTTACCTCCATTTTTCGATGTGCAAAGTGATCAAGAAGCTGATAGACTGGAACTACGGCAGCGCATTGATGTCGCCATGAAAGCCGTTTTTCCCGGTGTTCCAGCCAGTCTGCGGATGATCTGTCAATTTGGTCTGGCGTCAATACTGTTCCACAAGTCGTTCTTGCAGCAGTCACTGCCTACGAATCAGTTGCTGTTTGCTACTCCGCTATTCAGCACGCGTAATGAAGCGCAATTTGAGTGGCTGCGGCGTCGTGTAGTTTGTCGAAACTTTCAAGAGCACGATCCTATCAGTCCTTCGGGCATTCCGCCACACATGGGGATAATGGTCGCGCTTACAGACTACAAGGAATTGATGGGATTAAAGAAGGACTGGTTGTTGATTTTGAGAAAGCTCTCAAACAGCACATTAACGGATCAGTTATGACCATGTAAGCGATGGAGACAGCCTTCGCTGCGATATTGGCGCGGTCCAATTTGATGCGACCAAATCTACCCGCACCAGATCCAGAAGGCGAGCCCGCCGTGAATGCTACGGCAACGATGCACACCGAGCTATACACATGGGGTGGAGGCTTTCATCGAGTGCCAAGAGAGTTTGTGCTACCCCCAGGAACCGTTCGCGTTGTGTGGTAGCAATGGTGTGCTGGGCAACCGCCACTAAGGCAGCTATCAAAGCACGATATGGCTTCAAGACTACAAAAGATCCGGCTTGCAGAGCTTCAGCGGCTGATGCGCTTGGTTGAAGCACTTCTGACGAGTGATGAGGTCCTGCGAGCGCACAGCTCTCTCGATTCGGCTGGCCTTCTTTTTGAGCAAGTAAAGAATCGTTTACCGTTCTCATCGACGTCGAGTAAAGGAAGAGCGCGTAGACTTGACCAACTATCGTGGAGAACACTCGCCCGTGAGCATGCAAGCCACAGCTCCAGCCAGACTAGCTACCATTACGTAGGTGAGTAGCGGTAAGCTTGCACAATACCCATTTACTTCGAAGTAGTAGTGTTCCTACTTTCACACTGTGTGCCAAATGTGCGGCACAATATGCTTCGTGCAAACTGCACGATGAATTCCACTACATCTTGCATTATGGACAGTTTCATTTGATTTTTGTATAGCTGGCATTTTTGCATTCGTGGAATTCGCCGGTCAATTTGCACCCCGAATTCTATACAAAGTGGCAGATTCGCACGGTGATTTCCGTAGAAGTTCATCATTTCATTTAACTAAAACATCCCGATTAGGTAACTCTATTATCTGATTTGTGAATGGAAATAGTTAGAATAGTATACTTCCAAGTATGAACTGTATGTGCGTAACATGTCCAAACTGGGGGGATCTCTCGCATATTATCAAATCGCGCAAGTATTCAAGGCATTTCACTTCACGAAGGCTCAAAATAGCGAACAGGGGTCCTTATCATTCTTGGTGAACTTTGACTGCTGAAAGCATGCCGCTGTATGCCGTCGTTCCTGCTCCTTCGTCGCTGCGATCACTCAATGACATTGCTGCGCTTCCACGGACGTCTCGCGTGCTGAGGCATATTAACACACTATGGAACCTCGCCAAGATTTCTGAACGAGGAGAATACTCCGTCGTGCGCGTTGAATCGCTCGATAAGTATTGCCAGCAGACACCTTTTGCCCCAAGTGATATTGGTAGCCGTGCTGATGCCCGTACCCTCACTTTTGTTGAGTCTTTTGGCTGAATGCATTCCTCTTCAAGACCCAACAAGTGGGTGGAAAAACAATTCCGGCGCGTACCTAAGACTTTGCAGTATTGTTTCGTCCGGGGCGTTGGGATCCATCATGCAGCTTCGAACAGTGATCAAAGTTTCTAGCTTCGGAACGATCCTAGTGGTACTCGGAACTGGGTGCGGAACTGCTGGATTGATGATAACGATAGCCTGTCTTTGGGTATTCCCAATTCCCTTGGCTATCAACATCTTGGCACTTCCGGGCGTGATTCTGTTTGTACTTCTCTTTCTACTACTTGCGAAGCACCAAGCGACAAGGACGTTACCGACTCCAAAAAGAAACCTGAGACAGCCACTCTACCTTATCGCAGCTCAAGCGATTATCGCTATCATTTACACCTTTTTCAGCGTTGTTTTCACACGATGTTCATCCGCACAACGATTCGCGCTTCTTCTGATTCTTCCAGTGATGAAAATTATTCTGAAACGACTAGTTGCCCAAGTGATGTCAGAAAATCCAGATTCCATCGCAGGCGTGGTTGTCTTCACTGTGGATGTTTTCAATGGTTTATACAGCTCGATCTGTGTACAAGCGTCGGGTTCGTGGTTGAGTTTGTATTTGATTATTAGCTTCACCGTTGTGCAAACGCTGCTGTCTACATTTGAAATAAACCGTGCCGCAAAATATTTTTGCTTGCTCTACCGAAGACACACCGTCACTATCGAGATGATGCCAGTTCGAGTACCATCTACTCGCGAATCTTCTAATGGTAGACGCACGTCAAGACTTCTACAAAGTATCACATCGGCGCCTGACATCCGGGATATACGTGGTCATACCGCTACTGAGCAAAGCAAACTGTCGGCAAAGCTTTTGTTTCTTCTGGAATACCAAGCGCTTGTTGGATATACTGAAACTTTCATCCCGTTGATTTACGTAATCTAGCTGACTGCTCTCGTTCATATGCCGAGCTCGAAGTATTATCCCCACACTCGCTCTCTCTCGTCGGATGAACTACACACAAGGATTGGGAGCATCGTCGCCTACTCTGCAAGTCAACTGTTGTCTCTCGTATGGCTTCACGTGGTAGTGAAGTGCAAACTAGGGTTCTCTTTGCTGTACCAGCTATCGTTTGTTCTGGAGACTGAGGTAGAACAACTCCAAGGCCGTTTGTTGGTGTGGATAATTCTCGTGTTGCAGATTTCCTTGGTTCATTTCGGTACGTCTATATCAAACATGCATGTAGTAGCAAAGTAAACGGAGCATGTCACTAACTGAGCGATTACGTTTAGGTATGGACTTCAGCTTTGAGTTCAAGTGGCTCACTTAAGACGCTTTTGTACTTGCTCTCGGCTGGGTTGATTCAACCAGCGCATTGATGACCTTGCGCCAATCTTCGAGGTGTCCGCGTCTTCAACCTCCGCACCTGTACGCGTCTCCGGGTATAGGTAGCCGTCTAAACCCCAACGAGTACACATACAAGGGCTCAGCGTTGTCATCAACCTTAGTCGCCGTGAGTTTTGTCGGATGAGTTTAGACTTTCATAAATTTCGGATAAGCATCCAAAACTTAACTCCGGAATTCGTAAGGAGTCTATTTTTGGAGCAATGCCACTTGAGCACCAACACCTGCAATTGAACCCCGGCAACTACAGCAAGCTAAAGGCATGCCGCAGGATGTTGTCACCCCATCTTCTTCTTCCCAGCGAGCTCTCAAGAAGTTTGCTTCCCCTCCACAAACATCCCGAATTCTGAAAACCGTCAGCACAGTATGGAACCACGCCAAGCTTTCTGGGCGTGGAAGATACTCTGCTTCGCCTCCACGGACATATCGAGTTCTGGAAATGATCAGTGCTCTATGGAAATACACCAAGATTTCCAGGCTTGGAGAATACTCATTTGAGCGCGTGGAATCTCTCGAGAGTTATTGCCAACACACATCGGTTGCACAAGTGGTGTTCGTCATTATGGTAATTCCAGTTCCCTCTCTTTTATTGAGTCTCTTGGTCGAATGCATTCCTCTTCAAGACCCGGCAGGTGGGTGGGAGATTAATGTTGGGGCGTACCTAAGATTTTGTTGCATTGTTTCGTCTGGGGCGTTAGGGTCCATCGTGCAGCTTCGAACGGTGATTCAAATCTCTGACTTGGCGACGATTTTAATTGTACTGGGGACTGGATGCGGATCGGTTGTCATGATGATAGCGATGGCAAGCCTCTGGGTATTCCCGATTCCTATGGGCATCAGCATCTTGGCACTTCCGGCCGTGATTTTGTTTGTACTACTCTTTCTACTACTTGCGAAGCACCAAGCGACAAGAACGTTACCGATTCCAAACAGAAACCTGAGACAGCCACTCTACCTTATCGCTGCTCAAGCGATTACCGCGATCATTTACACCTTTTTCAGCGTCATTTTCGAACGGTGTTCTTCTGCACAACGATTCGCGCTTCTCTTATTTCTCCCGGCGATGAAAATTATTCTGAAGCACCTAGTTGCCCATATGATGACCAGTAATCAAGACTCCATCCCAGCCGCGGTTGTCTTCACTGTGGGTGTTTTCAACAGTTTATACAGCTCAATCTGTATCCAAACGTCGGGCTCGTGGTTGAGTTTGTTTTTGATTATCGGACTAAACACCGTGCAAACGATCTTTTCTACACTAGAGATCAGTCGTGCTGCAAAATATTCTGCCTACTAAGCCGAAGACGCACAGCTATAATCCAGGCCACGCGAGTCGAGGTGTCTTCTATTCGCGCATCAATTACTGGTAGGAGCACTGCAAGACTGCTACATCCAGATCAAAGTACCGCTACCTCGTTGTCCAGTTCTTACGACGCTCACAAAAGAAAACTGTCGGCGAAAATATTGTTCCTCCTCGAGTATCAAGCGCTCGTTGGGTACACTCAAGCGTTCATCCCATGGATTTACGCAATCTATCTGACGGCTCTCGTTCAGATGCCGAGCTCAAAGTACTATCCCCACACTCGTTCTCTCACGTCGGAGCAGCTACAAAAAAGAATTGGAAGCATCGTCGCGTACTCAGCAACTCAAATATTGTCTCTCGCGTGGCTTCACTTGGTAGTGAAGCGCAAACTTGGGTTCTCACTGATGTACCAGCTGGCGTTTGTTTTAAAGACCGAGGTAGAGCAACTCCAAGGTCGCCTGTTGGTGTGGATCATTCTCGTCTTACAGATCTCTTTAGTACACTTCGGTACGTCTTATATGCTGTAGCACAGTAACTGAGGAACAGGGGTATCTCACTGATCGTATGACGACTCTTTAGGTATGGACTTCAGCTTTGAGTTCAAGTGGATTAAGCAATAGAAGAAACCGAATAGACTATCCCCCGTGGATTTACAAGTCGTCTCTTTCCTGGTTTGGTTTAACCAGCGGGTCAATGACCTTACGCCAGTCCTCAAGCTTCCACGACGAGTCTGCGTCTTCAAAGGGAACGCCGTTCAGCGTGTACTGCGGGGTGCCCGTGACCGTCCGCGTGCACGCATACTTCCACGTGACTCTGGTGTGCTGGTCCGCTTCGGTCCCGCCGTACCCCGTCATCCCCCTCTCCCACTGCTGGTCCGTCAGATCCGGGAACGTTTTCTGAGCCAACTGCTTCAGCTCGTTCGTGACTTGCACCGCGCTCTTGTCCTTCGTCGCCTTGTTCCAGAACTCCTCCTGGTGCTCGTACACCACTTCCAGCCAATTGGTGAAGTGGTCGTCGCCCAGCGCCGACGTGACCGTGAACACCGACTCGGCCGCAGTGAAGCCATGTTGGTGGAAGGGCAGCGGGAACAGCACCGCCTTGACGCGGACCTGCTCGGGCGCGTAGTGGTCCGCCAGAGCCTTCACCCCGTCGTACGCCGCCTTGCTGAAGGGGCAGAGCAGGTCAATGTACGTCTCCAGCTGCACCTTGGCCGATCCGCTGCCTCTGCCGATAGCGAATCCAGGCGCAGCACCGGGGATCGGCACCTGGGCCACACCCAAGTGCAGCAGCAGGAACGTGGTGAGCACGGTCAGCAGCGACGTCGCCATTGAGAGAGGAGATCTTGGATAATGACAACCAAAAATCAGATTATTGTTTTGGTTGTCAATGACAGATTTTGAAATCTGATTGGCTAATCCTATCAGCCAATGAGATGCGATGGTGAGATTATTTCAACTCGATCAGGAATCAGATCGGAATTCGACGGACATGGCACGCTGGACCCTTGTTGCGCGCTTCCTGCTGCTTGTCACGGCGCTTTACGCTGGTGTTGCCGCCCAGAGGATCCCCAGGAGGCCGCCTGGGTTCACGCTGGGAGGCGGCAGTGCTGATGCCGGCGTGCAGCTCGAGTCGTACATCGATTTGGTCCGGATTTTTGTCTGGTCACAAATAAGATCTGTAGATTTTTTAACGGAATATGTTTTGTTGGGGGCAGTTGTGTCCGGACAGCAAGTCGGCTTACCCGGGGTTAAAGAAGCTGGCGCAGCACTACGAGCCGGATGAGCTGCGCGTTCGCTTCGTGCTGTTCCCGTTGCCGTACCACCAGCATGCCTTCGCAACCGCTGAGGCGGCCTTCGCCATCACCACGACACTGGGGGACGCCAGCTTCACCAAGTGGCTCGAGACCATCTACGCCAATCAGGACATGTGAGATCTTGTGTCCTGCTACAAGTGTCCCAGTCGAGTTTATTTTCTTACTTTCAATGTGTATTTGGGTTTTTCAGCTTCTGGAACAAGGTGACGAAGGATTTGAGTCCGGTGCAAGTGGTGGCGAAGCTCAAGAAACTGGCACAAAAGACTTTTCCCTCTCTGACGGACGAACAATGGGACAAACTGATGACGGGGTACGGAGGAACGGATGTGGACGACCACACGCGCGAGTCGTGGAAGTACACGTGCTCCAGAGGCATGTCGGGCACACCCATGTATACTCTGAACGGTGTGCCTTTCGAGGCCGATGCGGACTGGACCTTCGACCAATGGTTCAAGGTTATTGACCCGCTCGTGAAGGCGAACAAGCCTGCTATGGACGTGCGCAGTGAGACCCAGATGGCGTGGAAGGATGTTCACTTGAGCGGAGTTCCTCGTGCTCAACCGGATCGAGACGTGATGCATCTGGTGCATTCTGGACAATGGACGTCTACCGCACAGGTGTGTGCAGGGATTGCCGGCGGAGCGAGAGCGTGCGAGTACGTGCCTGGCCGCGCGATGTGCTGCCAGGCACATGAAGCGTGCATCCTTCACGAAGGATGCGTGGCATTGCAATGAATTCAAGGGATCAATGCGGGCCGGTAACGACGTTTCCGTATTTTTTAAGGAAATTAAAACGTAGGAGCTGATCGATCAAATAGTGATAAAAATTGAGGCTACTATGCTACGAAACATTGGTTCGGGAATATGGCATTACACTCGAGAAAATGCTGCGGCCGCCCAGAAATGCTTCTACTTCGAAACCTAAAGCACACGCGAGGGATACGACTTCTACTGAGGATTCAGAGTGCTCGGGTAATAATGAGCCAGAAGTTGTCTCCAAGCGAGTGCATACTCGTGGCAAGAGTGACACCACGAAGTGCTCAAAACGGGTCCAAGGCAATGCTGGGCAGGCAAGTTTAAGGGACGCCGTGATAAGTGTCTGCCGTGAGCTTTACAAGATGGAGATCCAAGCTGGGGGTCCAGTTGCCATTAAATTCGGACCAACTTCGTGAGGCTCTTACCAACTACTACGCTCACTTCTATTCGGATCGAATGCGCCACTAACCGTAAGCCATTTGCCTCGGACCCAGCGTCATAAGTGCTCGACAAGCAGCACATATTACATTACATGTACATGGTAGGTATGTTAAAATTCGAACTTGCATTGTGTGAATTGCAATTTGCGAGTATCCATAGTCGGTTGTGGTTTTAGAGGTTGCGAAGGAAAACTTTTATTGAAGACACTGCAGAGGCCCTGCGGAAACTGTACAAGCTGGTAGCTCTAAATAGACAATAGACACCTGGCTCGAACGAGCTTCGTAAGGTGTTTTGCAATCTATCTATTCATGTCCATTTGTTGGCAACCACAAGCAGTAACTTCGTTAAAAGGAATGCGGACCATCGCTGTTGTTCCTCTTGATTCTTCTCACTCTTCGGAACGCCATAAATCGTCGTGGGTGAGAACAAATGCACTTGCTCTGTGGAGCTATATGCATATATCTCGGCTTGGAACTTACTCGACAGGGCGTGTGAGAGCTCTCGACAAGTACTGCTAACAAGCGTCCTTACTACGGACGATTTTGGTGATCACTCTTATACCGTGGCCCGCTGTACTTCTGGAAGTGCTTGTAGATGCTATACCACTTCAAGACCCGACTTTGGGGGTGAAAGCCAACTACGGACTGGTTTTTCGATATTTCATATCGCTGTCTTCTGCCGCGGCAGGCTCACTGTTTCAAGTTCGCTCAAGTACACCCGAGCTCTCACATCAAAGGATCCTGCTTGTAACGATTGGTGGGACTGCAGCTCTGGTACTCCTGGCAACAATGTGGGTGTTTCCTGTTCCATTTACGATACTACTCAATAGTTTCCTGGCTTCGGCAGTGTTTGTGGTACTTTTTGTGGTATCTGTCAAGAAAAATGCATCGACCATTGATCAAATAGTCGAGGGCTCGCTCAAACAAAAGCTGTATCTGATCATTGCCCAAGTACTGATTGCCACGATTTACATCGTCTTTAGCTTGGTTTTTACCAATTGCGCTTCTCAACAACGTTTTGAGCTCCTTCTTGCTTTACCAGTGATAAAACTCAGTCTCAAGCACGTGGTCGTTCGGCTTGTACAAGCTAACGAGGAGTCTATCCCCGCCGTGATTGCTTTCACGGTGGATGTGTTTAACGGATTGTATAGTTCAATTTGTATCCAGTCTTCTGGGTCCTGGTTGGCGTCCCTGGTGATCATAATAGTGAACTTTGGCTTCACGGTGTTATCGACTTTGAAGCTAATTCGAGCCGCAGATTCGTTCAATGGCACAGGCAAGAAAGGTGGTCCCACTATTGGGACCGAGGTGTCTGCCGTCAGTTGTCGCAGGCGCTCAAGTCTCCTGAGTAGCGCCAAGCTACGCATTCAAGTCCATGATGACCAACGCATAGGTGGTACCCCCATCGCACCACCAGTCCATTCGAGCGCGACTGCATCCTCCAAGCTGCTATTCCATTTGGAATATCGTGCTCTGGTCGGATACGTTGAAGCTGTTACCCCGTTGTTGTATACCGTGTACTTGGTCATCCTTTACCAGCTGCCAAACGCCAAGTATTACACTCATACACGCAGTCTAACCTCAGAGAAGCTACGATCTTCAGTGGAAAGTATTATCGCATACGCAGCAGCAGAGATGTTATCGCTGATATGGCTTCATTTCGTGGTAAAGCGCAAGCTGGGGTTCTCATTATTTTACCAGCTAGCCTTTGTGCTGGAAACTGAGACCGAGCTGCTCCAAGGCCGATTGTTTGTGTGGATTGTACTTCTCGTACAGTTCCCTCTCGTGCACTACGGTACGTTTATTGTGTGGCATGGAGCAAGGCGGATAACTGACTGGATTTCACGTTTCGTTTTGAGTGGATGAACCCGAACTCTAAGGGGTGAAAGAAGTATAGATGGCATCAATAATTTGGAGCCATTCCCAGGACTGGTTTAAGATCATTCTTATTGATCTCTTCACCGCGTCGTGTACGTGTTTTTGATCCTTTTAGCTCACATCTTCAAAGTCGAGGGCTCTAGAAATAAGGGTAGGTATGCGACTGCTACTCTACTTTTTGGAGAGATCGAGCGAAATCCAGATCTCGAGATACCATCGAACGGACAAAACTCTGTTATGCTGTGGCAATAGTTTTGGAGAATCAGGAGCCCTGAGCATAAACCACCGAACTTCAGATGGCAAGTACTGCAATTACGCAGCTGCGGAGTTTGTGATTCTGCTTCTTCAACAGCATTCTGAAGAAGCCGAAAATTGGTATCGTCTTGCTTAACCAACTGACATTTTTTGTTTGAGAACGCATCAAACTGTATTCAGGGCTATTTCCTGATTTGAATACTGCTAATCCTGGAAATAGACGCTGATCCCGTACACCTCCCCGAGCTAGCTTTCAAGTGTTATCTAGGTGTGGGCTAAAGTAAGTGCTTGAACATAGCAGCCTACTGCCACTGAGTTGTTCAACTTGAAGTTGTTCCTATACTGACTAGCCAATCATTTTCTTTGATCCCCATTTTACGCCGATAAGTTGTCAACGGTCTCAGCTCCGGAATGGATATCTTGCAGCACGCAGCAGTAGGGGCCGTCGTGGCTGGCGGTGGGTTGGCCACCGCACATAATCTACTTTCTCGGAGACTGAAGGCCCCGAGTTCGCTGGCTCTGTCGCTCGGGAGCTTCGTGGGCGTCTTCCGCTTGCTGGAGGCGACAGGCCGCAAGTTGGCAGCTCGAAACGGACGCCAGAACCCGAATAATGCGTCACAAGCGGCAGCAGTCGCTGGTGCTGCTGGACGCTGAGCGGAAGACGGTCGTCGTCTCCTACGCAGTTGTCGAGGCGGCATTGGGACTCATCCCGGACTTTACGTCACTCGCCGACGCCAAATACATCGGTACGACTCGTCCACTACCTTACACTGCTCAGACAGTTGAAGACTGATCCTAATGATGCCGTCTGTGCATGTATGTGTCTGGATGAGCAGATCTTCCGCTGGGGGCATTGGCGGCCGGGCCACTGATCGACTCGTGGATCTACCAGAGCGACGCCATCGCCAAGTCTCAGTTGGCGGCGCTAGACAGCTTCTGTCAGCTGCCGTCCAGTGTCCTGCACCGCATGCGCGACGAGATTCCGTCCGGGAAGTTGGTCTCGCGCTGCGACGTGTTCCACCGCGGCCGCACCTGCTCGCAGTTCCATCGCGACTACTTTGTCAAGGGCATGACGTTCGCCATTCGACTGTACGTGCCCATTTACGCCGTGTCGGTGCTCGCCCCCAAGTACAAGCGCTGGCTGTGGGGTCCGCGACCGGCCGCTGGTCGTGCGCTATCTGCGCACCTGCTGCTGCCTCACGATGCTGTACCAGGTGCCGCTGGGCTTCTCGTGCTTGTCGCCGAGCGACCGACATCGTGCGACCGTCAGGATGGCGGGCGCGCTGACCACGCTGGCCTTCCTGGCCGAGCACGAGCACCGTCGAGGCAGCGTCATGAAGGCCGTGGGGGTGTACACTACCGGCGCGGTGGCCGCTCGGATTGTGACTGCGTTGGGCATTTCACCCACGACCGTGAAGCTGAGCCAGCTCGTGCTGTTCCAGGCTGCTATGGCCATCATCTTCCAGCACGCGTCACCGGCCTCGTCTCGCTTGGCGCGAATGCTCTACGGATACATTGACAAGCCCGCTGCAACGAGGGACGACGCGCGCCACAAGAGGACGTGAGCTAATGAGCTCGACTAAGACACCGACGGAGCATTTGAGGGGCGGACCGACCAGCGTCGCGCGAAGAATTGCCGTAGACCCCTTCTCTCCACCAGAGCAGCACCTTCCAACGCCGACGCGCTCGACTCCACGTCAATTTGATCTGTGATCGCTACGGTGTAGGCGAGCAAGGAATAGAGACCATGGCTTCGCAAGTCTTGCAAACTACAGTAACTCCTTTGAGTTACTGTACTGTTCCTTACATACAAGGCGAGCAGAACTCGCAAACGGCCGTCGCGATAGACGGCAAGACCAGCGAAGATGGGGACGTTTGCCTACCTGCACTGCAAGTTGCAACCACGCGTGGACGAACTGGTTCTGCACATGACAGCAGTCAGGCAGATCGTCCGACGACACCATGAAGAAGCTTGCACAGTTGCAGAGTGGCATCTCGGGTCACCGCTGCATCAATGACCTGCCTCCGGTATCGCTTGACTGGCGGAGCTCTCTGCTCGAGATCAGAGCTAGCCATACCACGCTGCACAGCTACCATTGTAGCAACACCAACCTTGCCAACCAACCGAGCGCTGTAGCAGAGCCAAGCTCTGTTGCTTACGAGCTTCGGGCACCTGCGAGCACCAGCAGCCGGGGGCCACCCGAACACGTGTTCAGCCGGGAATATGACACGAGTGTCAGCAGGGTGGCCGGCGCGTGAGCCTCCACGCTCGGTACTGACATTACTGCGCAGCTCTCTATGGCCACTCGCACTGGCCTGCTCTCCTCGACTCCTGCCATGAGGCGCGGGTCGCTCCGGCCGCGCGTCGGCAGGAGGAGGGCGATAGAGCACGCGAACAGCATTTCCCCGCCGTCGTCGTGGTGACGACTCGGCTTTGGCGTGGTGCCGTTCGTTGCCCCACTGGCGCTTTCTCGGCCCGCCCGTCTCTGGAGAGCAGCCGGCGTCGTCCGCTTGACTGTCGGCCTCATTCCCCAAGACGCCGCCATGCTGCCCAGCTCTGCTGCCGACACGCAGATGCACAGCAGCTCCACGGCCACCACCAGCGGCTTGGGCGTGGCCACCAGCCCCGTCATGAGCCCCGCCTTGAGTCCCGCCTTGAACCCGGCCGACGCCGCGGGCGCCGCGTTCTGGGCCGCCGAGGGCGCGCAGTCCTCCATCATGTTGCCCTACATCCGCGACCACGCGGACAAGATGATCGCGCGCGTGCGGACCGAGGACCCGCGCACGCACTACATGGCGCTCAAGCAGGTGCACGACGTGTGTCTGTACCGGCGCATCACGCAGCCGCAGGACGCGCTCAACGCGGCCATGGCCAACGCGTCCACGTCTCCTCTGGGCGCGTCGCTCTCGTCGTCCTTCTCGTCCTTGGCGTCCACGTCGCGCCGCGGCCTGAGCATCACGGGGGACCCGACGGCATCGGCCGACGGCCACGTACCTGGAGACTACGAGTTCCGCGGCATCACGCGCGTGCCCGGCTGCGTCGACACGGTCGTGGACATCCTGGCCAGCGAGTCCGCGCGCGAGAACTACTGGGTCGCGCTCAACACCATCAAGGACGTCAAGGCGGCCGCGCTGCTCTCCAACGCGCGCCTGCGGACACAGAGCCACTCGACGTCGTCCTCGGTCACATCCGAGACGGACGGAGACACAACGGCCTACCCCCGCTGGAGTCGCAAGTACACGGCCGCCAAGTTCTCCAAGCACAGCGCGCACGTCATAGACTGCTGCTTCGCCGAGTACGCCACGAGGCGTACTGAGACCACAGCCGACGGCCACCCCAGACAGCGAGGATTCGTGTACCGCCGCTCCATCTCCGAGCACGCGCTGAGCAGCGCGTCTAGTGTGTCGGCCGAGCCGCTGGCCAAGGCAAGAGTGCAGGGAGCGACGCGGTTCTTCATCCGCGACTGGCTGTTCGACGTCATTGAGACGCAGGACCCGATGGTCTGCAAGTTGGTGCTGACCTGCTCGGCGTACGTCCCGACCGAACCCGGACGCACCCCTGCAATGTCCAGGTCGGAGTTCCGAGACTTCTGCACGGACTTGCTGGTGGGCGCGCGTCGAACGCTCACGCTCCAGTGGAAGGACCACGCGGCCCATGCAGGTATCCGTTCGTCTACATCCTGGCGCAAGGAGACCCGCTGCTGCAGTGTGTGCTCCGCCCAGTTCTCGCTGCTACGGAAGCGCCACACGTGCCGCTCCTGTGGGTCTGCGGTGTGCTCCAAGTGCTGCGTCAAGAATGCGCCTCAAGCCACAACTAACTTCAACGCGGACAGTGCACGCAGCGGCGGGTTCGGAAGCTCGATAGTGTCAGGGCCTAGAACGCAGCAGCGTGGAGGCCACAAGCGAGAGTGTCTGCTCTGCGTTCAGTTTGGCCCGGATGACGGCTTCACCGCAGCTCCCGTTCGTGGGAAAACCACTCGGCCCCGACACCTCTCGACGGCATCCATGGCCTCGATGGCCACGGCATTGGGACTCGCTGGTTCTACACGAGGCGGGACGGTGTATGACGTGGAGCAGGAAGAGACCGATCAAGTGCATCCGGACTTGGAGATGCGCTCCACCACGTCTGTATCTGGATCGAGGCGCAAGCACAGTCAGCACAGCATTGGTAGCGTCGGTAGCCAGCGCAGCATCAGCGGGCCGGACGATGAGGAGGACGAATCCGACGAGGACGTCCGGCCATACACACCGACGCTCGATCTTCGCGCCACTACGTCCAAGCTCCGAACAGCGTCCACCGATTCAAGTTTGAGCACGCGCAGCGCCCCCGGAATCGTCCTGCTGTCGGATCTGGAGACGCTGACGCTGTCAGGAAGTTTCCACCGCGCGGCCAGCATGTCAGCAAGAGCTTCGACCAGTCTAACGGCCAGTCTATTAGCGCGGTCCCCCGTCAGTGCGCGGCTGCCAGCCAAGTCAGCAGCTCCTACCCCCGCGATGTTGCAGACGGAACAATTGAAGCAGCGTCACGACCGAGCGGCCTCGGAGGATAACGTCCTCCTGTTCGCGGCCGCCAAGCCTCGCGTCGGCACGAGGGACGGACCGCAGGAGAGTAGCGCTAGTACGGAGGAGGACGAGGACGTCTACTCGGAGGACGACCTGGCCAACTTCACCCTCAAGCTGGAGGAGCAACCGTAGTGGTGAGGCGGGTCTTCATATTTCGTCGTCAGTTGTTTATTTAGTCGCGAGAGAGTCCAGCCCCAGCCAGCCCAGCCGCGACGCGAACCAAATAGCTAACAGTGGCCTTGACCTCACGCTCAAAACTTGTCCGACGTTGCAGAGCTGCGTTTGTCCATCTATTTTCAGGTCTTTGCAGCCGGAGGACGGAGCCATTCTCGGGGCTGTTGGTATTCCGTTTCCGTCGCGACGGTGCCGACCTCCGAGCCATGCTGTCCCGCAACCCGCGCGTCTCGAATGCGTCGGCCCAACATTTACGCATGGAGCTGGACGTCCTGGCCGAAGTGGAGTCGCGCGTGCAGCACCAGCGGTGGTGGTCTCTGAGGTTCGAGCACCCGGCCATGGAGAAGCGCTTCCAGAATTATCATGAAGAGTCTTCGCTGGATTCGAGCAAGTGGGCCTGCGGGATAACGCTGGGCTCGGCAACAGCGCTGCAGGCCGCCATTTTCTACGACGTTTTTGCTCTAAAGACGCACGACAAAACCCCTTGGACGTTCGTCTACATCGCGGTGGCTGGGAATGCGCTGTTACTTGTGCTTTGGAGCATTTTCCTGTGGACATCACGACGCGCTGGTAGACTTGGAGCCTACTTCCAACTGTTGCTGTTCGCGCTCGGACTGAGCATGTTGATGCTTATTCTCGTTATTGGTCTGCCGCTTGCAGCGTATGAGACCCGAGTCGATAGTACGGAGACGAACTCGACGCTGTTGGAGGAGCTGGACGACGCTCAGAAAGCGCACGATGTCACTCGGACTTTATTTTTCCTGCTGATACTGTTGGGAGCTATTGCCACGACGTGGTACGCTCAGTTCCTCATTTACTGCATTTTGGCCACCTGTACCGTGTTGGCACTCGGAGGGTGGATCATCGGTAGCTCCAGCTACCTTCGACGTCAGTGGCATCTCATCGTCCTATTCATCGGTAGTTTATTTCTTCTCGGGCGTGCTCTCTACTGTGAAGAGCGCGCGATGCGCCACAAGTTCCTGCGTGTACGCCACCTCATGCTTGAAAACCTCAAACTTTCTCGGCAAAATTCCGTCATGCACCAGCAACTCAGTTGCCATGTCGACGCTGTTGGCATTGGGCACGGCCACGGACTTCGTGACGACGAGCCGCGCGCCTCGAGCCCCAGTTCTGGACGTCAAAGTATCCCTAAGCCACAAAAGCATAAGGTTCGACCGAGTAATTTGCAACCAGTTCGTGAGCCGCCAGCTATTGGTGAAAGCTGGATGGAAAATGTGCTGCGGAGCTTGAGCCAGCTCCGGCATAAACTTGAAGGCGATGAACAAGCTACCAGCGAGCTGGACTTCGTGCTGCAGACGCTGACTTCCGAGCATGATCTCTTTCTGGACACGTGGTCCCGCCAACGTCGTGTGCCCACCAGCAACGGCACGAATGAAAAGGCTGATACAGGTTGGCTATCGCTGCTCGAGGAGAAGCGCAATCGTCGTCGACGAACTGACGCAAAGCAGCAGCAAGTCCAGTCTCCCATGGCGTTTTTGGCGAAGTCTCTACGACGGACGTCGTCAGGGTCGCGTCTGACGGTGCTCACGCTGCTGGAATCCTTTCTCGCACCACACACGGATGTCGATGCGAGTCAACAGAAAGTATGGACTGCTGACGAATTGCTCGCGCTTTCCGCTACTTCACAAGAGCTGGATTTGTTTGCATTTGCGCACGTGTGTACCTTACCGCTAACGACACTGTTACTTTCGACTCTGGAGAGCCAACGCGTATTTGGTACACTTCCACTACGCGTGGAGAGCGTCACCGATTTTGCTCAAGAGATTGAAGCTCGCTACCAGTCGAAGAACCCGTATCACAACGCACTGTACGTCTCTCTGCCATGTCCACAGTATTTTTACGGTTCACTTTACTTATCTTTGATCTACTTTCACTAATAACGACAGACATGCAGCTTCAGTCGTTTGGGATGTGAACTACTTCCTTCGGAAGCTCGAAGCCCCTAAATTGGCTCCTGTTCAACTCTTCTCAGCGCTGGTGGCCGCTGCCATTCATGACGTCAATCACCCTGGAGTAAATAACGCCTTCCTCGTAGCCACTACGGCGCCTTTGGCGATCAAATACTCCGATGATTCCGTGCTGGAGCGGATGCACCTAGCTGAAGCATTTCAAATCTGTACGAAAGATGGTTGTGACATCTTCGAGGCATTTCCACAGGAGCTGCGTCGACAAAGCCGATTGCAAATTATCTCGATGGTGCTCGCTACTGATCTCAGCGGTCATCTTACTCACGTGAATCGGCTCAAGAGCAAACTGTACGCGGTGCACCCTACGCCTTCAGACTTATCGATCAACGGAGAAGAGTCCAGTGATGTTGCTGCTACGCCCGGTTTACTTCTCCCTGATGAGCTCGTACTGCAGACTCTAATCATGATGGCAGACCTCGGCCACGCAATGAAGTCGTTCCCTCTTCACTTGGCGTGGTCCGAGCGGGTGGCTGAGGAGTTTTACCGCCAAGGCGACACCGAGCGGCAGTTTGGACTGACGATCTCACCGCTTTGCGACCGAACTACGGGCGTCGAGCGCTTTGAGAAGAACCAAATTGGATTTATCGAGTTCGTGGTGCTCCCGCTGTATACCGCTGCGCGCGACCTTCTCCCCCTGGAAGGATTCGACGAGGTAATCGGGAACGTCCAGCAGAATGCTGCAACATGGGAAAAGCGTGCTCAAGCTAAGGCTGCTGGAAGTGATGCGATACCGACTTCTCCTTCAGGTACAGCTTTGGCAATCCCCGCAACGATTGTAGAGGGGGACCTAGGCGAAGAAGAAGCTGAGAGCTTCGCCGAAATTGTTGTTGACGTGGGTACCGATTCAAAGACAAAGACGAGTAGTGAATAGTGAGGAGGAATGGCATAGACGCATACGATAGATGAATACTTAAGTAATAGACGACAAACGTTTTTACTACCTTTGTGTGTGTGTGTGTGGTGGGGAGGATAATTGAAAAGGTTTGTACTCAAAGTACCATACCACATCAATTTGTAGTAACTTGTCTAGTATGAATGAATGAATAAATGAATGAATATGGACAGATAAACGAGCAGGTGAAGACACCCTCACGCCTGCATTGGTGTAACACCTGCGCTCAAGTTGTTCTGAAATCGAGAGATCACTGCTGTTGTTCGCCACAGATTGGGTACTCACAAAATATGTATGTTACACATTTACTCACCAAATTAAGGTCCAGTTACTCAAATTGCAGCTTCGTGGCTCGAATTCAAAGCAACGAAACCATTTGGCAAAATGCCACGTCGTTTCAGCAACGAGGTCGTGTCCGAGCGCGCCCGGTACGAGCACGTATCGAGCCATGCGTCTGTGGAGGAAGTGCACATCGCCGTGCACTCGTACGACATGTTTCAGTACGTGGTGTCGTACAATTACGGCAATTTGGGCGTCGGGAAGGTCTTCCGCTGCGTCTCGCACGAACAGTGCCCCATTCGGCTGCGCATGGTCCAAGTTCGCGACGAGGAGGAAGAAATTCCAGTAAGCTATCGCCTAGAAGTTTCCAGGGTTCACGGTACTACACTCGCCAAGAAGAAACCCGTGGGTATTGTCCTGTGCCTGAAGGCGGAGGTCGACGCCCTGCTCAAAACTGGTTCCACCACCAAAACGTGCCAGGAGATTCTCATTAAAAAGTATGAGGGTCAACCGGAGATGTTGGCGAAGATCCCCGACGAGGAGCAGCTCAGTAACCGTCGCGTGACTCTGGTGAAGAACGGGGTCGTAGCCAAAACGGGCCGCTGGAAGCGAGCGCGAACTCCAAGTGTCGAGTCGGAGATTTCGGAGGAAAGAATGGGAAGAGACAATGAGGTGGAGGAGAAGGTGCAGCATGACGACGGCGAAGCGGATGATCACTTTGACAAGACCAAGCTCATGAAGGAGTTTGCGGCGTTCCCAGCACGTCCGGTGCTTTGGAACGTGCTCAAGGTCAGGTACATCGACGACAAGAACGGCTCGATGGTGACGCAGTGGCTGACTGGCCAGGTGATCGGCTGGGAAACGGGTGAGCACAAGCCTGCCAAGTGGATGGTGCGCTTCACCGACGGCGAAAAGGGCCGACTGGAGCTGGAAGAGCTAGTGACTATGATCCGAATGTCCGTGCGACTGGGGCTGAACGTCACAGGCCGCCCTCTCGATATTTAGATGGCCTACGGTAAATATCTGAGCACTATCGACTTTACCATTCCATGAGTCCTGATAGGGGGGGCAAGCTCACAAGGCTAGCTTCTTCAACAGTAGCGATTTATCGCCCATCAACCGTAACATGCATGTGTTACTGCAAGGTTTGTACGAATACAGTCGGCATGCGAGAGCTGAGCATCTGCTGTTCTGTTTCTTCATGATTTTACTTTGACATCACTGCTTCGAGTATGTATGAGACGTATTATGCTGTGCTCCTCAAGTCATTTGATCATCGCCTACGACAAAAGCACAGTTGATTCGATCAGCATAACTTCTGCGGGCTAAGGAGATATACGCGGTAATAAGCAAATTTCATATGCATGAATGAACAAACCTGGTGCCACGATGCCTACGTCGAGGCGGAATTAAAACCAAAATCCGCACCTTTAAAACAACTGTAAGCTACAAGATCCATCGTGCATTCGTAAAGAAATTCCACATACCGAAGTGTACCAGCGGGAGCTGAAATAGGATAACAATCCATGTGATCAACCGACCTTGTAGCGATCCCACCTCTGTCTCCAGCACGAACGCGAGCTGGTGCAGCAGTGACAATCCGAGCTTGCGCCTCACTATTATTTGAAGTGATACAAGAGAGAGCAACTCCGTCAACACATACGCCACGATGCTCGATAGGGTCGTTTGCAGTTGGCCAAGTGGAAGTTCACGAGTGTACGGGCAATTGATGGTCGAAGCTGGAAGGGAGACCCAGCTGCACCGGAGGCAATGGCGATCCAGAGCCGAACCCACGCGCCATAGTTTCTTTTCCACCCATCGATCGGATCCTGCAGCGGAATACTTTTTGTTATGATTGCCAGGAGCAAGGCGGGGCAAGGCATGAGTACAACCGAAATTGCTCTTAGAAGAGATGTGCGCCGGCAATATGAATTGAGTTTCTTGAGTTTCAACCGAAATTGCTCTTAGAAGAGATGTGCGCCGGCAATATGAATTGAGTTTCTTGACACGTTCGGTGGAATATTTTCCAAGACTCGAAATCTTCACGCGTCTTCGAAGCTTTTGTGCACGCTGGAGTATCCGTGTCGCTCGAGAAGGAGCCACTGCACCGGGAACAGAGTGGTGATCGGGGGCAACAGCGTTTATTGGCATCTGTTTTCGCAACTGTTGAGCGGTGTTGTCTTGCACGAAAGGCCCAACAGAAAATATGCCGGCGATAACACAAATAGAATTAACCTCCGTAAATAGAATTAACCTCCATAAAATGGTCACTCAACCCATAGCTACCGTGAACGCTAAATAGTGCGACGTGCAGTCAAGCTTCACTTCCTTTAGTAACTCAAACTTGCCATTTAAAGCTCGCACTGCTACATGATTCAGAAAACTTTCGCTACTTGTACGCAAGCAGATCGGACTTGCACCGCGTTTTCCTTGTCGTGGCGTGGTATCGCCAACCGCTTTCAAGTCACGGCGGCGCCAGGTGTGTGAATCGCCTTGTAGCTTGGTTCCACGTCGTCTTCCTTCGCGACGCCGTCCTCGTCCAGCGAGCTCAGCTCCTCCAGCGTCAGGTTCTTGGTCTCGGGCACCCAGAAGGAGAAGAGCAGGCCGAAGAAGCAGCACGCCGCGAAGATGTAGAGCACGCCCTTGAAGCCGAACGAGCCCTTGGCGATCACCGCGAAGCACTGCGCGGCGATGATGGCGCCCACCTTGCCCGAGGCGGCGGAAATGCCGTGGCCCGTCGAGCGCACGGCCGTCGGGAAGACCTCGGCCGGGATGATGAAGGTCGTGGCGTTGGGGCCGAAGTTGAAGAAGAACTGCGCGAACGAGTACATGACGACGAAGACGGCCGTGCTGTCGGTCTTGAGCTCGTCGAGGAAGATGGCCATGAAGAGGAAAAGCAGTGTGAGCAGCGAGAAGCCCATGTACTGGATGGGCTTGCGGCCCCACTTGTCCACGAAGTAGACCGTGAACCAGTAGCCGGGCACCGTGCCGGCCAGGTTGATGATGGCCGTGCCCACGGATCGGTTCCACAGGTCGTCGTAGATCTTCTGGTTGCCCGTGGACGTGGCGCTGCCGTAGCCGATGATCTCGAGCACCACGGACGTGTTGAGCGACGTGCCGTAGTAGCCGATGTCCAGGAAGAACCAGGCCGCGGCACAGCCGATGAGCACCTTGAGGTGGGCCCACTTGTTGAAGTAGTTGCGGAACGAGTACGAGAAGTTCTCGAAGAAGCCCGACTTGTCGTCGCCGGTGTGGCTGTACATGTCGGAGGTGAGCTTGTCGGAGGCCAGGAACTGGGTGGCGGCGCGCGCGCCCTCCTCCGTGTCGTTGAGCACGTCCATGGCGTACCGCGGCGTCTCCGGGATCTTGAGGCGCCAGTACACGGCGGCCAGCGCCGGCACCGCTCCGAAGGCTGCGAGCGTGCGCCAGCAGTAGCCGAGCGACGACGCGCCGTTGTCGAGGATGCTGTCCTTGGCGGCCGCCAGCACGATGATGGCCATGACGGCGCCCGCGATGATGCCGAGGCCCTGCATGGCGAAGACGGTGGCGATCATGGTGCCGCGGCGCTTGGACGACGCGAACTCGCTGGTGATGACCGCGGACACGGGGTAGTCTCCGCCGATGCCGACGCCCAGCACGAAGCGCCAGATGCTGAGCATGATGAGCAGGTTGTTGCCCTCGCCGTTCACGGGCCACGACGCGAAGGCGCACAGCAGCGCGCCGCCGATGAGCACCATGAGCTCAATGCCGTAGATGCGCTTGCGGCCGAGGATGTCGCCGAGGATGGCGAAGGAGATCTGGCCCACGGCGTTGCCGTAGGACGACGCGGCCTTGACCCAGCCGTCGGCGCGCGACGAGAGGCTCGACTTGCCGAAGTACTCGTAGGCGATCATGGGCACCATGAGGCCGATGACGAAGTTGTCGTACGAGTCGACGAAGAAGCCCGAGCCGGCCACGAGGATGGCCTTGACGTGGGCCTTGGAGAACTGCGCGTTGTCGAGCGCGCTGAGCGCGTCGAAGCGCTTGTTGGTCGGGGACTGCAAGGCCTCGACCATCGTGTCTGCTGGCCGTGCTCGCTCTTGGCTGTGATGGTGCGACGCAGAATGGAGAATGTACTGGAAATTAGGGCGTCGAGCTTCTCGAGAGCTCGGTACATTTATCTACCAGCCAAAGCGGGCCGCCCGTGTCAGTGAGTCGGGCAGGCGGTGAGGCGGGTAGCGACATTGGGTTGGGCCCATCGCCGCGCGGTGAAGTCTTTCGTCCACGTTTGCGAAGGTAGGTGCATATATCGTCGTGAATGCAGCAACGCTGGGATTCGGCTGCTGCCGGGGCCTTGACTAGCGCTGTTGCTCGTGTGCGACCGAATCTGCTGGCTGTTATACGGAACCCGTGGACCAGTGGAGTCCCTCGCGGTGGTCAGATGAGGATGGCCGTCTTCCAGGCAAGATTCGCCTCGCGCGTGATCGCAGTCACGCCCCAGGTTCAGACGAGTGGAGACCTTCAAGGTGCACTAGCATGGCGAATTAGGGTCCTTGCGAATCTCGAGCCCAGTGGGACGCGTTTCGCTGAGTTTTTTTAGCCTTGGACTCGCTGTGCAAGTCACCGATAAATGCGCCAAGTTGCTCTGCCAACCGGTTGCTCCAGCTTGGCACTTGGCAGTTTGGCGAGGATGACAATGGCGCGGTGCCCTTGCAGCAAGCCTAGCTGCCAGTTCGAGCCGTAAGGAGTTCAACTGAGATTAAAAGCGGATTAATGGTGCGTACAGATTACGGGCATGGACTGGACATGGTGGTTACTTAGCGGAGTAATATCACGCTCCCCCCCCCGCACAAAATCCATCGCGCGCAATTTCCTATACTTTTGCCGGGTGAAGATGCGGTGACAAGGAGTCCATCTTGGTCACGTACTTGAGCTCTACATGAATGCACGCAACGAATGCGTGGGGGCGACACTCGCCGTGAAGTGTTACACCGCGCCGCGTACGTATCGATTTGTGTAGTTTTGGCTAAATCTGCTGTCTTCTCACATGCTACAGAATAATGTTTGTAAAGACAATTGACAGGCGCCAAAATGCCCCCCCTATTGTCCTACTTGATAACAGCTCTGCTCAGACTACATGTATACTGTAAACGCAAAGGCAACGGCATCTCCGCATCAGTCGGTCCAACGAACAAAACGAAAGTGCTGAGCGGGACTTCGAAGTACGAAAATCTGAGGCCAACCCTAAACCACAAGCACAGGAAATATGTCGCTGTATGCTCCCCGAACAGAATCAAGATTCAACTTACCGTACACAGAGCCTCACCAGCAAGGTTCATCCTTCAAACCACTCGCGCTGCAACATCCTGATAACTCTCGGTGTGCATGGCCTCCAATGCGTTTCCTCGGGTACCCTCAACAATGATTCAACCACCAAAAGCATCGGAAACTAACTCCATCTCTATGCAAATATCGCCCCCACGCATTCGTTGCGTGCATTCATGTAGAGCTCAAGTACGTGACCAAGATGGACTCCTTGTCACCGCATCTTCACCCGGCAAAAGTATAGGAAATTGCGCGCGATGGATTTTGTGCGGGGGGGGGAGCGTGATATTACTCCGCTAAGTAACCACCATGTCCAGTCCATGCCCGTAATCTGTACGCACCATTAATCCGCTTTTAATCTCAGTTGAACTCCTTACGGCTCGAACTGGCAGCTAGGCTTGCTGCAAGGGCACCGCGCCATTGTCATCCTCGCCAAACTGCCAAGTGCCAAGCTGGAGCAACCGGTTGGCAGAGCAACTTGGCGCATTTATCGGTGACTTGCACAGCGAGTCCAAGGCTAAAAAAACTCAGCGAAACGCGTCCCACTGGGCTCGAGATTCGCAAGGACCCTAATTCGCCATGCTAGTGCACCTTGAAGGTCTCCACTCGTCTGAACCTGGGGCGTGACTGCGATCACGCGCGAGGCGAATCTTGCCTGGAAGACGGCCATCCTCATCTGACCACCGCGAGGGACTCCACTGGTCCACGGGTTCCGTATAACAGCCAGCAGATTCGGTCGCACACGAGCAACAGCGCTAGTCAAGGCCCCGGCAGCAGCCGAATCCCAGCGTTGCTGCATTCACGACGATATATGCACCTACCTTCGCAAACGTGGACGAAAGACTTCACCGCGCGGCGATGGGCCCAACCCAATGTCGCTACCCGCCTCACCGCCTGCCCGACTCACTGACACGGGCGGCCCGCTTTGGCTGGTAGATAAATGTACCGAGCTCTCGAGAAGCTCGACGCCCTAATTTCCAGTACATTCTCCATTCTGCGTCGCACCATCACAGCCAAGAGCGAGCACGGCCAGCAGACACGATGGTCGAGGCCTTGCAGTCCCCGACCAACAAGCGCTTCGACGCGCTCAGCGCGCTCGACAACGCGCAGTTCTCCAAGGCCCACGTCAAGGCCATCCTCGTGGCCGGCTCGGGCTTCTTCGTCGACTCGTACGACAACTTCGTCATCGGCCTCATGGTGCCCATGATCGCCTACGAGTACTTCGGCAAGTCGAGCCTCTCGTCGCGCGCCGACGGCTGGGTCAAGGCCGCGTCGTCCTACGGCAACGCCGTGGGCCAGATCTCCTTCGCCATCCTCGGCGACATCCTCGGCCGCAAGCGCATCTACGGCATTGAGCTCATGGTGCTCATCGGCGGCGCGCTGCTGTGCGCCTTCGCGTCGTGGCCCGTGAACGGCGAGGGCAACAACCTGCTCATCATGCTCAGCATCTGGCGCTTCGTGCTGGGCGTCGGCATCGGCGGAGACTACCCCGTGTCCGCGGTCATCACCAGCGAGTTCGCGTCGTCCAAGCGCCGCGGCACCATGATCGCCACCGTCTTCGCCATGCAGGGCCTCGGCATCATCGCGGGCGCCGTCATGGCCATCATCGTGCTGGCGGCCGCCAAGGACAGCATCCTCGACAACGGCGCGTCGTCGCTCGGCTACTGCTGGCGCACGCTCGCAGCCTTCGGAGCGGTGCCGGCGCTGGCCGCCGTGTACTGGCGCCTCAACATCCCGGAGACGCCGCGGTACGCCATGGACGTGCTCAACGACACGGAGGAGGGCGCGCGCGCCGCCACCCAGTTCCTGGCCTCCGACAAGCTCACCTCCGACATGTACAGCCACACCGGCGACGACAAGTCGGGCTTCTTCGAGAACTTCTCGTACTCGTTCCGCAACTACTTCAACAAGTGGGCCCACCTCAAGGTGCTCATCGGCTGTGCCGCGGCCTGGTTCTTCCTGGACATCGGCTACTACGGCACGTCGCTCAACACGTCCGTGGTGCTCGAGATCATCGGCTACGGCAGCGCCACGTCCACGGGCAACCAGAAGATCTACGACGACCTGTGGAACCGATCCGTGGGCACGGCCATCATCAACCTGGCCGGCACGGTGCCCGGCTACTGGTTCACGGTCTACTTCGTGGACAAGTGGGGCCGCAAGCCCATCCAGTACATGGGCTTCTCGCTGCTCACACTGCTTTTCCTCTTCATGGCCATCTTCCTCGACGAGCTCAAGACCGACAGCACGGCCGTCTTCGTCGTCATGTACTCGTTCGCGCAGTTCTTCTTCAACTTCGGCCCCAACGCCACGACCTTCATCATCCCGGCCGAGGTCTTCCCGACGGCCGTGCGCTCGACGGGCCACGGCATTTCCGCCGCCTCGGGCAAGGTGGGCGCCATCATCGCCGCGCAGTGCTTCGCGGTGATCGCCAAGGGCTCGTTCGGCTTCAAGGGCGTGCTCTACATCTTCGCGGCGTGCTGCTTCTTCGGCCTGCTCTTCTCCTTCTGGGTGCCCGAGACCAAGAACCTGACGCTGGAGGAGCTGAGCTCGCTGGACGAGGACGGCGTCGCGAAGGAAGACGACGTGGAACCAAGCTACAAGGCGATTCACACACCTGGCGCCGCCGTGACTTGAAAGCGGTTGGCGATACCACGCCACGACAAGGAAAACGCGGTGCAAGTCCGATCTGCTTGCGTACAAGTAGCGAATGTTTTCGGATTCAAGCAACAGCATGGTAATTACAAGTTTAGTTTACCAAATGCACTACAGGCAACCCGGAGCGTTGCTCCGGGAGGGTACACAGGTCGACGAATAGTTTCATGGACGATGATAACGGATAACAATTGAGTAAATCCCAAAGTTGTGTTGTTTTTAATCCTTAAAAGCACTACCAGCCCAACTCTCTAGTTGATTCTAATATACTGCGCCTGATTCGCAGCCGCAGCATCTGCCCGAGAATGCGTACTTGAACAAATAGTTGCACACATCGAAGTGTATCGATACGGAAATGATGTTTCAGCCAAACCTTTGTGAGGCTGGTAACCAGCAAGCCCCGCTCTTCTTTATCATGGTGGGTTCTCAGGAACCGAAAGTCACCAATTGAGGTTGCCTCGTCTGATGAGGCCATCGGTGACATAACATCCTGGTCAGCGTCCAATGGCTGCGTTGGCGCCAGCAACGAGAGAGCTATTTCATTCATTTTGCGGGTAAGGTATACTGCGCTCATTTTTGTACTATGTCTTGTGCTACAGTAACGATCAGACGAGAGAGCTACAGTAGCGGAACGAAAAAGAGACGCATGGTGCACTGATCTTGACCTTTTAACTTGAGGATGTTAGCTAAGTGACAATAATGATCCTCAATTCAAAAACAAAACAAACAAACAAGCTTTTAACTTGAGGGCTTGGGGGTAAATTGTGGGATGAGGAATACGCTAATGGGCCAATTCCTTGAAAGTGGTCGCTTCAACGCAGGGAAAAAATGTCTTCTTCAAACGAACGATGCTCGTGTCACCGTCGAGTTGAGCTGATTGGTTTGGCAACAGACACGAGGTAGGCATCTTCGGCTAAGAGTGATTGGGTATTGAGCAAATTGACATGTAAAAAATGCAGCCTGCACCTAGACAAGTCATGTTGTTCATCTTCAGCTAAGCTTGGTCGATTATGGCGCAAATTGATACGCCTTCAGCGAAGCCATGACGCTCTCATAGTGTACTAGAGCGTCCGTAAGTGTTTGAATGCAGGTTTTGGATAATAATAAACGATTAGTATCAACCTTTGGTAAATAATGTGCATAAATCTTAGCATTTATCGACGGGTACCCGATTCGGGCAGATATTAGCTTAAACATTACAATTAAGAAAGAGAGACCCGGTTTGGTACCCGGTTTTGGAAAGTTACAAGTTTTTTGCCGGGGCCAAGCACAGCTCTTCGACCTGTGAATAGGCAACCCGGAGCGTTGCTCCGGGAGGGTACACAGGTCGACGAATAGTTTCATGGACGATGATAACGAGTGGTTATCTCCCTAGGGCTAGGCCTTGTTATACTTGATCACACTATAGAATGGGGACGACGTCCCTCCCAGCAGGTAACTTCTCGTTGATAGCAAAAAATAGTCCATAAGGCAAATTGTGCTAGAGGGGCGCTATGGAGCCACCGGGACTACAAGTCGAGCTCGATGAAAGCGCTAATGCAACGTTAGACCGCTGCCGCGAGGCAAGGCCTGCCAACACAACCCGCGCGTACGCGCCCAAGCAAAATGAGTTTAAGGCTTGGTGTGATCGAAAGGGCTTTCACGAAACTACGCGCTACCAAGTGACTGGAGCCAAGATGCACCTGTGTCTTAGTGAGGAAGTCTTAGATTGAGAAGTCCGTGTGAAGAACGCAACACGTAAGGTCGGCGTGGCGACCGTGGAGATGTACGTGAACGCGATTTCTGACTTGTACAACGACCAACAGAGCAGAGGAGTAAACACGCATCCGCATCCGAGAAACGCTCTCATCAAAGCGCTTTTGACGTCTTTCAAGCGCGAGAAACATGAAAAGAATAAGCGGGAGATCGAGGTGTTGGATCTTTGCTGGACGGCTACTGTACAACTGATGATTTGGTGGCAATCTCTCGCTACTATATGAACGGCAGTGACTTACGGAACAGAATAAGCCATTTTCTGTGTCATTCATGTTTATTGGGAGGCGAGTCTGCCCGCAATTTGGAGCTACCTGATTTGTTCAGCGTGGAGCTCGAGCACGAGGGTTTCACGGAGTGCCATGCCCTCGTGATGATCATGGAACAGGGGAAGACTAACCAGTATGGACGCCGCGAATTTGGCTCGTGCATCCGACACCGCAATGTCGAGGTTTGCCCTATCGGTGCCCTTGGTCTGTACCTCTTTTTCCGATGGAGTGTTCAACTGGAGGCTGTTCCTAATTTTCTGGAGCCTGCTCTGTGGTACAACGTCAAAGTTCTCAAGGCAGGAAAAATAACAACAAAAGCAATGACATACCGAGCACATTACGACGCTACCGTAAAATTCTTTTCCACCCTTGGTCTGCACTCTAAAGCTAAGACCCACGCTGCCCGAGGATCTGGATCCAGAATGGCTGAGCTAGCAGGAGCAACAGAGTCACAGATTAGACGGCTTGGGCGCTGGAATGCTGGAGCCATGGAAGGGTGTTACCTGACGGCTTTGCCTCGTGACGCCATGCGCTCACTCGCTGGGTTTCCCCCGGACCGGCGTTCGTTCCTCCTGATAGCCTGCAGCGCGAAGTGTTCCCGTTTGTCGAAAACTACATGGCTGCATACGTAAAACAGTCAGCGCCTTACATATCAACTGGTGGGGGTTTGGAATTACTACTGTACCTTCGGGTGGTCGTCAGTATATAGCCGGAACGGGTCATTGTGTCCACTCTCATTTTCTCCCGATATAAGAACACTCTGGTACCCATTCCTCTAACCACAACCACAGCTTGCCCATTTTCTCTTCAACACTTTAAAACTCTCCAGAACACTTCTTATCCTCCTTAGATTAAAAGAGCACTTCTCTACTTCCCACGATATCCAAACATCTTCTCGTTAAGTAAAAGCTTAGAGCAAAAAAAGAAGTCCTCATGGATTTTCTAAATTTCAGAATAATCTCTGAAATTCAGAATTTATTGGAAAATTCAGATTTCAATAAGTCATCAATTTGTGCCTACGTCTGAGTCTCGCTCAATAGTCATTGCTATCTTAAGGGAAATTTAATAATATATAGGATACGATGTGCAATTACCTAACTAAAGACGGAATCATATGCAAGCTGTCGCCGAAGAAAGACATTTGTCATATGCATCGGAAGTATTCGATTATCGATCACAAAAGTAATGAGATTCGAAACTTGAACAAGTCAATCGCGAAGGCGAAGATGACTAACAAATCGCTACGCAGTGAAGTTAGCCATCTCAAGGATGATATAGTCTTTCTTCAATCAGCTCTCAAGGATAAAGAGAGTATCATATCCTCAATGAAGAAAGACTATGACCAATTCATGTCAATCAAGCAATTTGAGATGAAGAAAGCTCGTTTATCGAAATATGTCCACGATATGACTGACATATACAAGCTAAAATCGTTTTGCAGAACGAAAGTAAACGTGTTGACACTGTCAGAGATTTTCGGAGAACATGACGACTACTGGAGACACTACAACGAGCTGCGAATTCAAAGAAACAAGCTGTGCCATGAATTTTAGTCCATCTTAACAAAAAATATATGCTAGTATATCCAACGAGACTAAACCATGAAGCGCTACAATACAAAAGAAGAGAGACTCAACGCGAGACGAGAGGCGAATCGGAAATACTATCAGCGAGCTCGCGAACGTAGACTCGCTAAGCAACACCAATACTATCTAGATCATAAAGATGAGATTAACAAGAAGGACAAAATCAGATATCAGCAAAAAATACTAGCGATTAGCGATTAATCGATGAATATTTTTTGCTACTATTAGTATAACTGAGAATTTTCCAATTGATCTTAAGTGTATTTCCCCTAGTAATATATCCACATAGTAAAAGGAAAATGCCAATCTCATCAGCCCTTAAGAAAGCTCAAAAGCACCGTAACGACCTATACCGGTTCGCAAAGAGTAAGAATCTGACTATCCATTGGGATATGAAGACAAAGAAGATGGAGGAAATTGTCAATGCGTTCAAGAGCAAGAAAGCTATGACTATCGTCAAGGCTTTCAAATCATCGAAGCTTAACAATGATCAATCAACTCTCAAAGTCATCAACACTACAACTGGAAAGGTCAACGTATCGCTAAGTCGCTTCAATCGCATTCGGAAGCAGATTGTATCGCCAGCTGATAAGAAGTTGCTAATTCATATCAAGGGTTCGGATGGTAGAATCGCGAAGTCATACCACCTCAACGATCGCGTTGTAAATATCAACAATCTTTTCATTGACGAGGATACTCAATATAGCTCGGGAGCTGACGTTGAATTGAATATTCTACCTACAACGACCATTGAGACTGAATGGCTACCAAATCCTAAGCGATCTCGATCAGAGCGCAAGAATTTCTTTCGATATCTGACGAAGGCCGACTACAATCTAGAGGCATTCCAAGTGTATTCAGATGACTTCTTGTTTGAAGATGAATACAACGACGCAGCTTCGTACCGGGCGAGAGCAACGACGACGAGGCAGCTAACTATCCGTGCTTTCTGTTTGCGCTATACAAGGCAGGAGCAAACCCAGATCTTGTGAAGCGGATCTCACAGACAATGTTAAACTCGGGAGCTACTGTTGATTTCATTCGGAAAACCGCCAAGGCTTTCAACATTTGCATCTCTGTTAGACAATTTCGTGTCAATCAGAAGACTGGCAGATGCAATAACGACATAACGATCTATGGCGATAAATGCAACCCGATGTTTATCCTCGGTTCTGTTGGTGAGCATCTATTCGCTATTGCGCCGACCAACATCACCAAAGGTGCTCTCGATAACCCCGATCTAGTTGCCGAGCATGGACGAACTGATTTCCGAATCAAGGGAGGGAGGGTTGTTTTCAACGATAAAAAATCTCTTTCCTCGACAGCTATGGGGTCGTTAGCTATCTATACCACCACCGCGAGACTCTCCTGTCGCCTATCACGCAGCGAAATATGCCTAATTTTCTCAACAACAAATACCAAGAGGTGTGCTCACTGGATGAGGGAGACTTCAGTGATTGCAACTTCAGAGTCATGGGTCGCGTCCCAGGAAAAGAGCTTAAGCTCGGTCAGGCTGTATTTAGAGCCTTCAACAGCAAGACGCGTGAGTTCTATGATGTCCGAAAATACAACGTGATCTACTTCGACTTCGAGACCCTGGTTCTCAACGGTATTCATGTTCCACACTGCGTATCATATAGCATTTCAGAGTTCAACGAAAACTCACCATCTTCTCAGACATTCAGTGAGACGAGGAACATCTATGGCTTTGGCTGCGAGACGCAATTCCTAGAATCGCTTCCGTCCAACAGCAAGAATCTCCTCTGGGCTTACAACGCTGGCTTTGATGCTCGTTTCCTGCTAAAACATATGAGCTACAAGTCTAAGGATACTAATATGATTGATTGCGGCTCTAAGATCAAGCAAGTTCACGGCTTCTATAAAGGACGTGAGATTATTATTAAGGATTCGATGTCCTTCCTTGCTGGAGGGTTAGCTAGACTCCCTAAGATGTTCAAGGACGCGTCGTCGTCTTTATCGCTTGAGAAGGAGTGCTTCTCTCATGCTTTGATGAACGAGAGCAACTTTAGACCCCTCTGGCCTCTCGAGTATCTTGATTCATACGACAACAAGGACACCCTCATCGATAATGCTTCTAAGATAGGAGCTATCGTTGATGATAAGTTAGATTGCGAGATGTATGCTACTCACTACTGCAATCGCGATGTTGATGTACTTAGAGTATGTTTCGAAGCTTTCCGTGCCCTGGTGAAGGAGGGGTTCGATCTTGACATCTATCGATTCCTCAGTGTATCATCTCTCTCTCTCTCTCTCTCTCGCATATCAACACAACGAGGGCTGCTTCGATGACTGCTATGAAATGAATTCGGTGCTACTAGGCTTCTTACGCCAAGGAACCGTTGGTGGGCGAGTGATGGCCCGCGATAACGGCAAATATCACCTGAAGCACAAGCTAGCTGACTTCGATGCGGTATCTCTATATCCATCTGCTATGAGTGAGCTCCCGGGCTATGTCAGAGGCAAGGGAAAGCTTTTCAAGGAGTCGATCCCTTCTGATGCGGACTACTACGTGGCTCGTGTCCGCTTTGAGTCTATTGATATCAAACGCCACTTTCCTCTACTGAGTTTCTATGAGAATGGATCTCGCAATTTCACTAATGATATTGTCGGCCAAACCATGATTGTAGGTAAGCAGGCTCTCGAAGACATTGTTCGTTTCCAAGGAGCCATACACACGGTAATCGAGGGTATCTATTGGAACGAAGGTTTCAACGACCAGATCACCAAGATCATCCGAAAGATGTTCAACGCTCGTCTCAAGTACAAAGTAGAAGACAATCCGCTTCAAGAGGTACTCAAGCTGATGATGAACAGCTCGTACGGCAAGCTCCTGATGAAGCCGATCGTGAAGACGAAGGTTTTCGTTAGTGGCGGCGATAAGAAGATCGATGCATACACTCGCAAGAACATTCATCGAATGATTTCGAGAACGCCAATCAGCGATAATCTAGCTATGTTTGAAGAGCACAAGGCTCTGAGTCAGCATTTCACTCCGATTCATCTCGGTATCCAGATTCTCGATTCATCCAAGCATATCATGAACAGAGTCATGTGTTTGGCAGAAGACATCAATGCGAACATATGGTATCAAGACACTGATTCCATGCACATCGACTACGATAGTGTTCCGCGTCTAGCAGATGCATACAGAGAGCTGTACAATAGTGAGTTAATTGGCAAGCAAATGGGTCAATTCCACGTAGATTTCGATCTTGCTGGATCGGAGGGCAACATCTGCGCCAAGGAGTCAATCATTCTTGGCAAGAAGAGCTACCTTGACGTTCTTTCCTGCGATGGCAACGATGCGACAGGTATTCATATCCGCATGAAAGGCATTCCCGGTAAGCTACTCGAGGGAGATGCATACGCAACATACATTAAGCTATTCAATGGTGAATCAGTATCCTTCGATTTAACCGAGCTGTGCTCGATTAACATCAACTCTAAGACACAATCAGTGTCTAAGCGTTCGAATTTTACACGCTGTGTTTCATTCGTGTAAATATAGAGTAGAGCTTACTCACAGCCATGGACTCACTATTTAAAAAAGTGTATTTTGACCCTAAAACAGGCTTTATTGGAGCTGACAAGCTCTATCGTAAGGTAAAAGCATTTGATAATAATATCACTAAGAAACAAGTATCTGAATGGTACAAGAAGCAGCATAGTATTCAACAGTTCTCGTCTCGAAGCAAGAGATTTCAGTTCAAAATTGCATCCAACAACCCCTACGAATGGCAATTAGATTTAGCATTATGGGAGAAGCAACCAATCCTCATTTCAGTGAATATCAATAGCAGAATTGGTTTTGCTACGCTATTGAAGAACAAACGAGCAGATACTGTTCTTAATGCGATTGAAGAGTTTGTTGATAAAAATGAAGTTTCAGCCATATTTTCTGAAAATGGCAGCGAGTTTATCAATAAATCTGTTGAATCATTCTTTGATGAGCGCTCTATTAGTCATGGTTATTCGATTGCCGGCTACCACACTGTTCTCGGAAAAATCGATCGTTTCATACGAACGATCAAGTCCAAACTAACTAAAATGAAGGAAATTATCAAATTCAAGATACTATCACAGTCGATATTGAATGAGGCAATCGCTAATTACAATAACACTTATCATTCAGCGATCAACGCAAAACCTTTAGAAATGAGAGGGAGAGTAATGCTAGATAATGTTGAGTACAACAAACGCCTCGTTAAAAAATAATAATACCGATATCCCACCAGGATCGATAGTGAGATATCGCTTAAAAGCAAAAACGCCTTTCGATAAGGAAGGAGCCAGATGGAGTAGAACAGCTTATGAAGTAGTTGGGTTCGATGGATTGAAAATTCGCATCAGATAAAAAAAAACAACCATATTCTTTTCAGATCTCCAAATGAGCTAAAACTAGTCAACGCAAACCCATCTGATGCGGAGATCAATGACCGTGTCAATCAATTCTGGGAGGTAGAGACTATATTGGATCATAAAAAATGCGCAACGGCAAATACAAATACTTCATCAAATGGAAGGGATATGACGACTCGTCGTGGGAGTCTCAGGATAATCTACGCTTGATCAACAAGAACGAGCGCAGTGCGTTGGAGAAGAAGTATTGGAGCACAGCTACAAGTTGAGGCTCTTGAAGTTCCATTTGGTATCCCGAATTGTTTCAACTTTCTCGAACTCGGTTGTCAGCAATCGTTTGAGCTCGTATCTTGCGATCATGATACGTCGAGCAAGCTCGGCATTTTTTTGTGATTCAACCTCGGCATCCTCTTCGATACGGCGCAGAGACCTTGTGGGCTTCCGATAACGAAGCGATTACTATTCCTGTAGCCAGAACTACTTATGGAGTAAGCACGCAAACCGATGGTACGCAAGCAGCATCTACCACTACGACGTCGACCGACACGACACCACCAAGCGAACTAACTGGAGATATTAGCATTCCAGCAACTGTAGCATCTACAGCCGCCTCTGATATGGTTAATCTAGATACTGATCGTATCATGTATCGTCCCGATGCGTCGATGGAGGAGGCGGTATCAAAACGCAAGGATAGACAAGCAAAATCGTATGAGGCTGTTGTTGAGCTATTAACTAACATGCCGGACGTTGCTACGTGGGATCTCCATCCGCTCTTCGATCCGATGCTAGTGAAGGACGGAAATGCAAAATCTCAGCGCGATCTGGACTTCCTCGGCCCAGGCGCTAAGCTATACCATCGTTGCTCTCGTCAAGCTGTACGGAAGGACAAACAAGATGATTTGATTGAGCAAATCGACTGGGAAGCTACACTCGAGTACATCCTTGATCGTATAAGATTCGTTGATGGCTATGTCAAAGCGCGAGAACTACGGGAAAAGTCAGATACTCAGCGTAAGGTATTCGATGGGCTCAAGCTCAATGCGGATATGCCAGGATTATTTGAGAGCTATAGAGCGCTCAACTCAATCAAGGATGAAATTGTGCGAGAGGACAAGCTTGATAGCGATCGCTTAGGAGAATCTCGCCTAGCCCTGAACGACATCGTTAATCATGCCATAGATGAGAATCTATCAAAGGATTCGCGAAGCGATGATATCAATCGCGATTCGAAACCGATCTTTACTCAGATCGTGAATAGCAATTGGAGTGTTATCAAAGCTAATCTATTGCTTGATTTCAATGACAAACAAGGTTTCTATGCGCTAGGTCGTAGCGATGATCTGCAAGGATTGCCTCCTCCAATCGATGGATACTACATCGATCCGATCAATTTAAGGTTCGTCAAACACGTAATCATCGAGTATCAAATAATATGGAGAAGGAGCATCTGTCATGGGCCAATGCACTTCAATTGCTATTCCAATCGGCTCAGAACCGTGATATCGTGCTCGATACGTCTGGTACTCCTTTAACCCTTCTAGCCCCAGACCTTATTCTGTATCCTACAGAAGAAGCATTAGACTTGATTAATGTATACTTCAAAAGCTGTCAAAGATTTGCTGTTGGAAGCCCTTTCGCATCTTGCGGTCAAGCGCTGGGTACATTGTGCACAGAACAGCTACGAAAGTGAACAAAACATGCTCAATGTATCCACCATATGCCGAAATGGCGAGCTTCTATTGGTCGTGGCGAGCGTAGAGCACGCTCAAAACCTGCTACATGGTAATACCTTGCAAGGCTGCTAAGGCAGCATACTTCGGCTCCAGCCACCCATCTTCGGCACGTCGCGATAAACGCGGAGGAAGAAATCGCCCTGTTCCTAACTGACGTAGTGAGGAGGAACTGGGCGAATTCTTCCTTGTGCTTGACATTAGCGCATCATTAGATTTCTTTAGCCCACCTAACAAGCTTGTTACGATTGTCTCTCTAACAACACCAGGGAGCTTGCATGCTCAATAGCCCGTAATGACACGCACTACACACGGTTCCTCTTGTACGAAACAGGACAATATATGATATTCATGCCAACGTCTAATTTTTCCTTTACATGCGCACGCTCATCAATGTTCGCGCCAGCCGTGGGTCATCTTCGCCATTTTGGCAGCCTCCGCTTTGCTCTTTAGCCTCCGGCACTGCCGCTCCATTCCTGCCGCTTTCATCGGTAGCCTCCGTCGTAGCCTCTGTCCCTTCTTCTGTAATCTCCGGTGTAACCTCATCACGCGGAGAGCTTCTTCTGTAGCATCCGTCGTAGCATCTACCGCTTCTTCTGTAGTCTCCGGTGTAGCCACACCATGAGGAGCGCTTCTTCTGTAGCCTCTTGAGTAGCCACTGCATCAGCTACAATATAGCGGTAGACCCGGCTGTAGCCGGCTTCGTAGGAACCGATGAGGTTGTGCGCTGACTCCGCAATCGATCTGCCAATCGGGCCACACGCGAGAGCTCGTAGCGTCGTCTGGGTCGGATCACCAGGTCTGGTAATCAACATCGCAACGTAGAATCAATATACCACTAGTACAATGTTACAGAGCAAAGTACACGCTCTCGCTTACCTGTAGATCACAATGGCGCTCATCATGATCGTCTTCGGCCATGGTCCTTGGCCACTTGGGCGCGCTCGACGGGCCCCAACAAAGCTTGCATTGCGACGTCTCGAACAGCGCAGTTTCGGAATGAAGGAAAGTACGAGTGGCTGACACGCGGCGGTTTTAGGCTTCCACCCGAATTTTCAAACCTGTTGGTGGTTTATACTCGTCCGTCTATTACCGCGGAATAAACCCCGTTTATCTTCCCATCGCTAATCTAACAGGAAGATGTGCACAATACCGGCTATACAAACATCCATATGCGAAGTTCGAAAGAGAGGACAAGTTTGCTGGATATTATGTCCTGTGACAATGCTTATTCTGTAGGATACAGAAGACGGGATTAGAGGAGTTAAAAACGACTACGAAGCGGTCACTGGAGGATAGCACTGTATCCAATCTCATTATCGATCAGAAGCGACCGAATCTTAACGAACTTAGTCGAACAGTCGGAACTGATGTGAATATGACTGAAGCAGCTGCCAACTATAAGAAACTCGTTTATGATCTATATACTGACAACCCTTGGCTTCTTCAGGAGTATTTACCCCCGGCTGTATCAAAGCTTAACAAGCAATACGATCCTAATGGATATTATATCGACCTGAATGGAGCTATCCGAAAAATTAAGGGCAAAGCCCCAATCTGACGGTGGATCACTCGCATCGCCCGAAGCACTGTCTCATATGAATCTAAGCTGGGCATTGACGTTCCAAGGCGTTCTCGATTATCTAATCCAGGCTGTTAAGTTCTATGGAGACCATCCAGACTTACTCAGAGAACATCGTTTTGAGGAGAAGCTGAGACAGGTTAGAGCCAGTCTCCGTAAGTTCAATATTATCATCCCTGACAACAGTCGTCCAATCAATATGGAGGATCTAGAGTTGAAGCCGGCCGTCCGCGGACGGGGCCTCCGGGGAGCCGGATATGTCAAGCGCATGCAGGACCTCCGAGACAAGGATGGACACCCGATCAAGTATCACTCCAACCGAGGGTACAACCTCGCGCAGTTAGAGGGCTCGGGGACCGCTTCTGCTCTTGCGTACAAGCGGATTGGAACTAAGTTTGTACATTTGCCAAAGCTCAACGATGGGTTGCTCAAAGTTGTTTACCCCAACCGCTCGACAGTCGGTCCTCAGCGTAAGATCAGCGATAACCTAACAAAGCTAATCAAGACCTCGGTATTCGATGACAACATCGATCAACAGCTCTACGACTCGATGTCCGTGGATGATCGACAAGTATTCCACGCGCATTACGCATACCCAGCATGCGCTACGTGATCCCATCAAGGATCCTCGCGAGGTACTCAAGCAAGAGTACATCAAACTGAGAGGCGAGCTAATGCTTGGCAACAACCACCCGAGCCTGATCCGCGAACTCAAGCAGGTATTGACTGACATGTACACAGCAAAGCTAATTTCGGATAACGAATTCAAGGAGGTTTTGGTTGCTATTGTATAGAAATATCATGATATTCATCAATACTAGACTCGTCGACACGAAGAACGCGTACCAGCGCGAAGCGAGAAACAACCTAAAGGAGCTGAAATCGCTCATGGAGAAGTTGGTAGTGAAAGACCCGCCTATCGCTGATAGCGCGTTTAAGGCCTCCAAACCGGGTGGTAGCGTTTGGGCATACTCTGAACCCAAAAAAAGCCGCACGTTTATGCTCTAAGCTGAGCAAGCTCTTTTTTTAGCTCCTCGATTTGACCTTGTTGCTCTTGGATCGCTCGCGCTAAAACCGATGTTAGGCTAGCTAGATCAATGCCCCATGGGTTTATTGGAAACCCTTCTTGATTTACATCATCATTGGCGCCGATATCAACGGCCTCAGGGATGGCATTTCCTGAGCGATAACGCCAACGTGTGCTGTTTGCTCTTGAATCATTTTGAATCGCCTGGGGCGCATGCTCATGACCGCATCGAGTCCGTATTGTAGATCGATGATATCCGTTTTAAGCCGACGATCACTTGCATTTGTATATGCTCCACCTCGAACTGGCACATACACCGTCCAAGCATAATTAGCATCGCATTTCCCCAATCTAATAGCGCCAACAGTAGAATCAGTACCGATTGCTGGATAGTCCGTCCGAGACCAATTGAATCGATACCGCGCGAAACCATCGCCGCTTCCCTTCACGTGCATGAAATTGTTTGCCCAGACCTCTCCTCCAGAGTGAATGGTTGCTTCAGGCGACCAAGCGCTCATACCAACCCCCAACCGTCCTGAGCTGTTGAGATAAGCTTGTGTTGAGTTTCCAACCATGAACCGGAGGGGATCGCTCGTAGTAGTGCCGAGAGCAACGCCGTTAGATCCGCCAGCCACATCGTTGTAGATCTGTACCTCGAATTTGATAGCGGTCGATTGATCATTAGCTATGCGCATCGCGCGCAGCCAGCTACCGGATAGTAGATTAGCGCTTGATGTGATATCCATTTTTGCGGTTGATGTAGATGATCCAAAACGGATGTAACCTGCCTGAGTGATACACATGCGTTCAGTCATCGGCGACAATGCGTTAGCTCCTGACCGTGTAGAGATAGCAAAGTCAGCCATGCTGTACTGCGTTGTTGAATTAGCCGTTCTTATGCAATATAAATTCACAGAAGGCGTGAAAGTACTTAAATCGCTAGTGCCGTCGATAGTAAAGCTAATCCCGGCCTGAGCTCCTGTTGTATTGCTCTGATTCAAAATGATTAGATTGAAATCGCTTGCCCTCGTTGTACTTGAAAAGGTCGTCCCAGGCGTTATCGATAGAATACTCGTTTGTGGTGAAATAGCGACTCCTCCGATCGTAAGCGATGAGCAATTGAAAGCACCTGCCACATCAAGCTTGTAGCTGGTATTAATTGAACTTCCGCCGATATTGATATTACCGTTATTATCCATAATCAGACGATCTGATAGACCGTATTTGAGAAAAAACTGATTTGATCCAGAAGTATTGCTGGCCATTTCGCATTGATAATACGAAACGAAGTTTAGACTAGCTGCCGATGACATGTTATCATTTTGAACAACGAGAGACTTCAAGAGATCCGATCCAACTACTGAAAGGGATCTCAATCCGGTAATACCATATGAAGCATCAGCCACAAGCGCCTTGCTTGTCTCAACCGTTCCTAGAGTAGTTAGGGATAATCGAGGAATTAGAGAGAGATCGTAAGTAGTAGAGCCTTGAATGAAGCTAGTTCCGCGGATAGCATCAGCTACATCGAGTTTCTATGCCGTATTAATACTAGCTTGACCAATAGCCATATTGCCGTTGATGTCCATCAGCAGCCGATCGGTATTTTCGAAACGCCAAAAGTAAGTATTGGGCAAGCTGGCATTAGCCGACCCTCGCATGCCTTGCTCCATCTGATAATAGCTCACGATATTCAGACTGGCTGTCGATGTAGTATTATCATTCTGAATGATCAATCCTTTGCCAAAAACAGAATTTATACTCAACGAACCTAGAGTTCCGACAGAAGTGATATTAGGCTGAACAGCGGTCTGTAGAGTACCAGTGATTCCTTCGGAAACTGTAAGCGATGCTAGCGTACCAATCGATGTGAAAATAGGCTGAGCCGCGGTCTGTAGCGTGCCTGAAATCGATGCTGCAGCAATTGAATTACCCCCCCCCCCCCCCCCAGCGTTCGGTTAGCACCGGTAAAAGAGAGATTGCCTCCGATAGTTAGCCCGGTCAGAGTACCTACAGACGTGATATTGGGTTGAGAAGCCGTCGATAGCGTACAATAGGTTGCCCTGCCCACTACAAGGCTAATAAGCGTGCCTACAGATGTTATACTCGGTTGGCTAGCCGTCTGTAGCGTGGCGTACAGGTTCCCACTCACTGTGAGATTGCTCAATGTACCTACGGATGTGATGTTAGGCTGGCTGGAGGTTTGGATAGTACCAGTAATACCACCGGAAACTGTAAGCAATGCTAGCGTACCAATCGATGTGATATTAGGTTGGGCCGCGGTTTGTAAAGTACCTGTAATGCTTGTAGCTGTCAGGCTGGAGATCGTTCCGATTTGTCCACTTGGACCAAGGATGAGAGCCTTGTTGTTTTGAGCAGTTCCAGCCGGCGCGCTCAGTAGCGATAGACTGCTTAGATCGACTGAAGAGCCATTTAGCTTCAACGAGCTACAACTGATCGAATTGATACCTGTTATATCAAGAATGGCATCAAGCACCAGTACTGACATTGGACTAGCCACTCCCATCGTGATCGAGCTGAGATAACTCAAGCAATAGTCAGTCTTACTGAGATACAATGAATCAGCCATTTCAAGGCTCAGAACATCTGTGCCTACCGCATAGAAGGTTGGGTTAAAAATATTCGATTCTTGAGATGGTGGCCGAGCTGTGAAACCCATTTTTTGTTGGCGAGTTATATATCACTAGATATATATACTTTCCACAATGGTTAATAGAATTGATAACTGGGGAGCCGCTCTCCCGAAAGATTTCCGCTCAGACTCTCTCGGCGATATTAAGCAACTCGGGATTAAAAAGCTCTTCCGCGGAATCATCCTACCTCCCAGCAACGCCGGTAAGACGAATCTATGCTATCCCATCGTCAAGAACGCACCAAACGTTTTTAGCCATCTGCATCTGATTGCACGCAACCCAGACCAGGATTTGTACAATTATATGAAGGAGAAACTTGCGGGCTATATCACAGTATATGACCCATCGACACCGCCAAGCGTCGATGATATCCAGAAGGATCCGCGAGGTGGTATTTAGCTCGTTATCATTGACGATTATTCCTCGGACAAGAAGCTCCAAAAAGACGTATTCAGTCATTACTTCATCAGAGGGCGCCACAAGCGGCTATCTACGCTGTTTCTGACTCATTCATGGTTTGCTACTGACAAACTCATCAGACTGAACTCAGAGTATCTCTGGATTCTCAAAGCAAACAGCCGACGCGATCTGAAGATGGTCATCTCTGATTTCAGTCTTCCCGGTCTTACGCTCGAGCAGCTAATTAGAGCCTACAACGCAGCCACTAGAGAGAAAGGTCAAGCATTGCTCGTAGATAACGTTAGAAGTGTTCTGAGGTATAATTTCAACGAGAAGCCGATCTATCTAGATTAGCCTGACGGCAAGAGGCGCGAGCCTCGAGTCAAAGGCTCTAAGCTTGCTTATTGAGCAAGGCTCTACCAGGGTAATAATTAATATCGACCGAATATTATAAATATTGACATATAATCGCAATGTCGAATATCATTACTCTCAGTTCGCAGCATATAGTATCTAATTCATATAACAACACGCTTAGATATGAATTTCCTGGCAGCAGCGTTAATTTTACTAACAGCGAATTGGCTATTCATTCAATCAACATGTACAACAGTCAATTCAATATCGATTCGGGAGCTTATGGAAATAATACCTTCAAACTTCAGATGCCGAGTGGAAACACCTATAGCACAGTTCAGATCACACTCCCAAGCGGATATCACTCCTACAGTGCAATCAACTCAGCCGTGCAATCAGCCATGATCAGCGCAGGAGCATATCTGATCAATTCGGATGGAGACAACGTCTTTTATGCGAATCTCTCTGAAAACCCAACGTACTATAGCTGCCAAGTTGATCTATCGCCGGTTCCGACGAGTATTCCAGCGGGATGGACACGCCCGCCGAGTGGTTTCTACTCTAGCGGCGGAACCGGTCTGCCGCTTGGATTCTCGTATGTCCCCAAGCTCGTTATCGATAACAAGGAGTTTGGCAAAATCATCGGTTTCCCACTGGGAACGACCCCCAGTCAGAGTCTATACACGCTCCAGTCTGTGTTATCTCCGATTCCGCCTCAGATCAATCCTGTCAGCTCATATCAGCTACGGTGCTCTTTAGTATCAAATCCATTTTGCATTCCAGATGATATTCTCACTACTTTCAACACGGCAGGAACGACTATCGGTCAGCTAGTAAGCTACCAGCCAAACGGGTTTTGCTGGGTTGATGTTCCCAACGGATCATATGCTAGCATCACGCTAACTATCGTTGATCAAGAGGGACGATTCGCGAAGCTCAACGACACGAATATGCTTATCAGTCTGATCGTCCGGCAAAAGAGGTCATAGACCTCCGGGCGGGGTTTTAAAAAAACCCGCGCCAAAAAAGTAAGTCGATGAATGTTTTTTTTTACTCAAACGAAAGCTTCCAGCACGCTTAGAACTACCACCCTTGCGCATAGCGCGAAGGCGAGCCATCTTCGCCTTCATCTCGGGGGATCCCTTAGCCGGGTGGCTACGGCGAGAGGGCTTAGCCTCAGCAACGCCGATACCCGTAAATCGCTTCAGAGCACCTCGGGCAACGCCTACGAGAGCAGGGTCTTTGCCCTGGCTCGCTACATATGCCGATCCCATGCTGGCGAGTCCATCCGCGGCAGCCGACAGCGCAGGCTTGATTACAGGCGACCAAGCGCTCTTGATGCCGTTCTACACCTTACTCCAGATACTCGCTCCGTGCATACCAGAGCCGCTCTTGACCTCCATAGGGTATTCGATCTCGTGTTTGGTGATCTTGACTCGAGACCCCTTGTCGGCCTTCTTAGCTCGCATGACCTTATCATATGATTCGGGGTGCAGATGTAGCCTTGCACCAGAGCCGGCTAGATCAGCCTTAGTCAGCGATAGGTTGCCAGTCTTGACTGCACTGCGAAGACGCTTTTCGGGGATAGAGTTCGAAATGGACAGTTCCTTGTACATGATTATGAGTATATTAGTCAGAGAGTTAAAAATTCAGAAAATTAATTCTATTTTTGAGATAAGGCAACCCAAAAATATATAAAGTACAATTGTATCATTATGATCGGATATATCTACCGCATTATCCACCTTGAGAGTGACATCCAATACGTTGGAAGTACGTTCAATGAGCCACGCAAGCGTTGGCAAGCACACAAGTCTGCATTTGTACGATGGACCAAAGACAATCAAGGCACCGTTTCCATCTTTCCTTACTTTCAAGAGTATGGCATCGATCAGTTCAAGCTGATTCCAATCAAAAGCTATGATGTAGCTGATCGCAAATGTCTTATAGCTATGGAACAACTTTGGATCAGCAAACTTCGGTGTATTAACAAAAATAACCCATTTTGTATTAAAAAGCTTTATAAAAAACATTTATATACAGCCAATAAAGAATCTGACAAAGATCGCAGTAAGCAATATTATGAATCCAACAAACAAACAATGACGGAATATAAAAAAACAATATTATCAGACAAACAAAGCGGCACTGAATGCCAAACAGAAGATTTATAACAAGGCTAATGAAGACAGTATCAAAGCTCGTAGAAGACAAAAATATCAGTGTGAATGCAGCGGTCGCTATAGCTACGGTTGTAAGACAGCTCACCTTAAAACGAAGAAGCATCAACGGTGGTTAAATGCTCAATAACTATCTTTTTTTTTGGTTGGGAGCACGTCTATATCGAGATCGGTAAATCTATCAAACAATTGCATTTGTCCATGTTGCTTGGCGTATAAGAATAACATACAAAAGATGCCACAATATTCGTCCGATGAGCCTTGGATTTGCTTGTCGAAGTATGCCAGATCACCTAATACCTTCGGCGGCCCGACAGACATGCTATCAAAATAACTACCATCACACACAGCAGTCCAATGGCCGATTCCAGGGCTCGTACGCAGTAGGATAAGATATGACACCTTCGAGGGGAGTGGCTTCCGGATCTCAGAAAGCTCGTATATGCCATTGATCCGGACTTCAATTCGCCTAGCGAGCGCGAGCAGGTCATGATCTGAAGTTATGCCTTTAACAAGCTCCATTTAATTAATATTTTGTATGGACTATCTATATCAGCTGACATATACTTATCACCATGTCTGACACAACTCAACTCGCAGACGCATACCTGTTGCAATCGGCTCTCAAGACCAAATCGCCTATCGATGTTTCGAAGGGCAATACCATTTCAACCATCTACGATGGCAACCAAGGTTCGTACAACTCGGGCCTGATCACTATTGATGCCACATCGCAGCTAACTGGTTCTCAGGGCTTTGCTAGCCTCAAAGATGCTTATTTGACTTGCCCTACGTTGTTACGGCCAAATCGACTGGTTCTACTGATATCACGTCTGGTCTTAACCGATTCTCGGTTGGATTTAAATGCAACATCGCCAACGTCGTAGACTCGCTGATGGTCGAACTGAACGGGAAAAAGATCGTAACGGAGACCGAATACAAGGGCTTCGGGAATAATCTATGAGCGATGACGGAGCTTTCCCAAGACGAAGTTGTAAAGCACGGCGCTGACATGCATCTATATCCGGACTCGTGATACTCGATTAACTTCTCCGGTGCGAATCACTCGTCTGGAGATGGCTACAGCAATAATCAGCTTGAGAAGGGTGGTAAGGAAGATGGAACGCTCTCACAGGCACAAGAGCCAGTAGCTCTGAACGATGGTTTCTTCAATCGCCTGCTGCTTGCTCCGCCGATCGTTGATTCTGATCAAGCTACGGGTGTTAATTCCTGGGTTTCGACGGGTACTACTGCCACGAAGCAGATCTGTATCCAGAACGGCAAAGGTACTTTTCAGGAGGGTTATGTTTCTGCAACCAAGGTCCTTGGTCGATGGTTTTACATGCTCAAGATCCGTCTCGTAGATCTACATCCGATTTTTAAGGAGATCGATCTCTGTGCTAACCCTCAGCTCAAGCTGTGTCTGCGCATCAACACGGGTCGTGTAGCTATTAGCGGAATACTCGTAGGCACCGGTGCTACACAGTCTAGTCAGATAAAGCTTGACTCTACAACGATGACCAGCGGTCAAACGTGCCCTATCATGATTGCTTCGGCAGCGGCTGGAAATCCGATGGCTGGTATGCTGGCTACTGGTAATCAAATTACGTTCGCGTTTGGTGCCATGGGCAATGATTTCACTCCCACAGCTGAGGCGGCTGGATACTTCCCGTATCAGACGAGTCGCTTGCACATTCCGTTCTATCATCTCAAGAATCCGACCAGTATCATTCAGAAGCCTGTCAAGAAGATTCGGTACCTCGACTGCTACGCTCAGATGTTCCGATAGGGTGCTGGCTCGACTCCTGCTAATCCAGCCGGCCAGATCAACGCTCCGTTTGATCTTCATATCTCGGGCAGCAAGAAAAATGTGAAGTATGTAGCATTGCTCCCGTTCGCTGATACTACCCAATCGCACTTCGTACCGGCGCATAGCACGCCTCAGTACCAGAGTCCGTTTGATTCAGCACCTTGGTCGGTGATGCCTGGTGCTTCCATTCGCAATTTCCAGGTTGCCCTAGGTAATTCGAACGTATTCGATACCTCGCACGAATTCGACTACGAATCGTTCATTCACGAGTTCAGCAAGCTGGGAGCTATTAACGGCGATTTGAGCCAGGAAATCAGCAATGGTTTGATTGATTCTATACAGTGGAACATGGCTCAGCGTATTCTCGTCGCCGACTGCTCGCGACCGTCCAAGAAGGACGTACCTCAGTCGATTCAGATCTCCGGAACCAACGGCTCTGCCGCCGGCATGGATCTCCTGGCCCTGGTCGTATACGAGCGTGAGCTTGAGATCGATCGTCTCACGGGAGAGGTCCACAGAACCGATTAAGCATCTCTTGTTGAATTGAATTTATTTTAATAATTACGATGTGGCCTAGAATTCCATTGCACTAGTCGATTGACACCTGAAACTGAATAATATGGCAAATGGGTTCTTGTAAGTCCACTTTCATACTTCTCCGGTCCGCTAAAGAATTAACAGTTCTCTAATCAGACTATATATTGCGTTCTACTGCTCCAACAGAGCAGTAGCTGCCCTTAAATTTAAGCTCTGGATCTGGTGTATCACGTAGTATTTTTGATAAATCCATTTTCCCGCCCTTTCAGGTAGTTATCGGGCTGTTTAAACAATCAGTTTCCACAGGTGTGAGGTTTAAATTCGCTGCGCCATCAAAAATAATCAGATTAGAACTTGGAAATACACATGAGAAAGCGGAAAGAGAGTTTATTCCTGTGATATAATGTCATAAACAGTTGAATATTCCAAGGCAAGAAAAACAGCCAATCGTGTTTGAGGTTTTTTGCATACAAATCACTGATGTTAGAGTTTTGTCCAATGAAGTGTGGTACATAGAGGTACTTTGACCAATCATACATCGAGATGGTTTGAGGTTTTTTATGAAAAAACCTAACTGTTAATTCTTTTCCGGACCGGAGAAGTAATTGATTAATTAATATATTTTCAAAAGAATCATGTGGCTATCTATATAGATAGATAACAATGAGTACATTAAATTTTGGCAAGCACAAATCGAAGACTATTGAGGAGGTATACGAGTCTGACCCTGGATACTGCCGCTGGCTATCGAATCAAAATGGTCTCGTTGCACATGGTAGTGATATTGCCAAATTCCTAGCCCAAAAATTTGGCAATGACGATGGATCGTTCCTCATGACTTGGGGCAAATACAAGCTCAAGACTATTAAACAGATCCAAGCGATTGATGCTAAATACCTTGAATGGTTGAGCAAGAATGAATTCGTTCAGACCAAGATGCCTAAGCTGAAGGCAGAAGTTGATGACTTATTGAAATCTGAATTTTCCAATAAATTCTGAATTTCAGAGATTATTCTGAAATTTAGAAAATCCATGAGGACTTCTTTTTATGCTCTAAGCTTTTACTTAACGAGAAGATGTTTGGATATCGTGGGAAGTAGAGAAGTGCTCTTTTAATCTAAGGAGGATAAGAAGTGTTCTGGAGAGTTTTAAAGTGTTGAAGAGAAAATGGGCAAGCTGTGGTTGTGGTTAGAGGAATGGGTCTCAGAGTGTTCTTATATCGGGAGAAAATGAGAGTGGACACAATGACCCGTTCCGGCTATATACTGTCGTCCTCCAGGACGCGGTGCTGCTGCGAGAAGTGCATCCAGCCCATAAGTTGTGGGGAACCCCTCCGTTCAACACCCATGCGTTCAACGCATTTGCGTCTGCCCTCAAAGCCAAAATGCTCACTGAGACGTCACCGCAAGCAACGCGCCTGGAAGAGGTAGTGCCTGACTTGATGGACCATATAAACCAGCAGCACCTACAAACCATAGCGCACATTGACAGCAAGTTTAGCGAGATAGGCGCATCAGTTACACACTTGACTGGAGCGTTCACACAAATCCCCTCGGGCGCCGCTGCGGTGCGGTTGAGCGTCAACTGGCCTGCAACGACTGGTACGCCATCCACAACCAACACCTCCACACCAGTTTCCTCTGTCCCGGTGACCTACAAGATGGCGAGGTCTCTGAAGACCGTACATCAAGTCTGGCAAGAATGGCCTGCCGGAATTCATGGTGGTCCCGCTGTGCGTAGCCTCGAAGAAAGCCATGGCTCGACCTGGCGCAGCACACCAGCAGACTAATGTTTTTTTCTTTCGGCGAAAGAAAATCATCGATCATATCATAACAACAGCTCAAGCGCAATGTATTACTCGCGAGCAAGCGGTGTGTGCGCTCGAGGCACACCGAACACAGCACAAGCTTACATTTAATGCACTTAGCGACAGTCTAAAAGGAAAACCATAGATCACATAAAGAAATTCACAATTGGTAAATACATCACTGTGTGTCATCGGCATAATAATATCGTACGTACCCTTACTGCCCGACTCGAGTGCCCCTCTCTCCCCTCGGATCTGCTCTGAGGTGAGCGACCAACTGCTCGTCCACGGCTACGAAGCCCTCCAGGCCATCACCCCCTTCGGCACCGGCGTGGCCGTCGTCGTCCTCCTGCTCGTGGCTGTCGTCGTCCTCCTGCACGTGGCCGCCGCGGAGTCCTTCTGCACGTGGCCGCCGCGCAGCCCTCCAGGCCATCACCCCCTTCGGTGCCGGCGCGGTCGTCGTCGTCCTGCTGCTTGTGGTGGCTGCGGGCGTTCTGTCAAATGCGGTTTGTGAGAACATGTCGTAATCAAAAATGTGAATTTGTGTTTTTGTGTATGCCGATAAGTGACTTTATTTGGAAGCAACCACTTCAGGTATTTCACATATCAGACTGACAGGAGAGGGACGGGGTGGCGGCGCGATTGGGACGGCGTCTCTCTGAAACTTCCGATAATGGATAATAATTGAGTAAATCCTAAAGTTGTTTTGTTTTTAATCCTTAAAAGCACTACCAGCCCAACTCTCTAGTTGATTCTAACATGGGCATCTACTGCGCCTGCTTCGCAGCCGCGGCATCTGCCCGAGAATGCATAATTGAACAAATAGTTGCGCACATCGAAGTGTATCGATACGGAAATGATGTTTCAGCCAAACATTTGTGAGGCTGGTAATCAGCAAGCCCCACTCTTCTTTATCGTGGTGGGTTCTCAGGAACCGAAAGTCACCAATTGAGGTTGCCTCGTCTGATGAGGCCATCGGTGACATAACACCCTGGTCAGCGCCCAATGGCTGCGTTGGCGCCAGCAACGAGAGAGCTATTTCATTCATTTTGCAGGTAAGGTATGCGCGCTCATTTTTGTACTATGTTGTGTGCTACAGTAACGATCAGACGAGAGATCTACAGTAGCGGAACGAAAAAGAGACGCATGGTGCACTGATCTTGACCTTTTAACTTGAGGATGTCAGCTAAGTGACAATAATGATCCTCAATTCAAAAACAAAACAAACAAACAAGCTTTTAACTTGAGGGCTTGGGGGTAAATTGTGGGATGAGGAATACGCTAACGGGCCAATTCCTTGAAAGTGGTCGCTTCAACGCAGGGAAAAAATGTCTTCTTCAAACGAACGATGCTCGTGTCACCGTCGAGTTGAGCTGATTGGTTTGGCAACAGACACGAGGTAGGCATCTTCGGCTAAGAGTGATTGGGTATTGAGCAAATTGACATGTAAAAAATGCAGCCTGCACCTAGACAAGTCATGTTGTTCATCTTCAGCTAAGCTTGGTCGATTATGGCGCAAATTGATACGCCTTCTCATAGTGTACTGGAGCTTCCGTAAGTATTTGAATGCAGATTTTGGTAAATAATAAACGATTAGTATCAACCTTTGGTAAATAATGTGCATAAGTCTTAGCATTTATCGACGAGTACCCGATTCCGGCAAATATTACCTTATACATTACAATTAAGAAAGAGAGACCCGGTTTGGTACCCGGTTTTGGAAAGTTACAAGTTTTTTGCCGGGGCCGAGCACAGGTCTTCGACAGTAAGAATGTACCTGTCATTCTATTTGTGTGCTTCCGGTGGTAAATTTGTTTTGCTGGGCTCTACGCACATGTTCTGGCTCTACATGTAGAACGCGGACACGGATGCCAAAAACCGCTATTGTCTCTGGTGGGTCCTTACCTTTCGGTGCTGTGGTTCCTTCTCGAGCGGAACGGGTACTCAAGCGTGTACAGCAGCTTCAAAGTTGTGTCAAGATCTCCCGACTCGGACAATTCTCCACCGAACGTGTCCATAAGGTCAATGACTATTGCCAGCACGCATCTCTTGTCAGAGTAATCTTGGTCGAAATACTCTTGCCTTGGCCCGCGTTGCTCGTAGCGCTTATAGCGGAAAGTATCCCGCTACAGAATCCGGCCGATGGGAGGAGGAGCAACTATGGTGCGTGGATTCGGCTATGGATTGCCATTGCCTCGGGTTCTGTCGGATCTCTCTTCCAGGTTCGAGCGTCCGTGACTGGCCTTTCGTACGGGAAGATTGCTGTGGTGGCCATTGGAACGGGTACCGGAGCCTCGATAATGATGATGCTGTGGGCGAGCCTTTGGGTATTCCCGCTCCCATTCTCTTTGGTATTGATGGGTCTCCCGATTCAGATCATGTTCCTGATATTTTCATTTGTGGTTGTCAGGCAGTTTGGCTCCGAGAAAGTTTCAACGATGGAAAATCGAACTGAACGAGTGCTTAACAAATCCTTGAAGGAGCGGATGTATCCGCTGCTCTCTCAGTCGATGTTAGGAGCTGTCTACGTCGTTTTCGGCATCCTGTTTAAACGGGGCAGCAACAAGCAACAATTTGGGCTCTTGGTGTTCATGCCTGTTATGAAGCTCTCTTTAAAGCACCTGGTTGCTAGACTTGCGTCCAACGACAAAAGCTCAATTCCCGCTGTTGTAGCCTTCTCAGTGGACGTATTCAACGGACTGTACAGCTCCATTTGTATGCAGTCTTCGGGCTTGTGGTGGACACCGTTTGTGATGATCACGCTGAATATCGTTCGCGCCGCTTTCACACTTTTCGAACTTAATCACTCCGTCACAACGCTGCGAGGACTTGAACGCCAAATGGAGGGTAGCAGACAAGAATGGGATTCCGCGGATACGATCGCCAACGATAGCCCAAGCGGCACTTCGAGCTTGATCACGGGTGCTCAATGGCAGACTAAAAAAAATATCTCAACGCGGCAATTGCGTTCAAATCAAAGCAACACAGTACCCAGCTCAATTCAATCCAGAAGGAGAGCGATGTCGTCAAAAATACTTTTCCGTCTGGAATACCTCGCTCTGGTGGCGTACGTCGAGAGCATTATTCCTCTGGTGTACGCAGTTCACCTATCAGCTCTCTACCACTTGCCAAACGCGAAATACTATCTTCGTCTTCAGAATCTCACGTCTGACAAGATTCAGTACATTCGCGTGGGGATTGCAGTCTACACTTCAGTCGAGATCGTGACCTTGGTGTGGCTTCACGTAGTACTGAAGCGGAAGTTCGGATTTTCGCTGATTTACCAACTAGCGTTCGTATTGGAGCGAGAAATGGAGCGGCTTCAAGGACACCTATTCTACTGGGTCCTGCTCATCTTGCAGCTAACACTGGTGCACTCCGGTACGTATAATACCACCGCCACCACCGAACGTTTGCACCATACTTATTATGTATTGACCAAACGGATTGTGCGCTTCCGAGCAGGCATGGATTTCACGTTTACCTTTGCATGGATGACCTGAACAAAGCAACATACATGTACTATTTGATACTTTTCTTCACACAACATGTAATTACACATTGAATGTCCTAGTTTTGCTACACTGTAATAACACGGCTGGACGCCCGCTTCGTATGACAGGTCGACATGTTGCAAATTGAAAAGCAAAGTATGCGGACATCGCCGAGATCGTTATCGTTAACACGCCATTCGGTGAGCCGAGCGCGTCAGGTTGAGCAACAGGCCCTGCCCACCCTCTCCAGCGTAAAATTCGAGATGGACTGATCAAGCTCGACTAGCCGTACGTTGGATTGTCCCGTTGGAAAATCCCGGCGTTGACTCAACCGCGAAAGGCGACGAGCTGACCGCCCAAAGCTGAAGCTGGAGCTGGAGCAGAAGCAGCTCGGCACGAATATCCATCTGGTCGACGCGCCAGAACCGAGTGGTGGTGATGCGATTGCACCGGCCTCGCAGCTAGCTTTCGCAGCCATGCGACGACACGTCGTCAACTTGCCGCCGACCCGGATTCTGAGAGTTGTTGGCCTGTACGTAGCGCGGTCGTGATGCGGTGACGCGCGCATTGCCGCTATCCACCACCATAGACGACGCTGGGGGTCAAGTACGACGCCTCGACGGACGCGCGGGCGCGGTGCTATGGTAACATGGTAAACTTTCCCCCCTGGTACCGGGGTCTACAATATTATAGAATGCAGAGCGACCTCGTTGACCGCCAGCGCCAGCTCTAGCATTGTAGGCGCCAAGTTGTTGAGACTTGCAGCCTCCGTCCAGTATTGGGGGCGTGCGTGAGTGTCCTCCTGAGCGAGGACCGAGCCAGGTGAGGTTGGCTCGCAACAAACTGCAACGCGATCGGACGACACGGTAGGGTTGTAGGGTCGGAACGTGGCGCGGCCATACTTTGTGCCAGTGAACACGGGTACCAGCGTTTTGGTACCCCTGCACCGACGACACCAGCTGGACTTCACTTGGGCATCGGCGTGGGAAGGAGCAGGAGGAAACTGCCGACGAACTTTGGAGCCACGTCACGTCACGCCCGCGAGCAGCGCGAGCGAGAGCGAGAGCAGCAAGCGCAATCGAAATCCAAATCCGCAGCCTCCAGCTGAGTGAGATAAGCGGCCAATAGAGCCATCAACACAGCAGCAGCAGCAGCATGGACCGCTTCCGCCTCGACGGCGTGGACCAGGACGGCGTGGACACGGTGGAGCCCATGCGGCCGAGCTCCTTCGACATGACCTTCTCTCTGGGCAGCTACCCGAAGGCGCAGGGCCTGAGTCGGGACGGCGACCCGCAGCAGAGCAACCAGGACGACAACAACCTGGACCTTGAAGACCGGAGGACGGGCCGCGGCGAGAAGGGCCGCCTGCACGTGGACGAGCTCATGGACAGCACGCGCTCCATGAAGCTGGACGGCAGCGGCCTGGGCTCCTCGTCGTCTGGTCTCAAGAGACACACTGCCTCTGCGGGCTCGCCCGCGTCCTCGCATGCCAACAAGGACGTGGCCAACATCGCCTTCCGTCTGGAGGAGAAGGCCCACGAAGCCATTGACTTCACCAATCTATGCGGTAGAGTGACGTGGAAACTGGCCAAGAAGACGCAGGACGTGCATGTGTACAGACCCGCGAGCCTCCCTGCTGAGGAGGACGCGTCCGCCAAGCTCTACTTCCGCGTGTCGTGCGAGGTCAAAGCGCATCTCGGGACGATCATGGAGTATTTGTCGCCCAGCAACTCGAGGAGCTACTTTGATATTGAGTCGCAGGTGTTTCCTGGGTTGCTGCATGCTGCAGTCATTAAGCGGATGGAGTTGCCCGAACGCGCGCCGTCGACAATGTCGAACTCCGGACAGACGCTGTTGTTCCCGTCTGGCGCCTCCGCGACGACGACGGCTAGCGGCAGTCACGAGGACACGTCGAGTGTGGATGAAGACTCGAGTGACTCGTTTCCGCAACTGCAAGTCAAGTGGCACGCGAGCAGATTCGCTGGGCGGTTCGTGAAGCCAATTGACTTTTTCTTTGTTGAGTACGCCAACATTGAAGCCATGGCCGATGGACGGAAACGAGGATATGGCTACATTCGGTCAGTAGAGTCGTTTAAAGGCGACGAGCTCGCTATTCGACTCGCCGGTGAAGATGTTGCGATCCCTCCCAGTGTGGCGAAGTGCAAGCGCGCTGTGATCAACAAGGGTGTTTACGTAGTTTCGCCCTCGAATGACGCGTCAGGCACGTACGAAGTGAGCTGCATGATGGTCATTGACTTCCAGAAGCAATTCGCCAGCGCCGTGGGGGCGAAGATCATACACAACTTCACGGAGCGACTCATTGGCATCCGCGAGCTACTATTCAACACGCTATTCCGACCCATTGTGGTGCTTCCAAAGAACGAGTGGAAAGCAGCACGTGGCAACAAGTGCGCGATTTGTATTTGCTCCTTCTCGATCGTCAAGTCCAAGCACCACTGTCGGGCCTGTGGCGAGGCAGTTTGCGGGCAGTGCAGTCGTAAATGGACTCTACAACCTGGTGCCCAACCCGACACCCAGGCGCGGCTATGCACGAGCTGCTCGCTACAGGCAAGGAGCTACCTCATGCCCAATGGAGAACCAGGCCGATCGCCTGCTGGTGCTGCTTCTTCACGCTTCTCATCCGTGATTAACGACTTCACTACGAGCCAGCTTGCTGCTAGTCGCTCTGCACACGTACCCAGGATGGCGAATGTGTACAAGTGCGATGTGCAAGTTGCCAGTACGGTGTCGAACGATTCGGACACTTTTGCTGCCGCTACGTCCGCGTTTAGAAAACTTGTGAGCGCGTTGGGTGATCAAACTCCTCACTTTATGCTGGTGTCATACTCTCATCACCATGGTGGTGCAGCGGTGTATGAGGCGCTAGCACATGCCGCTCCTGATACGCTTTTCATGGGCGGCACATCAAGCGGTGGCGTGTATGTTGGTGCTTCCTCGCCAGCGTTGGGCATGAGCATGAGCAAGAGCAGTAGCAACAACTCCCGGCACCGACAACACAGCAACACAGCAACTCACGGACCAACCGTGGGGCTGTGGGGTATCTACGACCCGGAAGGGTCCTACGCAATCCTGAATGCCGACTTGGACCGTGAAACCCCTAGAGATGCTGCTCGGAGATGCCTGTTGGATGGTATGGGAATGCTGGCGATTGAGCCTGAGGAGAGCCCCGACTTCGTGTGGACTGTGATGGGAGGCGGGGTTGAAACGTATGATGTTGACGAGGATCGGGACGGAGAGGAAGAGCAAATTACTCGGGCGGTCAATGAGATCGTCGACTGCTCCTACTCGGTCGTCGGTGGCAGCTCGTCTCGGAATTTCAAGAAAAGTCGTGAACGCGCAACGCAGTTGTGCTCGGAGGGCGGCAACGTGGGCTGCGTGACGAAGCACGGTGTGTGTTTTGCTATCTGCTGTCCAAGTGTGGAGGTTGCGCACGCGTTGTTCACGTGCTACGATGCAACGGACAAGAGCTTCGTCGTCACGAAGGCAAGTGGCCGCGACCTGTTTGCTCTGGACCACAAGCCTGCATTGGAGGCCATCAACGAGGCGACTCATGGCATGTTGACCGAGATGACGCAGCGACCAGACAAATTCAACCTCGAGTCAAACTTGCTGCCTGCGTACTACCCAGTTGCGCGTGAGCGGCGCGGTGCAGTACCTCGAGGTATCAAGCGGAACTGCTCACGGTATCAGATGCTGCAGCCGGAGACATCGGCGCGGGACCTCTCGCTTCACTTGGGTGCCGAGGTGCGTCTAGGTGAACGTCTGCACATGATGGCGCTTTCGCCACGGGGCGTGGCTCCCAAGGCACGGCGCGGACTGCGGGACGCCGTTCGGATATCCATCCCAACCATGGATCTCCAGGATGTCATCGGGTGCTTCCTCAGCGTTGGCATGAGCTACGACCGCATTCTACAGGGTGACTTGAATGCAGTCGCTGATGCCACAGGAAGCGCTTTCCCTCAAGGAGCCTCGCTGCTGTCTGTCTCGCATGGACAACAGGGTGTCATGACCGGCGCGAACGAAGTCATTCACGCGAACAGCATGCTGACGGCTTTGATCATCACGAACCGCAAGAAGTCGCAGAAGCTCAACCCGCTCCGGCCGCTGAATGTTCGGAGAACAACCACCACCTAAGGGGGGGGGGGGCTTTCCTTTTGACGAACGAAGCAAAAGGCATTTTCACATCGTGCTAAGCACTTCGGTGCAATTTATTAACCTAGAGAGTGTTGTATCGACTGGTATTTCTTCTTGCTACAGCGCGTTGCAAGAGGCAACTTACTTAAGTACGTTCCCCAGGATGAAACACGTTATAATACACCAGAACTTCGTAAAATACGCTACAAAAAAGTCGGGACTTTATTTTTAGTGCGGCTCTAAATTCTAGAATTATCAGACATTTACCAGGTTCAAAATGTTTATCTGTATTTGTATCGAACAGCTGGTAAGTACCGGTATTTAGATTTGCGGGCTATTATTCGGGTGAACTTTCGTATTTTATGTGTCACTGATGTTAATACGAAATTGCGGCACTCCGGCTAAATACGTCTGCTTCCGTATTATGTGTACCGTTGGTGTGGCGTAAAACCCCGGAAAAATACCCTTGGCAAGCGTCGCCAGCAAATAGAGGAAGGCGACAGACAGGAAGCGGCTCGGGGAGGTGAGTTCGCGTTGAGGGGAGGCGAGTGACGGCTACCGATCTGGCTGCGCGGTGCACTGCCTATTTTACTGCAGCCGTCAGGGGCCCCCAAGATCTCTCATTGTCTGACTGTATTTTTTTCTCCGGCATTCCTCAGATATCGCGAGCCAATGGACAGCGACGACGACCAGATCCCCATCGCCATGCTGCGCAAGAAGAGCAAGCCTCCGACGCCCAAGGCCGCGTCGCCCTCGTCCAGACGCAATGCCGCGCGCGTGGTGAAGAAGGAGAAGCCGCGCGTGATCGACTCGGACTCGGACTCGGACAGCACGCCGCTGGTGCAGCTCAAGAAGAGGGCGTCGGCCGCCAAGAAGGCGTCGTCCAGCACCAGTAGCAGCAGTAAAAAGGCCAGCACAGACAAGAAGAAGGCTTCAGTGAAGAGGGAGACGGGCGTCAAGCGCAAGGCGTCAGCGGCCTCCGCGTCCTCCTCCGCCGCCTCCAAGAGCAGGAAGACCAAGGCCGGCTCGTCCGCGAGCGACAGCAAGGCCAGAGTCAAGAAGGAGAAGGGCGCCAATGTGCGCAAGCTCAAGGTGCACTCCAAGGCCGAGCGCCTGGACATGGCCATCAAGGCCTATCGCTGGTGGAACGCCGAGGAGCTGCCCGAGGGCATCCAGTGGCGCACGCTAGAGCACAACGGCGTCATGTTCCCGCCCCCGTACAAGCCCCACAACGTGCCTCTGGTGTACAATGGCAAGGACATCGAGCTCACCCCCAGCCAGGAAGAGATTGCGAGCTTCTACGCCGCGATCCCCAAGGACGGCCCCCAGCTGGGGAACCCCAAGACAGCCAAGATCTTCAACAAGAACTTCTTCACGGACTTCAAGAAGGTGCTGGGCAAGCAGCATGAGGTGAAGAACTTTGAGAGCTGCGATTTTTCCAAGATTGCGACATATTTGGAGAAGCTGAGGGAGGAGAAGAAGAGCATGACGAAGGAGGAGAAGCAGCCGGAGAAAGAGAAGCGTGAGATGGAAGTGTTCACTAATGGCTTCGCGTTCGTCGATGGCCATCTAGAGAAGGTGGGCAACTTCCGTATCGAGCCGCCTGGACTGTTCCGTGGACGTGGCGAACACCCGAAGACTGGTACGCTGAAGGAGCGTGTGATGCCCGAGGATGTGACGGTCAATGTGGGTATCTCGGACCGTGTGCCAATTTGCAACGTGCCTGGCCACGCGTGGAAGCAAGTGATTCACCGCGACACAGTGTCCTGGCTAGCATACTGGAACGAAAATGTGATGGGCGGCATCAAGTATGTATTCTTTGCGGCTAGCTCGAGCTTCAAGGGCAAGTCGGATTTAGCCAAATACGAGAAGGCCCGGCGACTGAAGAACTGCATTGATAAAATTCGCCGGGACTACACAAAAGGCCTGCGCGCCAAGGATATGTTCACAAAGCAGCGCTCGACTGCGATGTGGGTCATTGATGTGTTGGCACTGCGTGTGGGCAACGAGAAGGGAGAGGACGAGGCTGACACAGTGGGTTGCTGCAGTCTGCGTGTGGAGCACATGTCCTTCAACGACGAGAACTGTGCTCTGACACTGTCGTTCCTCGGTAAAGACTCGATGCCCTACAACAACACCGTCGAGCTGGCCCAATACGGCGATGTCGGCAAACTGGTGTACCAGAATCTGCAGAAGTTCTGCGCCAAGAAGGACAAGAACGAGAAGGTTTTCCACGAGCTGTCCGTCACGGAGCTGAACAAGCATTTGAGTTCGCTGATGCCTGGACTCAGTGCGAAGGTGTTCCGTACGTTCAACGCGTCGTTCACTTTGGAGAAGGAGTTGCCCGGACCGTCAGGAAACGAGTTGGACCCTCAGGGCAAGATGGAAGTCGCGCCGAAGGTCGTGCTGTACAATGATGCCAACCGTAAGGTTGCCATTCTGTGTAATCACCAGCGTACAGCGCCGAAGTCCTTCGATACAACGCTTGACAAGATGAACGCTCAGCTGGATCAACTGAAGGACCAACTGAAGGATCTGAAGCAAATGCAGACGCTGATTGCGAAGGGCAAGTCTAGCAGCATCAAGCTGAAGAAGGAGAAGAAGGAGAAGCCGTCCGGCGACAAGGATGAAGACGCTCTGGCAAAGAAAGCCCAGGCTCACTTGTTCCAGCGAACGCCTTCGGTAGACCAGGTAGCGAAGAAGATTGAGAACTGGAAGAAGAAGATCAAGGCGTTGTCCCTGCGGCTTCAAGACAAAACGGACAACAAGGAGGTCGCGCTCGGCACGTCCAAGCTCAACTACATGGACCCACGCATCACCGTCGCATGGTGCAAAAGAGTAAGTTCTGCTCTTGTTTGCCGACAGCATAAGTTTTGGGCATGTTGCTTACATTTTCTTCCCCTCGTGCTTCCATGTTACAGAACGAAGTGCCGATTTCAGCAGTGTTCTCTAAGACGCTGCGAGAGAAATTCGTGTGGGCTATGGACGTGGACCCCGACTGGGAGTTCTGACCTAGCTAGCTAGACAAACAAGGCTGACATCTAATCCAGGTGGTGGCAAGTACGTGCCCAGAGAATGCTACACATTGCTCGATAAACCATAAAGAAAAATGCACTGCCGTCATTTCCACCCACGCAATTGGTACGTTTAAGTACAGTAGGAATTCGCCCTGTGCTCCTGTCCTCGTTGTAGTAATTGATCATATGGCGAAGCTCCATTTGATGTCGATGCCTCCCTAGGGCTGCTGCATCTCCACGTCTGCGTCCTTGTGACTCTGCTCCCATTCCTCGTAGCATTTCTTGAGCTTCTCCATCAGCTCCGTGTGCCCTCGTCGCTCAGCAAAGTTCCACGCCTTGTTGCCAGTGTGGTCCTCAAGGCACGGGTTCGCGCCTAGGCTTAGCAATTTGCTAGCAGCGTCATCGCGGCCGTGGTGTGCTGCAGCCATCAGGGCCGACGAGCGATCGGACTCGATGCGCTGGAAGTTAACGTCCATTCCGTTCTGAATTAGACTGAAAACCGAGTGGAAGTCCTCATGACGGAAGGCGTGGTAGATGGCTGCGTCCATCACCGATCCTAGCACTTGTACGTTGCGGTCCTTCACTGAGAGTGACTTGCCACCGACACCATTTCCTACCGCCTTCTTGCCATTGCCATTGCCTCCAGACGACGGTGCTGGGCTCACGCTGATGGGCTCGCACCGATCCTTCTGCCCACACTTGGCACAGAACTCACAGTGCGTGCAGCGCTTCGAGACCATGCGCTTGCACTTCCGGCAGGGCGAACGCGCCCCGTACTGCATATCGTGGCCGTTTCCTCTGATTTTCTGCTCCAACGACGCACTCAGCGCAGCCTGGTTCACATTGGTGATCACACCTTCGTCGGCAAGCAGGATCTCCTCGTCGTCGTCTTCCACATATTCCTCTAGATCGTCCTGGTCTTGCTTATTGGGTCCTCCGTCTTTTTGCAGAAATGACTTCGGCTGGTACTGAAGCACGGACGCAGGTGCCCTTCGGTGGGTAGTTGTGGTCGTGCTGGACGAACTCGTCGTGGACGTGGCTCCTGATGAAGATCCTGAACTCGTTGGCTTACGAGACGACGTCGTACTGCTGCTGGTCGACGTTGTGGCAGTCGTGGCCGAAGAGAGGAACGAGTTTTGCGACGAGCTGTCACTCGAGGACTTGCCGTTGCGAGAGCTACTGCCATTCGCAAAGCTGCTAGCGTCTCGGCGGGACTCGCTACGTCCGTCTTTCACAGTTGAGGGCACGCCACAGGAGCTCTCGAAGTGGCGGCGGTAAATATTCAGACGACTCCACTCCGCCGCGTAGTCTGAAACACAAACAAGCATAAGCAGCGATGTCAATACCGTTGGTAGGTTAGCATGACAGAATATATGCATTTGTATACCTGGTCCGGCATTATCCAGCAGCTCGATGACCTTGGCAAAGGTGGCTGTCAGGTACGAGTTCTGCTTCCTCTGCGCGTCCGTCTGCACGTTCACGTCAAGAATCTGATGCAATCGCAAACAACCACAAGAAGTCAATTCCCATCGCCACAACTGCAGCAATTAATATGGCCTTGCTCACCCGCAGCAACGCCCGCACTTGGGAGAACATCTCGGACCTCTTCTTCTCCTTGGACAGCCCCGCCTCCCGCCTAGTGGCGCCGTCCACCAGCCACGCATTCAGCACCTTCAGTCCGCCCTCGGCGAAGAGCCTGCAATCAATGCACAGAGTAAACTATGAGTGTATCCATCTATAGAGGGAGGGTGCAATACCCCACTCAACGGGTGGGCACTAGTGGTGAGTCTCTCTTACACTTGGGCGTCGGCGTCGCTGAGCTGCGTGATGAGCAGCGCCAGGATCGCGCGGTGCGACAGCGTGTGGATGGACGGCATGAGCTTGCACAGCACCTGCGTGCGCTCCGAGCCCACGACCTCGCCCTCCTCGTTCATGATGAAGCCCAGCACGCTCACCACGCTCATGGCGGCGGCGTCCTCCCAGATGCGCGTGCGCATGGCGTCAATCTATCTGGCAAGCTTGGCGCGTTGATTGAGCTAGGCCAAAATTCCGACTGAAGCGGCCAATCAGAGCCCGCTGCAGAGAGCGATTTGCGAGCCAAGATGGACACGACGGCGCTGCGCAGCTTCGCCTTCAAGAAGCTGCAGGAGGCGAGAGAGCGCGGCTCGGAGCTGGCGGCCGTGACGGCTGCGCGCGCGGCCTCGTCCATCTCCAGCTCCGTGCCCGTGTCGTCGCCCTTCGTCTTCCGCGCGCAGAGCTCGGCGGCGCAGCAGGAGCCGCAGCTGCCCCTGCCGCTGAACAAGAAGCTGGAGACGCTCAGTGCGTGGAGTTAGATGGGGAGGCTGCAAGGGTAGATGGTTGTGTGCTGACACTTGTGCTGTTGCTATTGCTGCTACGTACTGGCAGAGACGGCCAATGACTCGCTGCGGGGCGCGCTGACCGGCAGCGAGTCCGAGGCGCTGGACGAGAGCATCTACAAGCTGGACCTCATCAACGAGTCGCTGGCGTTCACGATCGAGAACATCCAGGAGGGCTCCCACGTGATGAAGCTGCTGAACCGGCAGCTCAAGGACAGCGCGGCCATGCAGAATCCCGCGCATAAAACCTTTTATCAGCGCGCCGAGCAGAGCGCGTAGAGAGGTTCGTAACTTTTGAGTGAAATATATGGTGATTCCTTACGACGAATGACTTGTCGTCGTTGTCAACCGCAAATAAAAACCACTGATGCCCGCACCGTGTTTCGTGTTTTGATGCAGTGAGAGTGGCTATCGCACTAAGACGGCCAGGCCGAAAGTGGCGTCTTAAACGAGCCACAGCCGGGTTTCGTTCAGAGCCGTACGAGCAGCCTCGCCCACGTTGCGAGCTCCTATTGTTCTCCATCCTTGTTATTGTCGATTATCAGCGAGCGCTCTATCCGGTCGCTTCCTTCGCAGAGTGTTGCACGCGATGAATTTCGCGGCACGTAGAGATGGCGAGCAGCGTCGGGCCATACGATGATGCCCTTATAGTCGTGGCGGTGGAATAAGATACACTCGGGAGGTACCATGCGTACATGATCGCCCACGCGTTGTGTGTCCACGCAGAGCGCACCGACAGTCAAGAAGTCATGGCAATCTCCTTGCTCCGCTTCCACTGGCGTCGACATATGAGTGTAGATGTGTTCTCTGAAATTTATTTCAGAGTCTACCGGTGATATCACGATTTTGATATATTAGAGTACAGCATCAACCTCTTTGCTTGAATGCTTCATCAGGTGACGGGTCACCCATTTCTCAAACTTCATAATATTGTGAAAACCGCTTCTCGTAGATCGATAGATTTGAGCACTGATTTAGCTCTATCGATTTACAAATCCATCGAGCTAAATCAGGGTTCAAATCTATCGATCTACGAGCAAATGGTCAAATGAAGCGGTTTTCACAATAGGCTAGTGAGATTTATTAAGGGGTTGCTATAGATGGGCGTTTTAGCCGGTTCTCACAATAAAGGGTTTTTGTTAAAAAAACACAGCCTTCGTAATTTAAAATTACTGATTGTCCAGAAATTTTATAGATAAGACCACAAGTCGACAGTTATTGATGCAGAGCAGTTTGTAAAACGCGTTATATCGTATACCTCTTGCCGTTATGAATCACCCGCGTGAATGTTGACCCTGTCGGCGACGCGTCCATTTTCGCGCAACCCGCTGAATCCGCTGGAACCAGCTCACAAAAATGTGCCAGCTCGTCCTTAAGCACCAGCATGTACTTAGTCGATCCGTGCGTGTCTCCCAGGAACAGGTAGTCCATGTGAAGACGCTCGTTGCGCATCGTGACTTCTCCGTCCGTAGCTCACTTGCGCTGGATGATCTTACCGCCTTTCACATGCTTACACAGGAGACACTCACGCGCGAACTTGGCCACCGTCGCAGCCAGCTTCTTGATGGAGAAGCGCGCACTCAACTGCTCCGCCATCACGTGCTCACCTCGGTCGCCTTGAGCACCACAGTGGGCATCAATAAAAGTCGAATCAACAGTGAGTGTGCTGCCGGGGGAATCCAGATTTTTTCATGAATAGTGGCAAGACCCTTCGGCAACACTTGCAGCAAGGGGCATGCATGACCTTCTTGCAGCGCGCTTGAACAGCCTTGACTTCAGCAATGGTAGGCCAGCTGAACGAAGCGTCTTGCAGCGGCCTGAGCCGTGAGACTGCACGCTCGCTGCGCGACATCACGTGGTGGGATATTTATCCCAAGGGTACCACAACGAAGCGCACATTTATCAGGAGGGGCACAAACAGTTTGATTAACGTATAATACTAATTAGTATGCGGCATACTATTCTTGTAGAGTTCCCTCTGGAGCCGAGTAGGGCACTCTATTTGATGGCATGCTATTTGTTAGGGCATTCTATTTGATAATGGCTACATCAATACAATCTCCCAAGACGATTATACCATCAATGCCAGCAAGATGTATTTTGTGGTGTATCTGCCACCACTATCAAAGCGCCTACTCTTGGATGCATGAAGGAAACAGCTCGGCTGACCAGCTCGTCCTCCGTGAGCGTCGTGAGATTGGTGCGGCGGCGAAGGCTGAGTCCGTTTCGCTGCATGAACGCAGTAATCCATGGATCAGAAGCGGCAAATCGGATCGGGTGCTCTTCGTGTTCCTCCTCCGTTCTGCTGGAGCGAAAAAGCTGGCGCGCTTGAGCGGCGATCCAGTCGCGCGTAACGTTCTCCTTCAGGAGGCGACGGTTGTAGATGAGATCCACAAGCACGTCCTCGGCTTCACCCAGCACCGGTCGACGACCCCCACCATCCAGACGACGACGATTGCCTTGGCCAGCCAGGATTTGGTCACGGTTGTGCCACCACTGGCGAAACCCGCCGGCCGAAATGCGCCAATCCGACGCACGAAAATGGGCTTCCGCTCTCGACGGGACGCCGCCACCCTCGCTCGCAATCCATTCGATGGCTTGCCTCTTGATGCTTAGCTCCACGCTCTTCCGTCTTGCTGGCATGTTGACGAATGAGCTGGTAAAGCGTGGTGCTGATGGAGGAGCGAAGCTTGGGTGGATGGGAATTGTCTACCACTTCTCAGGTGAGCGCAGGATAGCGTGCGGAAGTCGATACCGACGGCAGTCTATTCGGAACGGCACTCTAATATATGGCGCTCTATTTGATGGTACTCTATTGTAATAGTATGCTCTCACCATAGGGTACATTATTCCCAGGGTACTATAATACCTTAGGGCATACTATTCGGTACTATACGTTAGTTAAAATATAGTTAGACGGCTTCAAGCTGGGAAAGGAGCGCTTGCAGGAGCTTCTCGAGGCCATTCAAGAACTTGCTGCTGCACGGCCAGCCAGTGCGGCCGCACCGACACGTTCAAGATCTAGTAGCGCGGCACCATGGATCCCTCGAAGCCCTCGAACAGCATGAACATGCCGCACATGCCCGCGCCCAGCACGATGCCGATGGTGTAGTGCGACACCGCGGTGCATCATGGACTCGGCCTCCACGAGCGACAGGAACAAGTTCAGCAAGAAGTACTCGAACGCGTGTGCCCCGCCAGCAGCACCACCAGCACCGTCGACATGGCCCCGATGAGGAAGATGCCCAGCCGCTTGACCAGGAAGATGGCGCACACGTAGCTCACGATGCCCAGCGAGCTGTTGGCGCGCTCGCGGGCGAACACGGCACGCTACTCGATGAAGAATGGCAGCACGGCCACCTCGAGACACCGAGGCCATGGAGCAGGAGCAGCTAGAGGAGGAAGAGGAGCTCATGCAGGAGGCGCTGGCCCTGCTGGCCGACTGCCAGGACGACGACTACGAAGCCGACATCTCGCGGCTGCTGCTGCCGTCCGACGACGAGCAGCACAGCCCGTGTCCGCCAACCGCAGCGAGCCCATCCCGTCGACTACCGAGACGCAGCCCGTGCCGCTGCCGTTGCCCCTGGGCGCGAACCCAACCGTGGGCGCCAGCTTCAGCGAGGAGATCCCCTCCGTGACGCCCGCGCTGGCCGCCAGCAGCCCCGTGAAGAAGACGCCCACGTCCGCGGCCAAGCAGCAGCGCAATAAGATGGCGCCGGCCACCGCGCATCTACCTCTACTACATCTGTCATCTTCTACCACAGTTAGAGACATGGTGCGGTAGCTAGTATAAATCCATTAACTCGTGGTCAATTCGCTCATACAGCTTCAACATGAGAGAGGTGTTATGCGTCCATACTGCCAGATCTCTACTCACGTTGCCCATTTACAGATTCTCCCGCAAACCGCTCAGACGTGCATCGGTAGCACCAAGCTAGTAATGGTGTGTGGTGTGGTAACAATGTCCGGTGCCGTGAAGACTTGGGAGAAGCATGGAGTTGAGCGTGAGCTGGGGATGATGTTGGGAATACTGAACGCTGTGGTAAGTACATAGTAGACGTAATACTCGATCTTGCAGCCTAACGTACGTTGGTGTTGTGAAAGTGCTTCAAGCCGTTTCATTTACCTTGTGGCGAGCGATCAAAGGTACATCGTCGTTCCAGTTCACACTGATGCATGCAACTTACGAAACTCCGTCATGTTAAACGTTCCTTACAGAATATCAATGAAGATGTCTTTATTTTATTTTGCTTGTGATCGAGTGATATGCATTGATGTGTGATGCACTTACAGGTGCATCTCTCGCTCATATTCTGCCCGCTTTCCTAACAGCGAGAATGGACAGTCGCCGACCACATAGTCACCGGGTACAATGCCCACCCCGGCTTCTTCTACATCTCCAAGTGGTGCGGTGCAGCTTCGAACATTATGACCAGGTTGACTGCAGCGGCTGCAGTCATAATCTCCCTTCTTCTTCTTGAGGGGGCCTCTCACCTGGCCTTCAAAAAAGGCTGCGATTTGTTTGGTCTCATCTTCCTCTTCAGTTGCTGTAGGTGCTGTGAACCCTTGACGGACCAAGCCACCGGACGTCTTGCTGTACTCACCTCTATTTTTCGTTCCATTTTTGCCCCTGGTGATATCTGCTGCTCCTTTAGGTTGCATTAATGCACGTCCAGCTTACCGATACAGCGGGGGTGGCAACACTTTGAGCATGGCGCTCGAGGATATCGCAAGCGAATGCATATCGACTGAAAAGCTGCGTGCATCTTTGGAATCGAGTACGCATCGTGAAAAAATACCTTTACGTCGTATCTGGGCAGGCTACTATCAATTTGCTGCGAGCGCCAATATGTGACAGCTTGGATGTGCCGACATGGAAGCTTCATCTGCTCAGCTACCGTGCACCTAGTGCAGGATCCTAACTCCATGTTGACTTCGTAGAGGTGAGCAGTGTCCTCTTTACTTGGAGAGTCAAAAGCGTCGAACACATAGAAAAGAGGAGAGTCGCCCTGAACCACAGTCTGCTGAGCCACACGAAGCTTTTCTTCATTAAAAAGCTTGAGGCGGACTGCGATGTGACGCTTCATGCCATGATGCGTCACATCGCAGTCCGCCTCAACCCAACCCTGCAGTAGCACCTTACGCTTTTGGACGACCTCAATAGCCCGAGCGCAGTACGTCATCATGGAGCCAAGTACAAGTTTATTTCGCACACCTTTCCAGAGCAACCCATTGTTTTCCCCCTCAGCCGCACTAGTTGTTCGAACACCAAACAACGTCAAAGGATCGCCATGACTAGAGAAGGGATCCCACGAATCTGCCAGCCATTTCTTTTCCTCCGCTGTTGGCTGCATGTAGCCGACAACGCACCAATCCGTAGGATGGATACTACGTAGATAACGGAAGACTTGCTCTTCCACGAGCTGGTCAGCAACAATCTTGCTGATACCAGTAGGATACCGGCCTTCGATACTGGAGGCGACGTGATCAAATCCGGCAGTAGTTGAAGCGTCTTGCAATGCTAAGATGTCGTTTTTCACGCTCTGCATATTGAGTTTCAGACTTTTGAACGTGTCCATCACATTAAAACGGATGTGCACACTGCAGAACTTCAAATGTACCTTCAGTCCTACTTTCGCCAACACCACTTGTGCACCCAACTGCTTACCTCGATCACAAAATGTCGGTCGGTCTTGTAGATTCAACCCCGCAACAATGCAGTTCGCAAGAAACCACGCAAAATTCCCAACAGTCTCCTTGTGCACATAAGCAACGGCAACTGGAACATTCTGTTTGTTCCCGTCTTTTCCAATAAGGCTCAAACAGATTCCATTGTACATTGGACCTTTCATGTGAGTTCCATCGCACTCCCAGACCGGTAATAAAGCATCTTGGATACTCACCACACTACCGATCGATAAAAAGGCTCTAAAAAACCTTCCCTTGTCATCCAATTGGCAGCACACATGAGAACCAGCATTGGCTTTGGCAAATTCCTGCAGGAAACCTGGGATACGAGCATATTCCTCGATAGGGTTCACTTTTTTCTTCGCCTTAGCGCGCTGAATAGTTTTGTAAACCATGGCTGGCTGATTTTGTATGTCGACGCCATGAATTGTACTCATGTTGTTGACGACACGCGGTAATGAGGTACTGTGGCCCTTTACAATAGCCGCACGGAAACCAGGCTGTTCCTCTAGAAATTCACTCGTTATCCGCGCGGAACTGCTACAAAACTGGGCATGACCATCGGCAATTTTCGAGATATACCAGGCTCCATCAGGAACATGTGAAAACTTAGACTTAGGCTTCTTACGCTTTGTTTTGCTCGTCCCCGCACTTATTTTTGATTCACGCTTGCGGTTCAGTGCAATGAGCCAGGAACACCCGCCTTCATGGCCAGAGGACCGCCACTTCGTATGAAGCGAGCCGCCCTTCTCGCGCTTGACAACCTTGTTCATGTTGAAAGCATATCGCCTGATAAATGAGCCTGCTTCTTCCAAATTCGTGAAGAATGTTCCAACTGCAGGCTCTTCAGAACGGCATGCCAAGTCGACCTTGCTGAGGGCTACCTGTGGTGCTTGCATGACGAGTTGGTAGCTAAGCGGTAAGATGGTGATTCGTTTGCCTTAGACCTAAGTATACTTTCTACTTATATTTTGAACCAATCAAACTGTTTGTGCCCCCTCTTGATAAATGTGCGCTTCGTTGTGGTACCCTTGGGATAAATATCCCACCACGTGGTGTACTCTTGCGATGCTGCCCGTTGCTGGCTCTGCTGGAGGCTGCCCCCAGCGCGAAACAGTATCGGTCCACAGGTTGTGTTCACCGGGGATGTGCTCGATAGTGCAGCGACACCCAGTGATCCGCAGAGCCCAACGCTGGAGCTTGCGCTTCACATGCTGCTGGACTTTCCGTCCCGGCGCAAAAATCTGAATGAGATTAGAGTGATCACAGTAAATGTGAAAACCCTTCCTAGGCATGTGATGCTGCTCCTCGATCGGAGTATCGGTCGACCACTCCCCACTTGGATGAGGACCCCGGCCCATCCGTGGCCCATCCATGTAAAGCCACTTGAGCACCACACGAAAAGCAGACTCGTCGTCCTTGGTCCACGTGAGGTCCACTCCAGCAAGCCACGACTTACGGCGTCCATGTGCAGCCATGACCTCTTCCAACTTGTGCTGCAATGGCGCCACCGTGCGCGCGTAGTCCACCATAGATTCCCGGAGCCAGTTAATCGCGCACAGAAAATGCTGCAAAGCAGCAGCCGTCGGTGGTAGAGGCATGTTCCGGAGTGCCGAGAGGCTCCACATCCGCAGGGGTGTCATTCCCGAAATGGAGACGGAAGACATCGGGGAATTCGTGGACCAGGTCTCGCAGGCCGCCCACGTGCTCCTCAGCGAAACCGTTCGCGACTGCCTGCTCCACCAGATTGTCCATTGCAGCTGCGACATCTCCATCCTCCGCTTCAAATCGCAGTTCCTCTTCCGGGGGAAGGTCATCCTCGTCCGCAGCACCCATCTCACCCGTCCTTTCGGCACTCGCCAGCTGCTCCAAGAGATGGTCGATGTCGATACCAATAGCGTGACGCGGCCCAGGAGAAACTCGTCCTCGGGTCCTTCCAACACAATCACCGGAACACGAGGAAGATGTAACGTAAACTATTCCTTTGAAAAATACCCTCTTTGCCATACACATTTTCGGAGATATCCACTTCTAGATATCTGACATTGAAGTGATGTCAAAGTCTCCCCGAGAATGTGATCTTTTTTTTAGTTGCCCCATACCTGGTAGAAAACGCAGCGTTTATTCGTCATTTTGGTACTTTATTTCAAGGGTGGTCAAACAACTGGCAGGTCCTTGTCCCCCCCCCCCCCCCAGTAAACCCCCCCAGTAAAAGTTTGTTCACTTCAAAGTCAAGGGGGTTGTGAAAATGCCAGTTCGTCGCTCATGAAGGAGATAACGACGTCACTGTGGATTCCAATCAATGTCGCAGTGTACACTTTGTTTGAAGCGGAAACCTTGATCTTGGTTGTCGCAGAGCAATTCATGCGAAAAGAACATGTGTACCACACCGTGTCTCTGTTGTTGTTGTGGCGTTTTACCGGATGTTTGCGAGCCCATCAATTGCGACAAGGCTTGTTCTCGAGTCTTTAACGAGCCAAGAAAATGAAATCCCTCTTCATCGATGTCGTTAATGTGGTCACAAGCAGTGTAGATGTCGTCTGCTTCATCATTGCCATCGTTATACCCTTCAGACGCGGATCTAACACTAGAGTAACTACCATCACATTCAATGCTGCTAGAATTGAATATTCCGTATTCTTGCAGTAATGGCTTATCCAACTCGACTTCGTTCTCATCATCATCAACATCGAAGTCGGAAGGAGCCAATCGCGTCTGGACTCGTATCCTCACGGCGTACTGCGCGATTGAAGGGCGACAAGTGAACGGCGGTAAGTGCATGCGGAGCAACTTGAAGGACAACTCGCTCCACAAACAAAGTTATGACGAGGCATCTTAATTTGGCATTATAGAGCGTAACGAGAAAAAGAAAGAAGTCGCTAATATTTCATTTGCTCGCAGTAACACGATTAGACCAATAAGAGGACCGTAATGTGGTATGGTGTCAAGGGGACAATAACATGGCTTTGGATTGGGTTTACATTGATGGAGCTGATCATTAATCCCCGACTTGTTCAAACTTAAACTCTAAAGACCGGTATCATGATATGCTATTTAGATTGGCCTACACGACATCCATACTTGTTGATGCACCCATGCATATATGTACACTTGGCGAGACACCTATATTTCTTAAAAAGCAACCCAAATATGTCTTGACAATTGCCTCACTGTGCAGTGAGCCACGCCTGGCACCGATTTGTACAACATGATTATTATGCTTTCGCATGGCTGCAGACCCATACTTACCGTTATTATCGAAGACATGAAGGTGTCTCTACAGGTATGTATGGATAGCAAGACGATGTTCTCCTGGAAATCTCCTCGGGGCAAAATAATCATCTTATAATTGTAGATAAATTCCTGAACAAGTTCAAGCTTAGATGAATTTTAGAACAAGTTCAAGCTTGGACACGTTGTTCTCTATTACAGCAATTTTGTCGATCAGGGCATTGAAAATGAGAACTGGGGCATGGGAGTCCAAAGCCGTTTAACGCGTCTGGAATTCAATTCCTTGTGTGAATGAAGACCCTTGTGGAGAGCCGATATGGGTCAGGTGGATTCCGTGAACGATTATTTTTGTCACCTTAGGCCGACAAACAGCATCTTGCTTGCGTGCATACGACATCGTCGTTCATACAAAAGGGGTAGATGTCGTGTCGCTCTCTTCGGTGTATCCTACAAACTACGATGACCACCAAGTGCACTACAATCTTTAGTTCGGCGAGTCTAAAACGTGTCGGGACGCAGAGATGGATTGCTCCCACTGAGTCAATATTTTCTGTGGTAAGGAGAGATACCCCTTCAGGACACTATTTTGGCCCGAGAAAAAAAATCAATTATGCAAATGTGGATAGTGCGGTACATGCCTTTGTCAGCATCAAACGGCATACTGTGAAATACGTACATATTTAGCGGATAAAGGATAGCGAGGAAAACGGATGCTGTCGGTTCAAACGACGGAGATCGTGACAAACAACTATGAGTGGTAATACCGTACACGCGGCGTTGCGGGGGGGGGGTAGTATCTCGTCACTCTTCGATCACGTCCTACACTAAGGCTCTAATCTTAGTAGTTGTTTGGCTTGGGCTTGTTGGAAAGCGTGACTAGATGAAATGAAATAGGCAGTCTGAGACTTCCTTCTCTTCTCTAATATATCTTATGCAGAGATATGACGATGCTTGCGCGGTAGCGGATGCGCTCATGTGCATCCATGAGATCGAGGACGGGTGCTCATGCTGAATCCCTGCGCTCTGAGCCGCAGCAACGGGCTACAATCAGTGCTGCTGCTCATGTTGGTGAAAGTGTGTCAATGTACATCGACTTGCGTCAAAGTGCTAAAGGGTTCCCGACGAACCGAGTGAAGTGTCTAGCCACGTCAGCTTGACCCGACGAACACAATTTTACTGACAACAACCGAGAATAACGTGGGGTTTCAAGGCGGTCCTCCATATCACACGTCGTCAGCACAGGTTGAAGATGAGTGATCCGCGCAGGATAGTCATCGTGTCGATATGGACGCAGTCGTGACGCGTGACACTCCGGGTATAGACGTAGCCGAGGCAGTAGCGTGAGCTTGAACGTGCTAGGAATGGTCTTTTCGGTAATCAGGTTGGGACTAATGAACCTTGGATCGAACTTACGCTTGCCAGGTGGGTCAATTCAAGGTTCTCGGTATTCCGTAGCACCTTGTCGCCCACCGCAAATACCAAATGCGAACAATTCCAATCATAAGCTGCATGCCAACGATGGGTAGCAACCCTAGCATCCTGCGCCGTCACCAAAATTAACTTCTGGTACGTGGCGAATTTCGCTGCGGTAGTCGGGCGAGTGGTCGGAACCACACAATCTGACACGGCACGCGTCTGATAACCCAAGTCGGTCATGAATGGATATATATGTGATCGCGTGAATCGATCGCAAACTCACCGAATAGCAATTCTTCATTGGCACTTCTGTGCATGTCACGATGGCTTTACTGAAAACGCTGCGGTGTAGACCGATTTTGTGAAAAACAAACGCCACTTCTGATGTTACTTAGATGGATATTCGTTCCTATTGACTGGAACGCATTATCGCGTATGCCGATAAGAAGATTTTATGAGCGGAGCTAATCGATCCAGCACATTAAAAGGAGCTTCTAGCAGCACTACACGCTATGCGCACCTGCAAAGTATAGTTACTGGACAAGGCTTTCAACACCGATCATCGGGCGATTGATTCTAGTTAGAGCAGCAAACGCGCGCCCGGCGTCTGGTGCGGTAATTAAACAAGCTCGCGCTGCTCTTCGCTTTAGATTGGTTACCGGCAACACTGGCACCGTCACCAACAATGCTCCAAGATGGGCAGACTGGTCAGATGGCACGAGCCGCGCGATTATCCTCCTCCAGTTTACATCCCACGACACCAGACCTCACATGCTGTCACACTCGATATACCGGACTGTTCAACCCTGTAATGGCACAATTTGCTTTTGAGTTCACGATGTGCAACTGTTATCCCACATCCCTCGAGTGTGGATCATCTGTTCAAGATCTGGGTGGCGTTCAAAAGTTTCAATGCGGCAAAATCATTTTTGTTCAGTTGTGATGAAAATCTTTTTAATCTCATGGTGGACCACGCCGTTATTGTGCGGAGACCTGGTAATGTGGTATACGCCAGTCTTCTGAATTATCACTGTACTGCTGGGGTATACGCCAAGAACTCCATCGCCTTAAAGCTGGGGGCTTATCGATGGCTACATTTTTATTTTGCGATCCCAATCAACCCATCGGAGCTGTTACCGCTAAATCCGACGAAAGCAACAAAGATGGCAACGATGACGCAATTGGTCATGCAATTGAAAACCGCTTGAACAATGGTGGTGACATGGATCGGGCAGTCAGCGATAAAATCGACACGGATGACCATGTTGCTGCGGTCGCCGACACGAGAAATCTGAAGACGAAGCGGGCGAATAAGAGGGAGGCGACTACGTTCTTTTCATCGATGTACACTACCATGTCGTCGGATACGCCGAGCGGTTCCAATAAATTAACTTTCAACTACAGTGGTTACAGGAATTAGTACGCCTTTAAAACTAGTATGTCTTCACAATTAGTCTGACACACACGAATTCCTGTCGCTGGTAGATCCCAAGGTTCAAAATTAGTATGCCTCCACAAGCTCATAATTTGCCTGTCGCAAAACTGGGATCGGCTTCGAGAAGCGGTTTGGTTATCCACTCCCACGGTTTGAATTGGAGTCTCTGCGTGTGATGATTATTTGACACAAGGGCACAAGAAACCAGAGACAGCATATAAGTACTTCTTTCTTCCGACTATGGCGAAGGTGTCGATAAAATAGCAGGCAGTTTTACCTGTTTGTTTATTTTTATCCTAATATTTATCCAATATTTATATTTACCCGCGTAAAGTGCTTATGGCGACCGCAGCTCGCTGGTATGTTGTTCCGCCAAGGTGCTCATGGAACACGTCTTTAAGGTATTGGCCCTCAGAGCGCGCAGCAGCTTGACCCGTTTCTGCTTCACCTCTGTCCCTCACAACTCCCGCTGCCCTGCTCGCGACAAGCACGACGAGTACGTCAACGGACTCGGCATGAAGGCGTAAGACGGCACGCCGCGCGGGTTCAAGGGAGAGTATTGAAGGGTGTTATGTCACACGCTCGCGTCTCCACGCCGCGCTCCGGGGTTGCATATGGACTTACATTGGATTGTGAGAGCAGGATCGTACGACTTTGCGCGTAGAAACTTACGACTCGCACGTTTCAGCACAGTCGTACGACTCTACGCGTAAAATCTTACGACTCGTATGTTTTATCATAATCGTATGACTTTACGGATAAGATGCAGATAAGGATAGGAGGCCTTGCGTTCTGGTCGGCCAAGGACAACCAGTCAAGTAGGTTGAGTGAAGCGATTCTATCTCACACTCACTTTTGGTTTTTCAACCTCGCCAACAAGCCCTTCTTCTTCTACTAGCCCCACACCGCTCTTCCTTACCTTCCATTACCATGGACTCGACTTTTGGCCCACGCAAATTGTCAACCTTCGTCAATTAGCGCCTACTCGCCATCAACACTGGCTAGCGTCGCCACGAATGGCTCATCCTCCGATGGCTTCACCAGCTTCGAGTTGCTGTCCGCTGGAGTGTGGACGTCCTTGCACTTGTCCACACCGAACTTCTCCGCGAGTCGCTTGGCGTAGGCCCGCTGATTCATGACGATGGTCTTTTCTTCACGCTCGCGGTGAATCTCGATGCCGAGGCAGTACTTCAGCTCTCCAAGCTCCTTGATGCTGAACTCGCGTCTGAGTGCCTCCTTGATCGACGCGATGTGAGCATTCGTCTTGCTGAACAGCATGAGGTCATCGACGTAGACTACGAAGATGCTGTACTCGTTGCTCGATCGACGGACGTAGACGCACGGGTCGGCATCAGAGCGCTTGAAGCCTTGAGCCAAGAGGTGCTTGTTCAGCTTGATGTTCCATTCATGCGCCGCTTGCTTCGTGCCGTAGAGTGACTGCCCGAGCAAACACTTCTTCGTCGGGTTGTCCTGATCCATGAACCCGTCCGGCTGATCCATGTAGATCTCCTCTTCGACGTCACCATAGAGAAACGCCGTGTCGACATCCACATTCTCAGCCTCCATGTCCTCCTCGGCAGCAATTGCCGCCGCAGTGTTGACCGACTCCTTGCGCGCAACAGGGGCAAAGGTTTCCGTGTAGTCGATCTCTGGGCGCATCGTGAACCCCTTGGCCACCAGACGCGCTTTGAACTTCACGATGTTGCCGTTCGGATCGCGCTTGATGCGGAAGACCCACTTGCACCCAATCGACTTCTTGTCGGACGGCATGTCGACCAGAGTCCACGTGCGATGATCCTCCAACGACTTCATCTCGCTCTCCATCGCGCGAAGCCACTCGTCTTTGTACTTGCTTCCCATGATTTCGTCGTACGACACTGCACGCTCGCCATCATCGTCGTCCGTGTACAGACAATAGAGCGAGTTGTAGTCACCCTCGTAGTCGTCGAGGTTGAATTATCCGCGTCGCAAGTTCGGAATTTCTTGCTCCTAGCGAACCACACCTCGACGCTTGCGTTCCGGTCGCACCATCCACTCCTCTTCACCATCTCTCCCTGGTGTGCTGGATCCACGCGTTGGTACAGAGTGTGTTGGTTCACCGTGCTCCTCCCGCACCGGTTCCTGGCGTGGTTGAGTTGGTAGCGTGCGAAAGCCATCTTCAGCTCGAGTCTCTTCGCTGGTGTCTTCGGCCTTGTCGTCGCCAATGACGTCGAAAACTCCCTCGGTAGCATCTTTTGGAACCTTCACCGCAGGTGCCTCAGCAAACGTCACACTTCTTGAAGTGACAATTGATCCGTCGCTCACGTTCAAAAGTCGATACGCCTTGCGCTGTCTCGCGTAGCCGAAAAAGACGCACTTCACACCCGTGTCGTCAAGCTTCGTACGCTTCTGTTTGGGCACGTGGGCGTAGCACTCGGTCCCGAACACTCGCATGTGATCCAAACGCGGCTTGCGCTTGAACACCCACTCGAACGGACTTGAGTGCGAGTTGGAAGTGTTGGGTAACACGTTCCGAATATCCACCGCCGTCATCATGGCCTCGCACCAGTACGACTTGTCCAGTCCGCTCTCCTTCAGCATGCAGCGAGTCATCTCGACTAGAGTCCAATTCACTCGCTCGGCCATCCCATTCTGCTCCGGATTGTGGGGCACCGTGAACTCGTGCTTGATCAGCTTGTCGTCACACAAAGCTTCCATCGATCGGTTACAGTACTCGCCACCGTTATCGCTGCGAAGAACATTCATTGTAATGGGCCTACTTTGGCTCACTACTTTAGCTTACACGTATGCGCGTGTATGTGAGGAAGCGTAGCTTAGTTTAAATTAGAGTTAATTATACTCGGGCCTCCGAGTATAGATTAATCTAAATAAAAGATCCAAATAATGTTTTTGGGTTAAAATGAGAACTGCTATTTTTGTTTTATTTTTCTGACTTCCTCTAAATGTAATATTCTAAACTGGGAATCTGCCAACGGCTGGTTGGCAGAATTCCAACGCTATGCATGTCGCTCATTGGCTAAAAGATGCTGCTTTCAGCCAATAGGAATCCTAAGTCTCTATGGACCACCCGTCGTGGTGGTCGTAAATGTATGTAGCCTTTGGTGTGTCTACACCAAGGTCGAGAAAGTCTTTCGAACCTCTAACAGACGTCGTGTCTGTTAGAGTTACAAGTGACTGTAGCCACTTGTACGTGTAACCCTGTTACACCATCCCCCCCCCCTCAAGGTTAGACGCGCCGAGTCACGGCACGTCAATCAGAAATTGACCATTCGTCAATTCTTCACGTTGGGAGAAAGAAAACTCGAGCTCATTCCGCAATGAGCTCGCCTCAGAAGAACACCGACGCTGCAGCAGAGGAGATGTCCTCCGCCGGGATAGAGACTCTCTCTATCCCCGAGTACCGCGAGCGTCACAAAGCAAAGCGTGACGCTCTTGCTGCCAAGACTGCGGCGGGGACAACTCAACCAGAGATTGTCCTCGAAGGTTCTTCTGTAGTCAACGACGCCGTTGACTTCGAGGACGACGACGTGGAGATGGAAGAGGGCGAGGCCTCTTCTAGCAAGCGCAAGGAGTCTATCGACAGCGATAGTCTCGACCCGCGTGCGGGTCGAGACGCCCTCGTGAAGGAGACGACTCGGACGCTTCGAGCTCGAAGCGTTCGCGCGGCGAGAGCGACACTCCGCTCTCTGCTGCTGGGGCTTTAAGCTCCCCGCGTGAGGTGGCATCTTCAAGTTCCCCGCGCGCTGCTCAGGCAGCGCGCGATCCGTGGATGCCGTCTGCGTCAGAGATCGCAGACCGTGTGGGCAACACTGTGCCTCCAAACGAAATCCCGCTGTACGTATGCAGCGGTATCCACGACGATGCTGTTGCGGAGGAGCAGCACTTGATCCGTTAACGAATCAAAGGCGCGATTACTGTATCGGACTCTTTCACGAGCTCCGGTACTTCTCCAGCAAGAAGACCTCTTCTCGCAGCAAAGTGCCTGACTGGCAGGCACTTTGTCAAAGTTGGAATGCTTTCGTTGAGAACTTCAACAAGAAGCCGGCTGCTTACCGTGAGCGGGCTAAGCATGCCCGTGAGCGCTTCGAGACATTCTCGACGCGCGGGAGGCTGGAGCAGCTCCACAGATCCTCTGTGGACGCTGGTATTCCATGCGCTGTGCCCGAAGGCCATCAGTGCACGTTGTGTCTTCCGGGTGCGGTGCGCTTGAGCGACCGCGACCTAAACGGGTACACGACGATTCGTGTACCTGAGAGTCTCAAGGATCTCCGTGCCAAGTTCTTGGCACGCGAGGAACGCGACGATCGTGGGACCTCGGGCGCTGTAGGTGACCACAGCGCTCGCACTACCTTCGCGTCGGCAGTGCGTGGTGAGCTTCGTACGCCCTCACCATTTCCGGAACGTCCTGCAGCAGGACGTCCCGTGGCTCCCATGTATCTTGGTGGGGCAGAAACCCTCTCCAACGAATACGATAACGAACCGGCTGCCGGTTCGTTTTCGGGATACTATGGTTCACAATACGCTCAACAATCCAGCGTGTTGAGCCGCGGGCGTCGCGGATCGGAGGCGGCGGTGGTGGGAACACGCCCTGGGTATGGTCAACCAGGGGTTGACCTTGGCCCGACGCTCGAGGAGCGGGTCGCTGCTGTGGAACAGCATCAGAGCCGGCCGGGAGTTCGCCGCTCTGATGCAGGAGGTGGCGATCCTGAGGGCTCAAGTCGCTCAGGTCTCGCAGACCGCGTCGGACATCTCTATCGACGTGGGAGGTCGCGTCGCGCGCTTGGCCCAGCGCGTTCACGCGCTGGAGCAGAGGTTCGCTCCCGCTGGGGCTTCCGCTTCGGGCCAACCGAGCTAGGTGGCTCGTGCTGCAGGTATGGCTTCAGCCGCCCGACGTAAAAGGTCGGATGGAGGCGCATGCTAGATGGAATATCTAGTGTGTAGGCGTTGCCATGCCGTGCCAACACCGTGAACGGCCCGATGAAGCGCGGAGCGAGCTTGCTCGCCCCGAAGTCGGAAACTGCATGTTTAGGCAGGTTTTGAGTTGCTAACAAAACCAATGAACCCTTCTTGAATTCATTAGTGTTGCCCCTACCAACATTGTCTGCGTTCAGCTTCTGTCGGTCGACAGAAGCTGCGATAGCGTCTTGGACAAACCGAATGACGGCTTGTCTGCGCTGCACGAAGTTGATTGCGTCCGAGCTGAACTCGTTCAGCTCGTTTCTAGCAGTAGGCCCTGCCTCTGCGTTCGTCTTCGCGGTGCACAGACCCGTTCTTCTTCTTCTTCTTGCTCTTGTCGACGTCTGTGCCCTGCACAGACGCGTGCTTCTTCTTCTTGTTGCGCGTAGTCGCGGCTGACACTGTGCAAGTGTCAGCGGCATTCTGCGACTGCTGCGTTGCAGTCGTAGATCCTCCCCCACTTAAGGAAGGAGCCACCATCCCGAGTAGACTCGGGAGGCGTGGGTGCCTGATGGCATTCACGTAGAACGGTGTATGCCCGGTCGAGGCATGCACCGAGTTGTTGATGGCGAACTCTGCCATCGGCAGGCACTCGCTCCAGTGTTGGAACGAGTGAGCGTAGCTCTTAAGCACGTCTACGAGCACGCGGTTCACGCGCTCGGTCTGCCCGTCCGTCTGCGGATGATCCGCAGTCGACATCGAAAGTTGACTCCCAAGAAGTGTAAACACTTCTTGCCAAAGGTGTGCAGTGAAGCGCGGGTCTCGATCCGACACAATGTCGATCGGCATGCCATGGTTCTTGAACACCATGTCAACGAACAGACGCGCCGTCTGCTCCGCAGTCACTTCAGCGGGTACCGCAGCAAGATGTACCATCTTGCTGAAGCGGTCAACAAAGACCACAACGCCCGTGTTCCCCTGGCTGTCCGGGGGAAGACCGAACACGAAGTCCAAAGACATGGACTGCCAACACTCCCGTGGAGTTGGTAGTGACTGCAAGGGAGCCTGCGCGAAAGGCGCAGGCTTCACACGTTGACAAACCTCGCAAGCACGGACGTACTTGCGCACCCATTTATACTGGTGGGCCCAGTAAAAGTCTCGCGTGAGAAGAAGGTATGTCTTCTCACGGCCCGGATGCCCCGCAGTCGGTGCATCGTGATACTCGTACATGATCCTGAGTCGCAGGTCATGGTCATTGGGCACGACAACGCGGTCCGCGTTGTCGTCGACTGCACTGTAGAGTAATAACCCGTCGAGCACCCGGTAACGGTGTGCACGAGCACGAAGATGCTTCGGCAGCTTCTGACGAGCTTTGTCAGAAGGCGCTGAGCCGTAGGCCAGCAAGAGCTTCGCGTCCGCGTCGTGCGCGTACGCGACCTTCACGTCGTCCAACAGTGACGACGTCGGGGTGCTCGATTGCATGGCGTCAATGGCATTGACGTCGGCATCAGTCGTGGCGTAGTCAGGTCGACGCGAGAGCGTGTCGGCCACCACATTGAGTCTTCCGGGTTTGTACTCAACCCGGAAGTTATACTCTGCGAAGAATGAGAGCCATCTCGCCATCCGTTGCGAGATGTGCGGCGACTTCACAGCCGTCCGCAACGACGCGTGGTCCGTATAGACCACGAACGGTTTGCTTCCGAGTAGATACACTCGGAACTTCGCGAGTGCGTACTTCATGGCAAGGAGTTCCTTGTCATGTACCGGGTAGTTGCGCTCAGCTGGCTTCAGCTGACGCGATTGGTAGTAGACGACACGATCACGGCCCTCGTGATCGTGCTGCATCAACGCACATCCGATTGCGAAGTCGGATGCGTCACACACAACGTGGAATGGGCGATCTTGGTCGGCCACCGCCAAGATTGGCGCCTCAGTCAAGCCCCGCTTGACTGCATCGAAGGCCTGCTGACACTCAGCAGCCCAAACCCACTCGGCGTCCTTCTTCAGGAGCTGTGACAGCGGGCGTATCATGCCCGCGTAGTCCTTCACGTACTTGCACAAGTACGTGGCCAAGCCAAGGAACTGCCGCAGTTCCTTGACGTTCGACGGCGTCGGCCACTCATTGATCACTCTGACCTTCTCAGGGTCAGGGCGGACACCGTTCTTCCCAACGAGACACCCGAGCACGGGTATCTCGCTCGCCCCGAAGATGCACTTCTTCAGGTTCGCATAGAGCTTGTGCTTGCGCATGAGCGCAAGCAGCTTCCGGAGATGCACCTTGTGCATCTCAACATCGCTCATCCCGTCCGCAGCCCGGCTGTGGACGAACACATCGTCGAAGTAGCTCGGTGCGAAGTCGCGCACCGAGCGCAACAAGTGCGTCACGCACCTGTTGAAGGTCGCAGGGACGTTCTTCAGACCCTGTGGCATCACTAGCCACTCCCAGAGCATGCCACTCGGCGTGCTCACTGCCGTGAGAGGGATATCGCTCTCACGCATGAGGATCTGATAGAATCCATCGCGCAGATCAAGAGCACTGTAGATAGTGCTCCTGGCCATCGAATCGATGATATCTTTTCGCGGTATCGGTGTCTGCGTCGGTATCGTCGCATCGTTCAGCTTGTTGTACGCATGAACGATGCGCCAACCGCCCTGTGGCTTCTTGACACAGAACGTCGGAGCACTGTGCGGGGATTTCGATTCCCGCACTTGTCCAGCTTTGCGACGACTCTCAAAGAAGTCGTCGATCGCCTTGACCTGCTCTCGCGGCAGTGGCCACTGCCGCGTGACACAGTACTTCGTCCCCGGCACGAGATCAATCTCGTGCTGGATGCCCTTGTCCTGCGGAAGCTCCGCAGGGATCTCTTCCGGAAGCACGTCCGCGTGCTCCCGTAGAATCTCGTAGAAGGGACTCGACTTCAGCGAGTCCCAGCTCTGCTCTTCAAAGCGCTCCTTCTTCGTCTACGCACTGAGAGTGTCCTCGCTCTCAGTGGTGCTCTCCATGAAGAACTGCCTCAGTTCTTCATTCTCGCTCTTCGTTCTCTCGGCGTCCAAGAGAATGCATATCTGCTCGATGCGTCCATCGTGCAAGTCACGCGCGAAGCGCTTCCAGCTCATGACTGGAAGCGAAGTCAACTCCGACGCTTGCATCGGAGGGTTAGCGAGAGTCATCTCCCTGTACCGGAACCCGGCACAGGTACGCGTCAAGACGTTCAACGTCTCGACGTCCGGCTTCTCAGCCATCGTCTGTCCGGCAGACATTCCTTGTAGCGTCTCGGCCCCGGGCCGAGACTTGCGCAGCGACCTTCGCATGCGCCGTCTTCTTGTTTTGCGGAGCCCGGCTCCGCTTGGTTCTTGACCTCGTCCAGGCCCAGCCGTGGACGGGTGTTCTTCTTTAGTACCGCCGGCGGGTTCATCCCGCGGGCGAGCGACTTCAAGCCCGGCTTGGTCGCCCGGCGCTTCGTCGTGCAGCCCGGCTGCACGACAGCATGCAAGTTTTTCCGGTGCGGGACGTTTGCAACCGTCCGCACCGCCTGCAGCGTCGGCTCCCGGAGCCGACACGCCATCTTCACCTCGACGCCTGTTATTGGCGGAGCCCTCCATTACGGAGGGTGCGTCGGCTCCCCGAGCCGACGAATCAAATTCGTCCAAGCTATTGACTATTGACTCCCGGAGTCGATGCGACTTCAATACCTCGACGCCAACCATTGGCAGAGACCCCCATTACGGAGGGTGCGTCGGCTCCCCGAGCCGACGAATCAAATTCACCCAATCCATCGACTCCCGGAGTCGACGGCGTTTCGTCACTTTGGCTCTTATTATTGGCCAGACCTGATCCAATCAGATTCGCGTCAGCCTCCACGGCTGATGCGTGTGACTCGCCTGCGTCATCCGTGCCCCTTGAGGTCGGAGACTCTTCCTGATTCGCTGAAAAGCGGGTGTCGATCTCCGAGATCAACACATTTTCTCCTTCAGCCGTCGGCGGCGACGCCGACGCTTGCTGCTCTTGCGCGCGTGCTCGCGCGCGCCCAGGGCGCTCCGGGACAGCGGCATTAGGCGCTGTCTCGAGTGGGGAGTCGCGCGCACCTGTCGGTGCGTGCGTAGCGGCAGCAGGGCCATCGCTCACTGTTCCGCTGTCGCGACCGAAGCGCACGAGAGTGCGCTTCTCCCAATCGATGACCGGATCATGCCGTACAAGCCACGGCATGCCCAATACAATGTCAAACTTATCGTCCAGATCCAGGACGATAAAGGTCTCGACAAACTCTTGATCTTCATACGTGAAGCGCACGCGTACCATGCGCCTCTCGGTCTTCACGACGGTACCCGTTGCCAGTCGTACTTCCAACATACTTCGAGGTATCTTTAAATCGTCGAAGTCAAGCCTTGATAGACTTCGCAGTCGAACAAAGTTCTTCGACGCGCCAGAATCTACCAAAGCACGGAGAGAGCCGCTTGCTCTCATCGAGTTCACATTCAGGATGACAAGGTCAGGCTTGTCATCTTGGTTCTTGCAGCGAGAATGAATCTCACTAGGGGTTGCAGTCCTCAGTGTCGTGTGTTCAAGGTCGACACGCGGAACTGCATTACCAGTAGGGCGCCCCGCGCCTACTGGCGTCCAGCGTTTTTTGTTTGGTTGCGACGGTGCCCGGCACCGCCGCGATAGTCACCCTGCTGGTGCACGGGGGCCGTGCACTCCCGAGCAAAGTGACCGATTCTACCGCATCGGTAGCATCGCACATTGTTTCCCTGCGACTGCTGGGGTCCAGCAGTTGCAGCACTCGAGAGGTTCATGGGTTCTGGGCCTCCCGTCCTCACTACTGGGCGTGGCTGTGGCCTCGGCACATGTGCATGCAGCTTAGCCTGCCGCAGGCTGAACTCCTCCTGCATTGCAAGAGTAATTGCAGCTTCGAGAGTACTTGGGTACTCACGGAAGAGATAGGTCTTCTCAGCCCCTTC